ACCAAGTACAGCTACAAGCGACATCCAAACATCGACTTCAGCGCTCGTTGGGAACCACATGCCCCATGGCCCAAGAAGCTAACCATCTGAGCTACAATGGTTGGTGCAATCAGATCCCCAAGCTTCAAAGAGTGCCTTTGATACCTCCACCTTCAACTAGTACCTAGGTATGTACGTACGCTGACGACATGGGTGTAGCAATGAGTTGTGCAATCCTCGGTGGAGAAAGGTGTTCTGGTTCGGTTTGCTTGTACATTAGCCTTCCCGTCCCTCATCATGCCGGATGCGAGGTCGTACTTCCGTCCGCTCTCGCATCACGCATGGAGGTAAAGCCAAGTCGAGATCTTCCCTGGCCCGACCCCATCTAGGTTCTGTCAAAAGTTCCCCTTTCAAGGCGCAGCAGGTGCAAAACAATACACGTCTACTCCGTACCCCGACGAGCTCATATGGAGAAAGAAACCATATTATAAGGTGCGCGCTACCTTGTAGGCTTTGCCTTGTCTGGAGGGTCTTGCGGACCTGGTTCGTCTACTTTGCTAACCTTGAATGCTCCCGTTAGCAACCAACATTTTCGGTGAAACTGGCCAGTAACCCCGGCATGCGGGGACAAAAGGCATCGAATGTACAAAGTCAAAGTCAAATGGTCCATTATCTTTGGCTGGGGGGAAGGAGATTTGGACAACGCATCAGCCCGAAGCCCCGACACTACCTGAGCATTGCTTATCAGTTCCGCCGATGCTTGGCTACCAACCGCCTTGCTACTATTAGTCGGAAAAGCTCATCGCCGAGTCTGGCCAGCCCAATGAAAGTGCACCACGTCTTTTGCCACACCACCAACTTACCCCACGTCACTTCAAGGAAGACTGTTAACCAAAGCTCTTCATTGGTCTCATGTTTCTGGTCGCAGAGCCTGATATAAAACAACTCAAAAAAGATTCTACCCTCCTTGCCTTTGAAGTGGCAACTACGACACCCTATTTACCATCATTCGCCAGTACAGGGTGTTAGAGCTGACTATAATCATCGCACCATTAAGTGGTGGTCATCCGATCACGCAACTCTCGCAGAACACAGGCTTTGTGGAAAGCTCAATTGACATACTTGTGAGAACGCCAGTAGTATTTGGCTATTCGCGTTTATTTTTGGAATTTTTTTTTTTTTTTTGCGGCATGCATATGTATTGTACACTGGGCTACGATTGGCGGCAATCATGGGGTATCCTTCGTGTGCTTCGTACAACCTCCGAACAAACGGACGACTTGCGAAAGCTGCTCGTGAGCAGGAAGTACCATTTTGCACCAGTCGGCTCGGCCCTCATTCGTGCGTGGAAGCCGGACCGCCAGACGGGGCCTAGGCTGTTCTCTCACTCCCGTCTGTCTGTGGGGAACAAGCAGTCCGTCATGGGCGCCTCATCCACCTGAAATATCCGCAATTATCGACGTGCAGACACACAAGGCGGGAACAATCATGATGGGCCCTCACGGCAAAACGACAGCTATCTCCGTCCTCTGGCCTGCCTGTTGGACAGACATTGAGAGTCAGGCATCACCGCAGGCTCTCTTCCCTTTTGTTTTCACCCCTTGGTCAATACGTACATACATATTTTCCCATATTTGCTAGGGGCACATCATCTAAGTGTCAGGGAACGCATCACACGGGGCTTTACCCAAAAAAATTGCATTTCATAGGCTACCGCTATGCTGATGACTCTACGAAGACAAAATAGGTTGATAAGCAGCTTCCGTCCGAGACGATACGGCGCTGTGCGCAAGAGACGTCGGAAAGCGGTGTCTATCGTAGCGGCCTAGGCCTTCTTTGTTACCTTGTTAAACATGGAGTCCAAGGAGAAATGAACAAACACTCGACACAACACCGCTCACCGCTCACCGCTCATAATTCTAGTCCTCCTATAAGGGCATCGCGCACTCCACCACATTCAACATGGAAACAAATTGTAACTATTCACAGTTTCGACACCTTAAGGAAGAAGGGTTAAAAGACACTCGTCGTCTTCATTTACTATCTCTCTTGCATGTCCACTCAGAACTGGTTGTTTTATGTACACACAGTACATCGTGCATCTGCCAGGTAACTCAAGGGCCTGCCGATTATCCACCGTGTCTGATCGCACACCCCTTTGGGTCCACCTGGCAGCACGGGGCTGGCCAAATCTCAAGAGCTTACGGAGTGTACGTACACGTACATGCAGCGGTTTTTTATCTAGACGTGCCGCCCGGCTGATCTTTCCCCGGCCGGCCTGTGCAACATTACCTCTGTACTGCCGCGAGGTCTTACTGTCTCTTGCACGGGTAATGGTTGGTTCGTTGATACAGAAAGGAGCTGACGACAGGGCCGACGAGCCAGGATCGCCAGGATCCCCGTATCGGTACGGAGTACACTACTCAGCCGAAGACCTGTTCGCGCTCATCAGCAACTGCTGTGAGATGAGTGATGATCCACAAATAGAAGGTCGAATGAATGCCGATGCCACAAACGATGCCCCCATTGTTGAATTGGGTAGATCTGATGAAAGTTATATTGGCTGGACCATGGCGAGTGCATTAGCTCTCCCGTCCACAAGCATAAATCAGCGACTAGGATTCCCATCGACCCGCTCGTTGATGCTGACCGTTCTGTGCGATGTGGGCGTGCAAAATGGTGCTACTACTCTATTTCCTCCGTAACGTGGAGCAGTGTGCAGTGAAACGATGCAGGGCTTCATGTGAAATGTACGTGGCCTGTCTGTCTTCTGCACTCCAGACCCCAAACGGCTGTACAGCCTACTCCGTGCTGTTTTCCGTATTACACATGCAGGCAAGGAAAGCCCCGCCAGCTCGTCGAAGCCGGGGAGCGGCTGGGAGGGACAGGCCATGTGAATGTGCTAACCGCTGATAATGGCGAAGCGAGGCGATGGCTTTGCTTACTCCGTGTCCTTGGCTTCAAATTGCTTCCCTACCAAGTACAATCATGGGGGAGAGACCACGATGAACGGCAACAAGGCGTCTAGACAAAACGCCTTCAGCGTACAAACGACTGCCGGGTTGGAAAGGCGTTGTTTGTTATCAGACTAACGAATACTACCCAGAGTTCAGGTGCCCCCAGGACAGCTACGATGTGAGCAGGTACGCTGGTTTTGGGCAATAGTAGTATGAACGCTGATTAGCACTGCTCTGGAACAATCTTCGATTGCATAGGATCCGGGGTCAAGAGCCTGGTGGATAATGCGAAATTAACGAGCTACAGCAACTGCGGACTACGTAGTATTGTGCATATGCTCATGTTCATTGCACTGCGAGTATGATGCGCATATGTACTCCGTATGTATGCAAATACTACATAGTCCTTCGCCAGTCATGGGGGCTTGACCACTGGACTGGACTCAGCCGAGTCACCGACTTGGGCTGTTGGAGGGTGCAAGATATGTACAGTATTTGCAAGCAGGCATCAAACAAGATGAACCAGATCGGGCGGATGAAGTTGCCTATACGAAGTAGGGAACTCCGCGTCTTATAGCCGATATAAAAACGCCGCAAGACCCGGGGTTCAATTTCTTACCCATGAGTGTCCATTTGAAGCTGGACGGGACGTTTCGCAGAACCATATGGACAGCCGAGGAGCTCAACAAGGAAACAAATGACATTATGATTTCTTGGGCGGGATATGGTGGCTGAATCCAGGCCTCCAAAAAGATGGAAAGCTGGGTGTTGTGAGGGCAATTCGTTGGATGAGAAAGGCTCATGTGGGAGATTGAGTGACATGCCTGCTGACCATGTTATTGGTTTCGTCCATCCGAGGCAACTCCTTTCCCTTTCACTGCTACTAGTAGTAGTACTACTGCTGACGCGTGGTAGAAAAGTACAGAGACATCAGGGCCCTAATTCCTCGCAATGGCATGAGTGGAGTTGCGAGGCACGGGCTGGGCGGCTCAATGGCCTTGTTTCACGGACAAACACGAGAGGCTGGAGTTTCAATCCGGGGAAAGTCGACATGGCTCAATGCTCAGAGAGAAGATGCTTGGCCGGCTTTTTCAACAACAAGCAAGCAAGCAATCTGCCAACCGGCAATCACGCTACGGATACGTCAAAGTGTCCTGAGGGGGGAAAGTCAAGAAATTGATGCAAAAACAAAGCACAAGCAGGGTCAGGCTTCTTCCGGCGTATGTACAGACAATGTGCGTCGAGATCATGCACGAGATTGTCTGGCAAGTAGCTTCCCAGCCATGTCAGTTCATGTAGGAGCAGAGACGGGAGCATTTACCACCATGTTCCACGCTCCAAGCCGACGGAGAGGAGACGCCGGGCACAAGACCCCAGTTGCGATCTGAGTGTGCGTACATACATATGTATGTATTATGTACGGAGTACATGATGTTTGGGGTGCGTGGGCGGGCTGCGGATCACGTTTGCAGACCGCTGCATTTTTGCATTTTGCCGCTTTCCACTCGTTCCCTTCTCTCCAGCCACCAGGTAAAGTAGGCCATGGCGCTTCTTTGGGGGTGTGAAGACGAGAATTCTACAATGTATTGACAAGGAAGCCAGACGGGGGAGGGGGCTCGGTAACAAGAGGTGGAGGACAGAAAAGGCTGGGCGGTTTTTTCTTCCCGTGTGATCGAGGGCAAAATGGAGATGAATGGACCTTGACCTTTGGCCCCGGCCGGGGGTACCTTGACGAACGGGACGCTTTGCTGCTTGCTGGGTGGTGGGTATCCGGGCCCTGGCCCTGGCCCTGTTGGCCTGTCGGGTGTGGTTCTTTGCCCTGGAGGAGGAAGGGGGCAAAAAGGATTCTGCTGCTAGGTGGTGACGGCTGAAGATAGTGGTGGTTGGTCGAGAGTCCGGTGTGGATGGGAAGATGGAGTTGATGGAGCAGGCGGAGGAACAAAGAGGACGAGAGGAGCCAAGAGCGATGAAACGGCGCGGCAACTTGACGAATTCGGCGACGCCAATTGACAGAAGTACGAGCATGCACCGACACCGACGCGCCTGGTCGATGTGGATGCGGGAATGCCACGTCAAAGGCGAGATGTCAATCCATTTTTGCATCACGCGGCCCTTGCGGCATGCCGTGAGCGAGGCCACGGCTCTCAATTGCGCTCTGCAGTCCAGGCCCATGTCAGCACCGGCCGAGCCATTGCCATTGCCATTGCCATTGCCATTGCCATTGTTATTCAGAATTGGTTCGTAAAAGGCCCTTTGGCAGGGAAAAATGAGAAAAAAAAAAGACAATGGCCTTGATAATGGGTCATGTTGTAAGTCTGTGGATGTGGAGCCCATGTGACCTCCACTCACCGCATCTCACAGCATCGTGAACGTCAATGAAACAAACAAGACGCCAAAAAAGAAGATTCACATCACGCAAGTCCACGACGAGATTGTACCCCCTCGTCTACAGAAGCCAGCCAAAACACCTCCCACGCGACAAGCAACAAGCAACCGACACATCATCCGCCCCGGTGTCAATCCCACATTGCCCACTGCAAACCTTGAAAAACCACTCCATGCTCTAGGGTATCCTCCGTCACAACGATCAAAACAACAACAGCAGCAACATGAAAACATAGAAACAAAAACCACAACAATGCCCAAGCCACCACCGCCTTCGCTCCCCAAACCCGCGCTCCCTCGCAACACAGCCTTCGACCCGTGGAACTCGTCGTCGACAGGCCACCAGCGCGCCGAGCAGCAACCCGGCACGGCGTGGCGCGCCTCCCGCACCGGCAAGCTCAACTCCCAATTCCAGTCCGGGTCTGCCGGCGGGCCCCGGACCCAGGACACCCGCGGCCCCGGGGCGCGAGGCGCGAGCGTCGCCGATATGCTCAGGACGCCCGGCCTGATGGGCGAGTCCCTCGGTGGCCGTCCCCCTCCGAGGCAGGACGATGCCGATGACGCCGCCGCGCCTCGGGGCATTTTCGCCGGGTGCGTCGTCTACGTCAACGGGAGCACGTATCCCCTCGTGTCAGACCACAGGCTGAAGCACGTGCTCTGCGAGAATGGCGCGCAGGTGAGCGTGCACCTGGGCAGGAGGAGGGTCACGCACGTCATATTGGGAAGGCCGGCGGGCGGCGTGGCCAAGGGCGCCGGGGGCGGGTTGGCCGGCGGCAAGATGGACAGGGAGATACGGAGGGTTGGCGGCGTAGGGGTGCGCTTTGTAGGGGTCGAGTGGTAAGTCTGGCCTTGTTTGTCCCCTCGCCCCGTTGCGTTGTGTGGTGATTTCGTACTTGTGGGTGTTTTTTATTTGGTTCGGCTGTGGTTCAGGACGAGAGAGCGTTTTGCTAACGGCTTGCCACAGGGTCTTGGAGAGTCTCAAGGCAGGCAAGAGGTTGCCAGAGGCGCGGTTTTCGAATTTCAAGGTTGCGGCCAGGGGGCAGGGAAGTGTATACGGATTGTCTTCTGGGAGTGGCGTTGCCGGGGGGAGTTTGCCATGATGGTTCGGCTGGCAAGGAGGCGTATTTGCCACTACGGGGGTTCTACGGTTGGTCGAGTTGTGCATGTTTTTTTCTTCTTCCCCCGTCATGAGTATACGAGACTGGCGTTGAAGGGCATCGCTTCGCAGGTGTTGCGGTTAGAATGGTTAGAATAGTGTGCAAGACACGAATACCAGGCTTCTTGTTTCCCATCAATGGTTGCCTTTTGTGCTGTTGCAAATGGCATGACGTAGCTTTACATTTTGCCCGTGGTGCCCCTGCACGAAGCTCCCCTACTTCTTTCTCATCATGTTGTATGTGCGCTGACATGGCCTAGTACCAGAATACATGCTGCTTGAATCAGGAATTCCAACCCCTGGAACCGCCATACCGTGGCGCGCGACGTAAGTGAGCATTTTCCCCTTTTCTAAGCACCTACTAACCAGTCTTAACCAGAGACTCCAAGGCATGTAGCACCTTCTCACCGCCAAATCTACACATCATCGTGCAACCAGTAAATACGAAGCGGCAAAAAGGACTTCCTCTCTCGTCATCATCTCCAGACCGCTTGGTACGTCGCCATCCCTGGGGTCCGCGTGCGCGAACCAAAACTCAACAAAATGTCGCCATTTTCACACTCATGCGTCACCGTCGTGGCCCCGCGTTTGGATGGTGTAACAGTCTTGTGTCCAGAGCATAGTGAGTATGCGAGGGAACTGTCTCACAAGGGTGCTGTGTCTGCTGGACCTCGTGGAAAATGTTGTACTGCTGGCGTTGTGTGAGCACGTTGGGGTTGTGGAACGTGGATAGCAATTCGATGGGGTGAGAAAAGGAGAATGGATGGCCGTGAATACTTTGATGAAAATTGAACGTCTAATCTAATCATCAAAGTTGGGATCATTGGTTATCTAATGTCTTGGTCAGGCACTGGAAAATTGATATCATGCATGGTGTGTAGTTTCTTATCAAAAAGAGGAATCCTGGAGTAGATGATCAAGAACATCCCAAGGAAAAGAACACAGCTCCGCAAGAGGGGTCCGATACGAACACTGAATACACGCTAAACTCAAACGCATTCGACACATCTATAGCTTCGACTTTAGTCCTTCAACGGCCGCATGTTTCCCATCACTCCTCTCAAAGTACTCGCGTACTTTGGTTCTCGCAACCTCCACGACCGACGAATCCTCAACAGTACTCGGTATTGTTACCTTCTTGTCAAACTCGCCATGCACGCCATTTTCTACTAATTCGCGTAGAACTCGTCGCAGAGTCTTGCCCGAGCGAGTCTTGGGAATCATACCTTTGCCCTGGATGATACCTCCAAGCGACGCAATGGCTCCCACTTGTTTTCGTATCAAGGCTTGAATTTCAGAAGCAACCTTTTCATCGGGTACTGCTGATGCGGGATGGTCGGCCGTAGAAAGGGTGATGAAGGCAAAAGGCAGTTGACCCTTGATAGCATCTGGGATTCCAACAACGCTGGCCTCGGCAACGAGAGGGTGAGACGTGATTGCTTGCTCAATGCCGCCTAAGTAAACATGTTAGCATATCGAGTGGTTCAAGGGCCCGTCACAATTCACAGGTCTCGCAGGCGTGACGGATAAATGGGCTTACCACTCGATAGTCGATGTGCACTGACGTTTAGCACATCGTCATTCCGGCTCATTACATGCACATAACCATCCTCGTCAATCATGCCAGCGTCTCCTGTATCCAGCCACTTACCATCAAATCTCTTCAAGTAACTCTTATAAAACCTCTCCTCATCCTCCCACAACGTTCGAAACGCCGTAGGGGCCAACGGCATGCCTAAGACAATGTTGCCCATGCTACCCTTTGTTACTTGACGACCCTCGTCATCCACAACACGGACGTCGAACCCAGGCATCGCCTTGCCAGCACTTCCGGGCTTAATAGTGGCAGGTGGGTGGTTTCGGATTAACGAAGCTCGGTCCGCACCAGTATGAGGAACCAAGGCACGGCCAGTTATGGGCGAACCAGATTCGCTGGACCACCAGTTGTCGATGACGTGTGCATCCGGAGCGCCGTACTTGTTTAAGAGTTCTTGGTACATAGAAATGAGGGAAGGTTCCGAGCGCTCCCCTGCTAAGAACAATGATTTCAGGCTTCGGAGACCCCCTCGACCACCGATGGTGGACAAGAACTTGTTTTCCGGGTCATCCCTCCTGATAGCTCGAAGAGCAGTAGGTGCCGTGAACATCATGTTGACCCCGTACTCTTCCACGACCCTCCAAAACGCCGAAGCATCTGGTGTGCCAACGGGTTTGCCCTCGTAGAGAACGGTGGACGCACCAGCTAACAATGGCGCGTAGACAATGTATGAGTGGCCAACAACCCATCCAATATCGGATGCTGTAAAGGCAACGTCCCCAGGCCCATGAATGTTGAAGAGATAACTTATCGAGAGATTGAGCCCCACGGCGTGACCAGCAGCATCTCTCATGACACCCTTGGGCGCACCAGTTGTGCCGGACGTATGGATAATATAAACGGGGTCAGTACTCGCAACAGGCACACAGTCGGCCTTGATTTGCCTAGCGCGGGCACTCCTCACCACCTTTTGCCATGTAGCTTGACCGCTGTTGCGATCAGGATTCCACCTAACCTGCGGCCGTTGCCAGATAAAGGTCTTCGGAGGGTTGTGCGGTGAAATCCTGATGGCCTCTTCCACTAACGGCTGATAGGCAATAGGCGGCTTATTTCCATCGATTCCGCATGATGCCGTTAGTATAGCAACAGGCTTGCATGCCTCGATGCGCTGTGCGAGAGCATTGGGGGCAAAGCCGCCAAAAACGACGGCATGGACGGCACCGAGACGGTTCACTGCATACATGCCTATTAAAGCAGACGGAATCATCGGCACTGAGTGATTCAAGCGTTAGCACTTGGCCTGCCCAGCTCGCGTTGCCATGTCTCGGTGCCAACTTACTATACAGCATGACAACATCTCCCCTCTTGACGCCCTCGGATCGCAACACACCGGCAAGAACTTCAACCTCGTCGAGCAACCTGCGGTACGAGTATGTCTCCTTGGTCTTGGTCACGGGGCTGTCGTAATAGATGGCGACATTATCACCTCGACCGGCCTCCACGTGCCTATCAATACAGTTGTAGCATGTAGATATCTCGCCGCCGGGGAACCACTCCCACGAATCGTGGGTTACGCTTCCATCCTTCAGAGCTCGTCGTGTGTGACGCAAGGTCTCGGTCGGCTTTTTATGCCAGTGCAAGTGTTCGGCTTGGCGAGCCCAGAATTCCTCTGGCTTGTCTAAACTGTGCCGCAGCACGTCGTCTTGCAGGTGTGAGCCTGCTTCCCTCGAGGCCATGGTATGGCTGTGTGTGCGGAGTTGCAGTGCAGGAGCAAAGGAAATGAGACTTTCGGCAGCTGTGAATTTATAATTGCCACCTGCCTGCCCTTGTGTCAGATCCACGGGATAGCAGTGCTGCGACCATCAACGATGCAGAAATAACTTTGATCCCAAGGCCGGGCCTCTCAAGTCTATTTATTGAGAATGGTTTGGGAGAAATCCAGAAATGCTCCCTTTTTACCCTCGGTTAAAGAGGCTGATGATGATCATCATGTTTGGTCCGGTCCATCTTACCGACGGCAGGAGCTCTGCAGCTCCCGAGTCCCAAAGGCTAGTGGGGTCTCGATCCCCGGAACCTTGCTGCCCCACGCTGAGATCTCTGAAATTCCGCTTCTCCGGGGGACCAAAGGAGCCGAAATCGCCAAATCGCGTTCCCTCCACTCCCCCGCAGTACTCAAGTCGCCTCGCTGCCATCCCTTTGAGTGTGCGCAGGTCTAATTGATGTATTCAACCTACTCTTCTTTTATAATACTTAAAGATACTCGAAGATACTCAAAGATACTTAAATATACTGGTCCGTTACAAAAATTAGACCTGCGCACATTTAAAGGGATGGTAATCGTCAGATGCAAGCACGTTAAAAAAATTTCTTTTCCTCCTCCACACCATCCCCCAACTTCTTGTCACCACTCCAAAATTGTTTACTCACCTGCACTTATTACTTCCTACTCTGCGTTAATATTGTCGTTTCTTTAACGTCATTTATGGCAGTGTAAGTACTATTCGCAAGATATAATCATAATTTTACCGCTGACATTAAGTGCATAGAGATGAGATCTTTGAAGTTCACGTTACCATCTTCCTCCAGCCCATGCTTGTTACACGGAAATCGCAGGTTACACAAGGGCTACGGTCACGAGACCTAGGGCAAAGTCCCTCACCGACTTCTTGTATAAATAGACGGCTTCGGTCCCTCAAGGCCTTGAGGAAAACCAAGGACCTTTGATACCAAAGACTGTTATTAGTTGAATTGAGCTATTGCTCTAAGCCCTCTTTCCGAGCCCTTGTCACAGTGCTGCTGAATACTGGCCGTGGCAAGTCAAAAAATGGCTCCAAACAAGCCCAAGACTCTAGGTAAGTACTATCCGCCATCAGACTAGACTAAAATAAGTTCAGCGAATAACCTAAAGCATAGGAGCAGTTACGCCTCGGGTCAGGCTTGGTCCCAGAACGATGATGGGCTGTCGGGCTCCGTATGAGCCCTTATACATATGTGGTTGTGGATTCCGGCTATTATCGTGCTTATTACCGCGTGCATTTGGTTTTGCCGCAAATGGGGGATTATAATCTTTTGATGACACACACAATATTGGGAAAACCTACTCCGTACACTTTGTACATTCAAGATGGTCTCTATCTTGGGCACGATTGACAAACCACCTTTTTTCTTGCACTCCATCCCTTTGAATGTGATAAGGTGCCAGCCAGGTAGCGGGCCCACTTTATTTACAGTACCTTTTATATACCTTATATTAGGTGTATAGCCTAAAATATATAAAGTATTTTTATGTATATTTAAAAAGTAAAGGTACTTTAATTCTTATATTAATACCTTATAAGCTTATATATCTTTTAATTTAAGATTTTTAATTGGTCTATATTCCTGCTCGGTACGAAAGTGGCACCTTATGACATTCAAAGGGATATGAACTGCTGCACTCCCTTAACTCATAGCTGTACGGAGTACGGAGTACATACCACCCACTAATTGTAATCTGAGGCAACAACTCTTTGCACACCACCATGTACGCGGCCCGAGAAAAAGCAGTGTTGAGCCTTGATGCCTCCCACCGTAGCCATCAAATATGAATGAAATCCGAAAAACTTCGCTTTTTCTAACAAGCCACTGTTCTACGGAGTGCATTCGAACCACCCTGCCCCCGAGCCGATTGATACACCCGTAGCACTCTGGCTCGTTCGTGCCACGATGAAACGTGCTCGCCACGAGCATCACGGAGGAGCACGCCGTCACACAGTACCCACGCATCTCTGAACTATATGTCCAAAAAGTGTGCAGCGGCAAAGGCGGCAAGTACAAGCCTCGAATTCAGCCTACTGAGCTCGAAATACGACGTACGCCAGCGACGAAACATATTGCAAGACATTACCAAGGAGGGCCAAGACAAGGCAGTCACTGAAACGTGAGTAATAAGACACTGGACCAAAAGTAACCCCTTGACCTACAATGCCGAAGTAGTATCGTGACTTAGAAATTAGAATGCTGAATCTAGTATGCTTCAGAGTAAGCAGAGCTTGACAAGGCTGTAAAACACGCCCGATCAAGGGGCCCTATGCTCCAAGATATGAACATTAAGATCTTGTACATGACGGAACACAGGAAACGAAAGAAAACAAGATGAGCGGACAGATATTGACCATGTGGCAACAAGATCAATCGACTCGGAAGCAAATGAGTGGACGCATGGAAACGCATCTTTATAAATGTTGTCAAATAGGCCCGACCGCCGAGGCTAAGTCGTATTAGATCCAAATTTCCTAGTGCTGATAAAGGCACGTTATAATCCAGGCGCCGAAGAGTTATTAAGACCGCACACAAGCCATTAAATAGAGATTATCCTCCATGGGTTTGACCTGCGAGCCCCCATCGAACCGTCAGGTCCTCTGGGCGTTGATATGTTCATAACCCAAAAAAAGTCTATACACATCCGAAAAGCTGTAAATCCCATCCATTCAACCATAAACCCCCTACTCCCCCACGACACCTGTCCAGCCTCGAAGCTGGGAAGGCTTGCTGACTCGCTCCCGTGAACCTCACATGCTCTCTTCTACAAGAGTAGGCTGAGACATGGACGCGCGTATGACGGTTGAGTTGATTTACAGGATGAAAGCAGCAAGACCGACAACACCGGCCAGACCAGCGCCAGAAAGAGCGGCGGCCTTGCCAGCACCAGCAGTAGGGACGGGGTTGCCAGGCTTGGTGGGAGTGACACCGCCAGTGGGCGAGGCAACGGTGGAGTTGGGGAAGTTGACGGGGGTGCTGACAGCAGCAGTGCTAATAAAGATGTTAGATTTTTTGTGCATTTAACTTGAGGTTTGATACGTACCAGCTGTGGCACTCAACAGCCGAGGTGGTGATGACGGGCTTGGTGACAGTGCAAGGGCAGTCAGTGATGGTCAAGGTGGTGGGCTATCATTTTGGTTAGCTCTGAATTTTGATATCTTGGTTATTGGGATATAAATCAGGCACCGAAGGGTCTTGTTCCTCAGGTCACAAGACCCCAGATGCCTGCTTTTATACGCCTCCTAATTTCCGCCAAGATTGCGGGGACAGCCTCCTTACCTCAGTGACAGTGTAGGTCTTGGTGCCGTGAGTGATCTCGGTAGCCTCAGGGCAGTAAGTGGTGTAGGCAGAAACGACCTCGGTAACGTAGGTGACGTTCTTGGCCCAGGCGTTGGCGCCAACGGCAGCGGCGATGAGAGCAACGGTGTACTTCATTTTGTCGGTTGGGATAACTCGAAGAGTTGGCTTGAATTAACGAATGTAATTGACTGAAAAGTCGGGGTATGCAGATGTGCGAGTGAGCGAATGTGTGTGGGTGAGGAGAAAAGGGAAGGGTCGGAAGACGAGGAGGCCTGGAGAAGCATCTTTATACAGGACAAGGTGCGAGAGATGAGGGCCACGAGATGGACCGTCGGGACTGGGGGCCGTGCCCGAGTTGGTCTGGGCTGCAAAAATAGACAGGGGCCCGACGAAGAGGAAGACATGCGAGCGACGCGATTCTGTCCTGGTCCGTCAGTCTAGTCCTTGCGTGGCGGCGTGGAGTGAGGAACGAGCAGCGAGGACTGACAGGGCCAGCGGCGAGCAAGGATCGGTGGGCAGAGGCAGGGGGTGGGTGTGTGTGGATAGATGAGGTGGGTTGATAAATGAGCAATCATTCATTGATCATGGATGGTGGCCAACAGCCATGGCGGGAGCAAGGACGTTGCCGATGGTGATTTGTGCCTGGGTGTCTCTGGGATCACGAATCGACTGGTGACAGCAGTGAAGACGATGGAAACCATTCAAGACAAAAGGTGACGCGAAATGCCAGCTTCTAAAGGTGGGGGACGAGGGAAGTCGAGCCTGGAACTTTCTGACCTGAGCACAATCTTGGGTGATTCAGGCACGCGGTCTGGTGAGATGCAAGGTACCCATGCTGTGGCGGCTTGCCATGCAGCTAAGCCAAGTACCGGTCGAGTACTCCGCGCTTCGTGCCAAATACAATGTCCCTGGCTGCCTGCTAATGCACCCAAGCTCTTAGCGCGGCGTCCGCAATCTTGCAATCTTGGTCTACCACATCCAGCCTCACATACAACGGTCAACTCGTCGTCCGCTCTGACCGGACCTGATGGGCTTCCGGCTTCAAGAGACTCGATTGCCAGCTCAAGTGGATACGTTTATCTTCGTGGCCAGTGAATGCCGTTGCATTGCAGTGTCAAGGTGTGTATCATGGCCCGCCATCAGAAGCCGTCGACCTAGCTTGCCAAGGTATCCATTCTAATCGAATTTCTCACATCTAGTCGTTATGTAGCCGAAGCAACAGCTCGTCCTCACTGGAAAATACTGGGCCAATCTCGATCATGGAATCATGGAGGGTTAAAATCCTTGACTATGCTCCAGTATTGCCCCGAAATTGGACTTTGTTAGTTATTGTTGACATGCCAGTGGAACGGACAAATCACGCATTCTCTCTACCTAATACTCCGTACGGTTCCTCATAGCGCATTGCTGTACTGATACATATGGAATACATGTCAGCAAGATGGAAAGATCGCCTCTCTCGGCCCAGACCACCGATATCAACTCGGCACGGAGTGCTCTGTAATAGTAACAAGCATGCTATGAAAGGGGCAATGGGCCAAACTCCGGGGCGGATGACTGGGATTCAAGAGCGAGACCAAAGAACCAAGATCAGGTCCCGCCGATTAAGGCTGCACTCCGAAAAGGTGGCCATAATACCAAAAAGAGGGAGAGGCAGGTTGGTCAATGCTCAAGATCGAGCCTGGTCTTCTCAATCAGTTGTTGACAGGGACATGTCGGCGTTGCAGCGCGGGCCGCCTTGCATATTTCCACCGAAATTGATTGCAGGGCTCAAATTGAAGAAGAAAAAGGAAAAAAAAAAAGAAACAACTTGCACAAGTCAGGTACAGCCAGTGACAGAAGCGAAGAAAAGTACATAAGAACCTACGGAGTATTATTAGACGTCTTCACATGGAGAACAAGCCTTGTTGGTAAAATGAGGGAGCCACTTCCGTCGAATCCTACCAGGTGGGGGGCATGTGAGGCGTGTCGCCGTGACATGGAAAAAAAAAAAAAAAATTCAACAACCAGGAAAAAACAAGCACTACTTTTCAGCAATCACATATCCGAGTCGATACACAGCGCTACGTGCGGATGGCAGTGTCAGCCCCCAAGCAATAAGCATTTGGCTTTTCTGAGTTCCAATAGTGTACGGAGCATGGAGTTGTTCTTCAGAGGTCTCCGCCAATCGACTTGTATCGGATCCATGCCTGGCTTCTGGTTCCTATCAGCTTGCCGTCAGCTGGCCGCACAAAGTATTGTATGTATGCACGGAGTGGTAGATATGTATTGTGATGAATCAGTGATGGCACAGCTGGCATAAAAGCTAATGCAAGGCGCAACAGCCGTGATGGCACAACCCCGAGGCCACCCGCACAACACTAATGCAGGAACAGATATTGTTGAGCGGCGCTCAGTGATCAGTTCAAACTGCTGTTGTCCGTGGACCTGTGTCTCGTTTAGCCATTTTGTGCTATGATGCTACTCAGTACTAGTACTAGTACGTAGCATGATCGAACCGGCCGTTTTGTGTCGTTTTCCCCAGCGGAATCCTCAAAACCAGCGATGTGACACAACAGAACAAGCTGGGGAGTCAGACATAAATTTAATGAGATTGGAGTCAGCCGGACTGGTTCTCCGGATAGGTTGCGTGCGGACTGACTGGTTTGGGTAGTAATTGATCTTGTCAAGGATGGTTCTTGACGAAGCTGACGGATACCATGACAGCTACTCAGTACTCCGGATGCACTGTCCTTTTGGAGTCAGCAGATACATTATTAGTATTAACAAATACTTATCGGCAAGGCATTTCTTTGTTTGGTGGCAATAGTAGATCACAGATACTCCGTGGTGATGGCATGTACTCCGTACGTGGACGCATTCTAGGTTGTACACAAGTCAACTGGTATGTACTCCGTACGGAGTACTGAGTTCATCGCGTGTCACGACGCTCAGTCCATGCCCAGACTGCTGTTCGTCGACCATTGGACAGCAAGAGCTGTGTAAAAGCAGCGACCGCCTATCAGGGGCCAAGTCAGGCACCGCGCTTTTATTGGCTGAAGCTTCTACCATCTCCTCCCAGTTGTGCCATACACGGCTAGACTGCCCTAGCTGCTTTGCCGTCTTACCGCCTTGGCGCCTTGACACGTTTTCCAATCTCCTCCTTTTGCAAGGCTTTGTTGTCAACAGAGATTCTTTGCTGCATCAACCCCCCCCGGGTTCATTGGCGGTTTGTTTTTCTCCATGCAAGAAGCTCATTTCCAAGGAGCTGATTGGTCATGTTCACCGGCCCATGCTCTCCAAGACCCTCTGCAATTTCCCAGAGTATCCACCCATCCTGCCGTAGCCATGGCATGGGTGCCTTCTGCCTACTAGGCTTAATCTCGCCCGCCTTGTCGGCTCGAAGTATGTGGAGTCTGGTAGTTACTCCCAGCGGTGTGTACTGTCTGAACCTGATGGCCATGCATTTTTGGCTAATAAGAGAAGGCAAAAGAAAAAAAAAAGGTTGTTCCGCAACATGGATCTTTATCGTGCTACGGCGGAACAAGCATTATTACTATTACTGTCCGTTCTCGGCACTTATCCTCGTGGCCTTGTGCGTAGAAACTACCTCAAGTGACCATGAGGCACGAAACGACAAGGCGTGCTGTTCGACATGCAAGTTCCAGCCAGTTCATGATACCAATCTCGGTCGTTATACGGAGCGACGGGTGGCCGTAATGCGAACAATCAGAAAGGCAGGATCGAGATATTGAGACATCGAGACCGCCATTTCACACCGGTCATTCTACGAGGCTTCGTACGGAAATGATTCCCTCAGCCAAGCTTCCTCCTGACCGTTGTTTCGTTTGACCCTGAGTTATCATCCACGAGGAGCTCATTGCCACTCTCTCTTTGAACCGACAGTGAACCCATGTTCCCCGTGGCGTGGGACCGCCTCCCTGTCCCGTCCATCGGAGAGATTCTGATCGCTTGCTTGCTTGGTAAAATTAGCCTCTATGTACGGAGTACGGAGTGCTCCGTCCGTATCAGCAAGGACTTTCGCGCCATGTTCCGATTCAAAAAATAAAAATAAAATAAAAATTTTATTTGGCACTTCCACGACGATCATTCCGATGAATGGACTCTCCAAGCTTGTCTGGGAAAAAGGCTCCAGTCAATCGAATCTAGCCGAATGCCCCGTCGTTTCGCTGATCGATCGGCGCTGAGCTCCTTCATTCTTCTTCGCGCCTTGATCAGTCAGCTACTGTCCTTAATAGGTTTTAAAGTTCAATCATCCAATAAGTCTCGTTGGTTGACACAAGGCGCGTCTCAGGAATGATGGCTAGACAGGGCATCATGTTCTAGAAGAGGCCGTCAGCAGCATGCCCGAAACAAACGCATGGGCAAAAAAGAGGCTTTATCACCTCGTATTCACTTTCACAAAACACGCAAAATATTTGCTGTCCAAGCGTCTACTACGTTCATAGGTGCCGTGACATGTCATGACTGGTCAATAGCAGGAGAGGTATCTCCAAAGCCGGCTTCTGCGCCAGGCTGCGAAGAAACCAGAGAATTGACCGAAGGCGGAAGCTTCTCCATCCGCGGACCACGAAGCCTCACTCACGCCCTCCAGTCGTTGCCAATTGTCACTGGCAACGGGATGATTACAAGTCATCCATGGCTGACCGATAGTCAGAGCCACAGCTGGGGTCAACTGGGTCTTTTAATCTCCAGAGACCGGATTGCGTGCTCAACATGATGCTGGACAGACTGAGATATTAGCTTGGCCACTCTGGGCAGTTGCCTTTCTTTCGCCGATAACGCGTGTTGTCATATACATACATGCACGAGGCGTAACCCGCGCGCCATGCCTTGATGGTGTTCACAGTCCCGCGGCGATGGTTCTGCCGAAGCAGAAATGTCATAGCAACGACCGAGGGAGGGCCTTTTCTCCCTTACAGAGCCCGTAACAAGGGACCCCGGTCTTGGGTACAAGCATCTCAGACGGAGAATTGATTCATGTTACCACCCGGCCATTGCTCGCCCATCCCGGGACAGCCTGCGGAGTTGTGAAATTGCAACAAATATGCATAGAAATCTCCTGTTACTGAGATACTAGTAGTAGTACTACAACTCCGAAATCAAGGGACACGAGGCTCGACGCGACTTATACGACGGCCACTAATTGCAGGATGTGTGGCATACATTGTAGTAGTACTAGTACGTAGTAGGATACAATACATATGTACATATTGATTGTGTTTATTTTTGGCAGCACGCCGAGTTCTAGAAGTGCCCCATCACGAGGACACTTTTTTTGTCATGTGGATTGGAGTCATAGAATTTCATGATTCATCATGGCGACCGAGCTGTTTATGCGCATGCCCGGCTCGCCATGTTCATCTGGCAGATGAATCTTGACGCTTGCTGGTGGTGTTGCCTGATTCCGTCGAGTCGGCCTTGAAGCTGGCCATCATTCCCCATGCAATGCGACACATTCTGTTCCAATGTACAACTATTACACTGCATCAGATCTGTTTGGTACATGAACGGTTGCAGGAAACGCATTGAGTTCCCCGCAGCCACAAGGACATGGGATGGAACTGTTTGTCGGTTGATGCATCAAACCCAACTTTGCAGTCGTGCCGCCAACTCGAGAATCGGCGGCACCACGTGTGAAATTGAGACGGTTGACCCAAGAAGCGAGCTGCAATGCAACCAATGCGTTCAATGTTGTAGGGTTTCCAGCAAGAACCAGTGGTCGTCCATGTCGGATTGGTTGCCAAGGATACGAAAGGCGATCTCAAAAAAAAAAAAAAAACCACGTTGGAGCGACTGGCGAATAATGAAAAGTGTCTTTGGTTCTAGATGGCCAGGACTCATTCGACTCTGCTCAAAGCAAAGATGGAGTAGTAGATGCAAAAGGTTGCATATTGAAACGCCGACGCATGGTTCGGCAATCGGATCGAGTCTGGCAGCATTAGTAATGCAGCCGGCAACTACGGACCTCCAGACACCTCACTGTCCAGACGACAAAAAAGTATAAAACCATACATATGTAATCATTGCAACCTCAGGAGAAAATAAAAAGGTGAAAACGCGGCCGAGCACAACGCGAGAGAATACGGCAAATCGTCAACAAAGTAGGAATACAACATGGCGACCATGAAAGCAGTCGGTTCGTCATCCTCACCCCCAGAGAAGAAGCCATCAACATATCTAACCCACCACCAGAAATCAAAGGCGGCAAGGGCGAGCGGGACGCCCTCTTCATCAACGCGGAAACCCCCAAGCCAACCGCCGGCACCGGCCAGGCCATTGTCAAGATCAAGGCATTCGGCATCAACCGCATGGACATCATCCAGCGGCGCGGCCTGTACCCGCTGCCGCCGCAGGCGCCCTCCACGCTGGGCGTCGAGTTCAGCGGCGTCATCGAGTCCTTTGGCCCCGGGGACCACGGGAGCTTCAACGCCGGCGACCCGGTGCTCGGGCTGGCCTACGGCGGCGCCTACGCCGAGTACATCGCCGTCAGCTCCAAGATGCTGCTCCACAAGCCGGACCACATGAGCTTCGAGCAGGCGGCCGCCGTCCCGGAGGCGTGGATCACCGCCACGCAGGCGCTGCACTCGGTGCTGGGCTTCACGGCGGGCAAGTCGGTCCTGTGGCACGCCGGCGCGTCCGGGGTGTCCATCGCGGGCATCCAGCTGTCGAGGGCGGCCGGCGCGTCCGAGGTGTACGCGACGGCCGGATCCGACGACAAGTGCGCCTTTGTGACGGGCGAGGTCGGCGCCACCGCGGCCTTCAACTACAAGACGACGGACTGGGCGCGGGAGATCAGGGACCGGACGGGCGGCAGGGGCGTCGACTACATTGTCGACTTTGTCGGCGCCGACTACTTCCAGAAGAACCTGGACGTCGCGGCCAGGGACGGCCGGATCGTCCTGCTGGGCACGCTGAGCGGCGGCAAGGTGCCCGACGCGGACATTTCGCAGATCCTGTACAAGAGGATCCGCATCGAGGGCAGCACGCTGCGCAGCCGGGATGAGGAGTATCAGGGCAGGCTGAGGGATCGGCTGGAGACGTACTGCCCCGAGTTTGCGTCCGGCAAGTTCAAGATCGTCGTGGACAAGGTGATGCCGTGGGAGGAGATTCGGGAGGCGCACAAGTACATGGAGGATGGGAAGAACACGGGCAAGATTGTGTGCACTATTTCCTAAAGATGATTTATTCTTATCAATGGGAAACACGAGTAGCTAGAAATAAAAAAAGAAACAGAAAAAAAGGTCAGATGAGCCTAAATGACCGGTTTTGAGGCGCTTGAGAAACACAATAAGAGAGTCGCCCGGACTCAAATCACTCGTCTTCAGTAGCGCCAGCTAGTGTTCGTTTATCCATCTCAACATTTGCTCATATGCAGTTGTTTGTGCTTCGGTAATGGCGCTATCTGCATATGCGCCCACTACAGCAAAACCTGGGGACAAGTTAACATGCACAATACTTGCATATGTAGTGTTTCATGGAAAGCAACAGGGGGGAAAAGAGCCTACCATGTGGCACGCCAGGATAGACCTGCACCTCGTGCTCAAGATTTGCCTTGGACATGGCATCCTCGCCCACCTTCCGCACCTCGTCTGGAAACAGGTTGTCGTTTTCAACACACACTAGGCTCAGCGGTGCCCTCAGGTTGTTGAAATCGTCGGGCGTGACCGACGCACCGTGCGCCAGAGCTCCGGCCTTGATATACGGGCCCTTCTTCAACGCGCCCGCCTCCTCGTCGCTGCCCTGCTCTTCCGTCTCCTGAGCCAGCAGGAGGACGAACCGTCCACCAACGCAGTACCCAACTGCGTATATCCCCTCGCCATTCTTGATGGCGTCTGCGTACTGGTCTTGCGCTGCCTCAATGACCTTGCGCAGGATGGGCATGACCTTGTCCGGGGTGATGCGGGCCAGCCACATGTCGATAATGAAGGACTTGACGACCCCGACGGCCTGGAGCTTGACTTGCTCGATGATGGAGGAGGAGGAGTCGGTGATGGCCGTGGATAAGGGGACGCTGTCGCCGGCAAAGAGGTCCGGCATCAATACGAGGTAGCCCTCTGAGGCGAATTTGTCGGCTTGGATTTGATTGTTGACCGACTTGATTCCAGTGCCACCCGTGAGGAGCAGGAGGAGCTTTGAGTGCGCATGTGGGTAGTCGGATGGTTTGGAAATATATACCTGGTAGGTGGTTAGAGCGGTGTGGTATCGTGTTGCTGCAGCTGAGAGCCTACGTCGACATCGTTTAGTTTAATGATCTCACCGGTTGACGACTGTCCACTAGCTAGAGACTCGGGTTAGCATCGGCGCATGTGCGTTTCAACAAGATGATGTGCTCACGAGTTGGTCGGTCAGTTACGCAGTGCTCCCCGGTCTGAGCTGGCGGTTCTGCAGGTGTGGTGGTCTCCGGCCTCTGCTCAGTCTGCTGCTCCTGAGCGTCGCTCTCGGGAGCTTTGGTGGCGATGTCGACTTCAGTCATGATGGGCTATTTGAGTATTCAAATGGTGTAGCTACTGCGACCGTGGCAGGGCAAAGATGTTGGACAATGAAGGCTTGTCGCCGGCCAAGTTGACCACTTGGCATGTGGCAGGAAGTGGGCTGTGCCAAACAGGCTCAACGTCATCTTGAAGGTTTGGGGGGAGAGTCTCGGATGGTACGCTGTGTCAACAAGGTCACTTGATAGCTGCGAAAAAAAATTCACATACTATCAATCAGAGGCTACCTAGCACTGAGATCAATTCACACAAGAAATGGCCAATGTAACACCCATCACTACCAGAAGAAGGCTTCGACGACAGCTGTTCGGACTTGCGCCACCCGTGGAATGGAACCGTTGTAGCTTAGTCAGCACGCCACTGGCACCCCGCCATTGACTCACTTGAGCAGCTGCCTGCGGGGCCATTTCCATTAAACGCGCTGGACGCGTCGCGACGTCTAGATTATTCACGGTCATCGCTTGAGAAGGCTGTCCTGCGTAGGCTCACGCACCACCTTCACAAATTATTCGTCGAGACGAGAGCAAAGCACTTTTATATCGTCAATACGAACTGATCTAGCCATTATGGATGCCGCGTCTGCCCTATCGAGGGGGTCCCTTGAGTACGTCTTTCCGCATTCACTCCCGTCGGGCATCGTTTGAGGCCTGGACAAATGTGTTGACTTTTTATTCTAGTGTCATCTTCAACGACATCGACAAAGCAGCGAAGCTCTTCCCCGTTCCTGTTATGCAATGCCTCCAAGTCAAGCCTATGGGTGCTTCGGCTACTGGAGGCGAACGATACAGACTGGTCATGAGCGACGGCGACCACTATGTTCAGGCCATGCTTGCAACGCAGGCAAACCACGTCATTCACGAGGGAAAGCTTGTACGAGGTAGTTTCGCTCGTGTCAAACAGTATAACCCTCAGAACTTGAAGGGAAAGAAGTAAGTCGACTCCCTCGGACATGAAACTCGTGCGCCGCCTAACAGCAGGCCAGCATTCTCGTCATCCTCGACCTCGAGGTCATTGAATCCCTGGGCGTGCAAGAAAAGATTGGCAGCCCAACGGCTGTCGAGACCAATGATGCCAAAGAACAAACCATCGCTAGCAACGACTTTTACGGAACTAAGAAGGAAGAGAGCAAGCCGCAGGCTATGCCTTCAAGGCCAGCGGTTCACGACGGCGGCAACATCTATCCTATCGAAGGTCTCTCACCCTTCCAGCACAAGTGGACGATCAAGGCGCGAGTCACAATGAAGTCGGATATCAAGACATGGCATAAGCCCACAGGAGAGGGCAAGCTCTTCAGTGTGAACCTTCTCGACGAGAGTGGTGAGATCAAAGCCACTGGATTCAACGACCAGTGCGACGCGTTTTATGACCTCCTGCAAGAAGGTTCCGTCTACTACATTTCCAGCCCCTGTCGAGTGAATCTGGCAAAGAAGCAGTTCTCCAATCTACCAAACGATTACGAAATCACATTCGAGCGAGATACGAGAATCGAAAAGGCCGAGGATCAGACGAATGTGCCCCAGGTCCGGTTCAACTTCTGCACGATCCAGGAGCTACAAAATGTCGAAAAGGACAACACTGTTGACGTCATTGGCGTTTTGAAGGACGTTGGCGAAGTCAGCGAAATCACCTCCAAGGCGTCTGGCAAGCCCTTCCAGAAGCGAGAGCTCACTCTGGTTGATGACACGGGCTACTCTGTGCGCGTAACCGTCTGGGGTAAAACCGCCAACTCGTTCGACGCCAACCCCGAATCCGTAGTCGCCTTCAAGGGCACCAAGGTGTCCGACTTTGGCGGCAAGAGCCTCAGCCTCCTGTCGTCTGGCACCATGACGGTCGACCCCGACATCCCCGACGCCCACCGCCTCAAGGGCTGGTACGACTCCTCCGGGCGGACGGACAACTTCGCCACGCACCAAAATATGGCGAGCATGGGCAATGCCGGGGGCCGCGCAAACGAGAACAAGACCATTGCCCAGGTCAAGGAGGAGAATCTCGGCATGGACGCCCCCGCCTACTACTCCATCAAGGCCACCATCGTCTTTGTCAAACAAGAAAACTTCTGCTACCCCGCCTGCTCCAAGGAGGGCTGCAACAAGAAGGTGGTCGAGACCGGGGATGGATGGTACTGCGAGAAGTGCAGCGTGTCCCACGAGCGCCCTGATTACCGGTACATCGTGTCGCTCAACGTAGCAGACCACACGAGCCACCAATGGCTCAACTGCTTCAACGAGACGGGCGAAGCCATCTTTGGCATGTCGGCCAACCAGCTTATGGAGCTCAAGGACAACGACGATGCCAAGTTCATGGCGGCGTTTGAGGCCGTGAATTGCAAGAAGTTGAATTTCAGGTGTAGAGCGAAGATGGATAACTTTGGCGATACGCAGAGGTATGTACGGTTGTGTTTGTCTTAATCTTTTTTTTAAAAAAAAAAAAAAAATAGCGTCCTGGAGCATGTTTGTCCGTGGACTCGAGACTAATTTTTCTCACACAGGGTCCGATATCAAATAATGAGCGCAGCGTTCTTGGATTTCAAGAGCGAGGGCAACAAGTTGGCCGAGTTGATCAAGCAGTATGACATGAATGCCTGAGTGTGTGCGAGAGAAACCCTAACCCTAGGCGGAGGGGATTTGACGAACAGTATGAACATGTATATTCACTAGTTGTGAAAGAAAGAAAGAAAGGAGGAAGGGGGGTTCAGGAGATGCAGACGGGCGCAATCAAAGGATACGGGTCACGAGGGCTGTCGGCGGATCATGGGCTATTATATCAGTTGACGGGTAAAATGAAAGGGGATCTTCCTGTACTTCCCGACAACTTCTGTTTTTATTATAATGTCCATCACTTGTCGGTTCCCTGATGTGGGTGATAATTTTTACCCATCTTTTTATTTTACTTGTTCTCATATATTGATTGATATTGACATCTATACTTGCTCAACATGGGTATCGTTCTGATGTGGTTCAACTAGGCAATGGGCAGCTTCTCGTGTTTCCACGGCCGCTTGCCCTCTCCGTCGCCATAGGCAGCGGTGGCCTGGTAGTCCCCCCTAATCTTGTACTTGTAGATGGTCAGGCCCTCGAGGCCGACGGGGCCACGGGCGTGGATCTTGTTGGTGCTGATGCCGACCTCGGTGCCGAAGCCGTAGCGCATGCCGTCTGCCACGCGCGTCGAGGCGTTCCAGTACACGCCGGCCGAGTCAACCTGGTTCATGAAGCGCTCGGCCTCGGCAGCGTCCGCCGTGAGGATGGAGTCGGTATGATGCGAGCCGTGGGTGTTGATGTGCTCAATGGCCTGGGCGACGCCGTCCACCGTCTTGACGGCGAGGGTTAGACCCAGGAACTCGGTGTCAAAGTCGGCGGCGGTAGCGTCCCTGACGTCGACGCCGGCGAGGGACGCCAGGGCCGCCTTGCTGGCCGGGTCGCAGCGTAGCGACACGCCCTTGGCCGCGAGGGCGGCGGCCACGGCGGGGAACGAGGTGCTGAGGGCGGTGTCCTGGACGAGCAGGGTCTCGAGGCTGTTGCACCCGGCGGGATAGCTCGTCTTGGCGTCGACGACGGCGGTGATGGCTTTTTCCGGGTCGGCGGTGGCGGTCAGGTAGATGGCGCAGATGCCGTCTGCGTGGCCGAGCACGGGGATCTTGGTCGACTCCTTGATGTAGCGGACGAGCTCGTTGGAGCCGCGGGGGATGACGAGGTCGATGTAGCGGTCCTGGGCGAGGAGCTGGGCGATTGCGTCGCGGGTGGTGACGAGCTGGATGGCTCCGTTGGGGACGTCTGTCTTTGCGAGGGCCGACGAAATGACCTTGGAGATGGCGACGAAGGACTTGGTGGACTCCTTGCCGCCTACATTGTTCCCGTGAGCAAATGGTTCCTTTTCGTTCAAGGGGGATATATAATTCGCGTGGGCGCAGACGTACCTTTGAGAATGGCAGCGTTTCCAGACTTGACAGCCAGACTGGCGATATTGGCAATGACCTCGGGGCGCGCCTCAAAGATGATGAGGATGACGCCAATGGGACAGGAGACCCTCTCGAGGATGAAGTCGTCGTCGAGCTTGGTCCGCAATTGAATGTTTCCAACTGTTGCCTGGGTTAGGCGGGTCTGCGTAATTACACCTGTGATCTGACCCTTTTCTTTGGCCAAGAAACAAAACATACCTGGGTCTTCCAAATCCCTCACATCCAAGATGCCCTTCAACATATCGTCCCACTTGCCCTTTTTGCCGAGGTCGAGTCTGGAGACGAGAGCCTCGCTGAGGGAGCCGTCGGCGGCGGCCTTTTTCGCGAGCTCTAGGTCGCGGGCGTTGGCGGCGAGGATGTCGTCCCTGGCGGCGGAGAGGGCGGCGTGGATGGCATCGAGGGCGGCATTGCGCGCCGAGGCCGGCAGCGAAGCCAGTGCAAACGACGCCGTCTTTGCCTCCTTGGCGGCAGCCTCTGGCGTTGCGTTGGTGAGAGACATTTCTGGAGGGGTTGGGGGATGTTTGAGTTGGAATGGGCTGCGTCGCGGGGGAGGATTTGATGGGTGGGCGGGCAGGAGCAAATGACGGAAAGTGCGATGACGTTTGGTGGTTAACAAGTGGTTGCCCCGCCGAGGGGTTTCTCAAGCATCCGTCGAGTTCATTCAATGTTCCGTGGCTGAGGCCCATCCGATGCAACTTTCGCCCCTTGATAAAAAGAGGGACTCGGCTGTCTATTATATATGTAAAAGTGAGTGTAGCTTGATTGTAAAAAGGCCGTCGACATGCCACATGTCGAAACTGTCCGTCGTCTCTCATCCCGCCCGTATGCAACCCGTCGGGAAGTATAGGACATGCACACATGAAGCCATGGCTTGTGACGAACAGCGTTGCCGAGCGTCACTTTTCACAACGCCATTGGCGCCCTGCTGAGTCCTGGACATGGCTACGAAAGCAGGAGTGAATAGACGAGATAGCCATCAACATGGTCGGAAAGATAGGCATGTAACCATGGCTGAATTTAAGCATCTATGACAAGGCGTCTCCGGCACCCAGTAGTCGAACTTGACTCTTGAGTGGTAGCGGCTGCGTCCGGATCTGTCCCAGCTAGCCCGGGGGTTCGCCAGATGTGGACAAGACATGGTTTTTTGAGTAAACAACACCCGAGAAGAATCTCACGGCGGCAGATGGGAACGGGGACGCTTCACCCCGCATTGCCAACTACCAAAAAGGCAATAAATAGGGTTAGTGAAGCGACACGGCGACCTGACACTCCTGAGTCCCGACTTGGGCATCTTCATCTTTGCCAAGACTCTAGCGGGGCCGCTCACGGTGGCATCCCGACGCTTCAACCCGTGCGGTATCCGCAGTCAAGAGCATCCAAGGCACTTGACAGACAACAAACTAACCAGACCAAAAATGTCCGGCTGCGCATGGACACGCTCACACCCCCTAGCCTCGTCACCCCCAGAAAGCCAACGCTGCCGAGCCTCGGAACCCAACTGCTCTGTTCGGAGCTCCAAGGTGCACACGGGGACCGCGTTAGGCCTTTCCGTTGCCGAGTTTCTCCTCCCTGTTTTTCAGCCATGTCCCTGTAATGCTTATAGCGCCGTTAGTTTTCAAGATCTTTTTTTCCCTTTCTCTTTTCCTTTCCTTTCTTTTACTTCTTCTTCTTCGTCTCCTTTTTACAAAGAGCAGTCGTCTTTTCTGCCTTCTGCCGGCCTTGTCTCACATATCATGCGCTTCCGTCTCTGTGTCCCCAGATTCCCAAAGCCACCTGCGGCCCCCGCGCTCTGAAAGCCCACCAGCGCCCCCTCCGCGGACCAGAAGCACCAATGCCCGCGGACCTCGAGCAAGCACGCCCGGAGCGTGGCCAGGACGAAAAAACACCGCGCCAACCATCCACTGCGTCTGCGGTAGCGATAGAGACAGAAGAGACACCGGTGGCTCATGATGCCGAGAAGCGTCTGCCCGCGTGCGCTGCCACCCCGGTGAGCAAAAGCGCCCCCGGCCAAGACGGACGCACCCGGCCCGATGCCGATGCCGAGGCCGGGATCCTCTCCGGCGGCGACGGCGGAGGCCGGACCGCGTCCCGCGCATCCTCGACGACACGCCCCGGGACCGTGGCCATTGTGCCGCGCGCGCAGAGAAGAGGCCTGTTTGCGGGCCTGGCCATCACGCCAGAGGTCGAGAGGCCGTACGACTACAGGAATTCGACGAAATGGGGCATCACGGCGACGATAGCGCTGGCGACGCTGGCGGCGCCTATGGGGTCGTCTATTTTCTACCGTTGGTCTCCCTCCACCGCACTCGTTTGAATTACCCTTCGCCACCCCTTCTCTTTTTCTTTCCTCTGCGCCAACATGGCCCTTTTTTTTTAACCTTCTCTCTTCTAATGGCCGCAGCCGCCCTCCACGGACTCACCGTCGAGTTCAACACGTCGTCGACCGTCGCCAACCTCTCCGTGGCGCTGTACATGCTCTCCATGTCCATCTTCCCGCTGTGGTGGTCGTCGTTTTCCGAGGAGTTTGGCCGGCGCAGCGTGTACCTCGTGTCGTTTATGCTCTTCGTCGTCTTCGCGGTGCTGTGCGCCGTCAGCCAGAGCATGGCCGCGCTCGTCGTCTTCCGCGTCCTGACGGGCGGCGCGTCGGCGAGCGTCCAGGCCGTCGGCGCCGGCACCATCGCCGACATCTGGGAGAGCTTCGAGCGCGGCCGCGCCATGGGCATCTTCTACCTCGGCCCGCTGCTGGGGCCCGTCATCTCCCCCGTGCTGGGCGGCGCGCTGTCGGAGAGCCTCGGCTGGCGCGCGTGCATGTACCTCCTCGCCGGCTACGGGCTCTGCGTGCTCGCCATGCTGCTGCTGTTCTTGCCGGAGACGCTGCCGCGGCCCGCCAAGCCCGATGCCTCGACCGCCCCCCTGCGGCGCGTGCCGACGAGGGAGTCGGCCCGGCTGCGCTCGAGGCGGCTCGCCGGCGGCCTCAAGCGGTTTCTGGTCGACCCCCTGGCCGTGCTGCTGTTCCTGCGCTTCCCGCCGGTGCTCATCACCGTCTGCCTCGCCGCCATTGCCTTTGGCGCCCTCTTCGTCGCCAACGTCTCCATCCAGCAGGAGTTCGGCAGGGCCCCGTACCGCTTCGGGCAGCTCGTCGTCGGGCTCTTGTACTTGCCCCCTGGTCTGGGGTACTTCCTGGCCTCTGTCTTTGGCGGCAGGTGGATCGACAGCATCATGGCCCGCGAGGCGGCGAGGGCGAACCGCTACGACGAGCGCGGCAAGCTCATCCTCCTGCCCGAGGACCGCATGCGTGAGAACATATGGATTGCGACCCTTTTTTTTTCTTCATTACCCTGTCAGAGGGACTGCAGACGGGTAGTTGTATCGTTGGACTAACTGGCAAAACCCGGAAAAAAGAGCACGGCTACGACGATGCTCACGGAGTTTGTGCGCAAGAGAAGCTCCGCTGGGGTGGCTGTCAACAACTTTGTCCGCAACATCCTCAGCTGCGTGGGGACCATTGTGGCCGCGCCGTGGGTTGATGCCATTGGCGTGGGATACGTCATGACCGCAGTGGCCTTGTTTTGCATCGTCGCTGGATATATCGGCATTTGGACGCTGCGCCGGAATGCGCCCAGGTGGAGGAAGGAGATGGACAAGGCGTTGAATGGGTTGGGCTGACATTTGGCATGCATCATGGGCGTCTGGTATTGGCATGTAGCCTGCGAATTTCTAGGCGATGTATGATATATGGCGTTTTTCATGAATTTGCTTTCTTGGATGCCGACCAAGAGGGTGGTTCGTCTCGTCGTAACAATGTGAACTTGATCATGGTTGCCCTTTCGTCATCGTTCAGTGTCGCTTCCCGCCGGCAGCTGAAGGATGCGTCGTCATCCCATATATGTGTGTAAATGAATATGCCCCTACCCTCCCATCACCATCACAGGCCCTGTCATCCACCAGCTACTCAGAAAACAACCTCCCAATCGCATCAGCCCCTACATTCCCACCGCTGAAAACAATCCCCAAGTCCCACCCCCGATCGCCTGCCTCCCTCTCCACCATCTCTCTAAAATCCTCGTCGAACAACGCAACCGCCAACCCAACACAGGCACTCGGCTCGACAACCACCTTCATCCTCTCCAGCACCAGCCTCATGGCCTTCTTAATCTCCTCCTCGGTAACGCTATACATCCCACTGACCAGCCTCTTCTCATAAATCACTTTCCACGGCCACTCGCCCACGGGCGTCCTCAACCCATCAGCCACGGTGAGCGAACTCACAGCCGCCACCCTCTCACCCGTCTCATACCCGCGCTTACCGTCGTCCGCCCCCTCGTAGGAAGGTTCCGCCCCAAAGACCTTTACGCCCGTTCCCTCCGCGGAGAGTGCTACGCCAGAGAGCATGCCGCCGCCACCGCAGGGGGCGACGATGGCGTCCAGGCCCTTTGTCGAAGGCGCCGCGTAGGGGTCCAGCCGGGACTGCAGCTCGGCCACCTGCTCCTGCAGCTCGATCCCCATGGTCCCCTGGCCGAGCATGATGTCCGGGTGATCATAAGGCGGGACGAGCCGCGCGCCCGTCTCAGAAATGACCTTGTCGGCCATGGCCTCGCGCTCCACCGAGGTGCTCCCGCTGAAGTAGACGGTTGCGCCGTACCCCCTTGTGGCAGCGATCTTCTGCGGCACGGAGATGGTGGGCATGACTATGTGCGCTTTGATGGAGGACTCGCGGGCAGCGAGGGCGAGGGCCTGCGCGTGGTTGCCTGCGCGGGTTAGCATGCCCCGAAGAATGCGTGAGGGAGAGAGAGAGTACGAGAGGGACCATGAGGCCGGGCGAGAACTAACTTACCAGAACTATGCGTAACAACTCCCCTCTCCTTTCCGCCGCCCTCAACCCACCCCTCCTCCATCATCAGCCTGCCCAGCGCATGAAATGCCCCTCGGACCTTGAACGCTCCTATTCTCTGCAGGTTTTCACATTTAAACCACAACCTAATCTTTGGCCTGGCCGGCCTCCTGCCCTCGAAACGGGTGCCCTTGAGATCATCGGGAGACCGGGGCGTAGATGCAAGACCAGAGAGGGTAGTGTTTGTGAGCACGGGGGTGCGGTGAATGTGTGGTTTTATGAGGTCGTGAGCGGCCAGCACGGACGCACGGGACAGAGGGAGCGTGGTTGATATGTCGGCCATGTTGGGGGGACGGAGTGGTTCTGGGAAGCCGGGACTTCCAAGTTTGATGATGAGTGATGCTGGTGAGAGGGGGAGATGGTGAAATGGGGGGTCTAGGGCCCGCTCCGATTCCGCAACAGTTTAGCACGACATGTCTGCCAAGTTTAAACCGCGATAAATAAATCCCCGAGCGTTGGATAATGCATAAATATCTAGACCTGATTACGCTGATTCGCTCTTTTGCACCGAGTGCCAACCTCGCAAAATGCCAAGTTTCCTCCACCATCTCATTCGCCAGAAACGATGCCCATCCTCTATCATGCACGTTGATGAACTCCCGACCCAAGCAGACTGTGCCAGATTTTCTCGTCTTGTCGTTGCACACAACCCCCCTGAATATTTCCTGTTCTAGCCTCACCAGATAGCTTCACCTCACCCTGCCATTCCGCGATGCTCCTTGGTTTTCAACACGTTGAACCGCCGATCGGCCAATCTACTTCGATACGCGGTCGTATGATGTACCCTTTATGGTTCCTCCATTCATAGACGTTCGTACGTTACGTCTAAATCCTTCTCTGTTGCCTCTCAAGTCCTCGGCGGCTTCTTTGTTTAGAGGGTCGGAGGCGTTCGGCTCTAGGAAAAGAAACTACAGCCAAGCATTAGCAGCCTGTTCTCTCATGGGGGCTTTGTGTAAAAGCCTCGGCCTGAAATCTGACGGAGCAGGTCCGAAGCGCCTTGGCAATCCGAACCGCTATCCCAGGTTTCAAGCTCGGAGCGGCATAGACCCATACCTGTAGTCCCACGATCACTGCATTCAGATTCAAAACTGGTTTCCAGTCCTCCCTCAGAATATTCAGGCACACCTTGCCCTCTAGATCAATATTCGGGTGGTAAATCTTCTCTCTGCACCTTACTTTCGGGGGCTCGTGCGGAAAGTTCTGGTTAATGGCAAAGTCAAACATGAACCGGCCGTTGCGGTACATGCCCTCGTCAGGTTCAATAGTCAGGACAAAGTTGAGAATGTCATCCGGATCGGGAAACTCGGTTCTCATTGTTGAACCGAGAGATAATTCGGAGAGATCTGGTGTAGTGAAAATTATTCTGTCAGCACGCCCGTATCTGCCTCAACCGTTATTGCATCTCCCACCAAGGTAGTCTGCCATCTTATCCCCTCCCCAAGTACACAAGCTCTCAGACACAATGATAGCTCAGTCTGGACGCATACGTACCCTTTTGAACTCGCAGCTGCGCGGCCGTAACTTTCTTCTTCCGCCCACCCGCGGCTTGACCCTCTGCATTCTCAGCCTGCTTCTGCTCCTTTTTCTGCAAAAAAAAAAAAACAACAAAAACAAATTAGCGCCATTCAGAAAGAAGAAAAAAACCCACAAAGACACCCGAGATTTACAGATGGAGGTCCATACCATAGACCAAATCTTGAACATCTTGGCTGGTCGTGAATGGCCCGCCTGAGGAGGGGGCCCAAGTCTCTCAAAGCAAAGAAGCTGGCGATATGCTCTAGGAGGCAGGAGTGGGAAAAAAGGGGGGAATAAGGCTATAGAAGCGGAATACTGCAATAGGGATATGCCCGTCAATAGGCCTTTGGAAGGGCTGTTGATCGTAGGTGCTGAGACCTTATTTCGCAGGTTGGTAGGTAGAGAATGTCGGTGTTGGTCATTGCCCATCGCCACCAGGCACCGCAGCCCACCAGGCCGCTGATGACGAGGTTAGATAAGATAAGCACGCACTTGGCACAATTTGCCGAAGTTTATGCGTCACACCTTCCGGTGCCAATTCCAGTTCGTCAGTCGCTTTCAGTTATCGCAGTTCGGATAATTGATTCAACAAGGGCATTGAATCCGTGATGAGGGAAAAAAAAGGAAGCTCCATTTAACATCGTCCATACGTTTAAAATCAATATTTCTCATGCATTAATTTTTAATACAAAAACGTTACAAAGAGAGGTATTCGCAAATGAGCCAATTTTGTCTACAAGTCGACATCCGTGATGATACCCTTTCAACACCACCGCTTTCCCTCTTTCCAAATGCTGTCCACTCTTTTTTGCCGTGTACGCCTCATCTGCGAGCGAAGCAGCACATTAGACCCGTCTTGCCCAAAAACCACAGGAAGCCAATGAATCGAACAATAGACAGCGCAGCCGTGGCATACAACAAGAACTTGAAGAAGTTGGCCGTACGAACAGACGCCGATTTCTAGAAACTGTTAGCATTGTGCACAGACCAAACCATGATACTAAGCCACTTACTCCTATACCAAACGAGTTAAAGTTGTCGCTGGTGATTACAACAACAAGCAAGATGTTTGAAAAGAGCCAAGAAACGACCAGACCCGTTCGGAAGGACTTATAAGAGTCCTCCACATCCTTCTTCTCGATTTCTTCCACCTCCTTGAAGGGTGCAAGAGCTCGTCGAACCGTCTGCTCGAATTGACTGTCGATGTCTTCTTGTTCCTTTTCAATTTCCTCAACGACGACCTCGTTCTTTTCACTCTTGGTAACATTCGCAGATGGAAGTGCCTCAGCCTTGTCTGAGCCCTTGGTACCCCAAGAGACGTCGTGCCAATTGTTGAAGGCGTAGACCATGAGAATGTTGATGTAAGTCGACATGAGAAGCATATAGTACGGGAAAGAGTGAAACATGTGCCAAGGATCGAGGTAAAGAAACGAGGCCAGGAAATAAAGACCATAAATGGTGATTAGTGCAATGAGAATCACACCAGCTGCACTAGAACCAGAGAAGAAACTTCGTACGAAGTCCTCACTGGAGTCCAGCTTGATTTGCTCTGTGATGGGCTGCTGGAACGCTCGTGCCACCAGGTATCCCGAAAGAACCAAAATGTATCCCTGAATAAGACCAAATACCATGAAGGAGGCAATATATGTAAATTTGGAACCTTTTGGTCGATTACCCAATGCCAGGATAAACTGCAGTATAACAAAGGCCAGGTACAGATACTTGAGCAGAGCATTTATAATAGGGGTGGCAGAGTCACCAAAAGGCCAGCCGTGGTGTTCTGAACCACTGGTGGAGGCGACAACTGGGGTGCCGACCAGATCCATGATGACAGTTGTGGTGAGATAGTAGGAAGCGAGCGAGAACCAGGAGAAGATGACATTGAGAATATTGTAGATAACCTGAATGTGCAAGAAGAACATGCGAATAATGTTGTGACCGCTCTTATACAGTCGTCCGAAGTGCATAAGTGAGTACAGAGAAGCAGCAAAGGAACCGTTGAGCCAACGTCGACGCTGGCTGATGAACTCGGCAGCACCCTCGGGCACGTCGGTTTCACCCTTGGCAGCCTTGATATAGGTCAAATGCCACTTTTGACCAGCTTTGGCGACAAGTTCGAAACAAAGAATACGATCTTCGGCCAAGAACATGTTCTTCTTGAAGATGTTCATTCCATCAATACCTTTCTTGCCAAGAATCTTGGATAGCGTATGGTCACCGTGGAAGTACTGCTCCAACGGACGACCCATGATGGCTCGGAATCGGTAGGCAGAGAAGGCACCAGGCAACACGGAGACGTATCCGAAGGAACTCTCCAAAGGCTTGTCAAGGATGTTGGAAATCTTGTACTCGAAGTTCTGGACTGCGACAAGGGGATTGAAGAGCTTCTTGCCCCCCTTACCCAACATGGCATGAATCTCACCACAAGCACCACCGAGATCCTTATCATTGTAGAAGCCTTCCCACAGGGCGAGGAGAGATCGAGGGCTGGGCTTCGTACCGGCGTCGATAAGAATAGTGACTTCGGGGTTCAAGATTCGGCCAAACGCGTTGAACAGCCATCTATGGGAGTTGATCTTCTTGCTGTTCTTCTGCTTGAGACAGAAAATAAACTGCACGGGGGGGAGGTTCTGAGGGCTGTCGCCAGTTGGTCGAATCAGCTGCTGGCTTGGGGTAACAGACAGCTGACTGGTGTATTCGAAGATATGGGCAACGGTCTCCTTGCCGTCAACATCCTTCTTGATAACACCGTCTTGATACACACCAACTGTGGCAAGAACGTCGAGAGTGTTCTTGTCTGCCTTCTCGATACCGTCAAAGACCAGGCAGACAACAATCTTTTGCCATGCTGGTCCACCCTTGTTCCAGAAAGTAGACTTCTTGAGGTTAACAATGTCACGGATATTCTGCATAACACCGTGCAGGGTTCGAGAGAGCAACACTTTGTCCTCATTGTAGTAGGTAATGGCGATGAGCAGTTCAGTATGTCTGTTATACATACGAGGTCGCAAATCGTAACCATTCTTGAGGGTGAAGTCGTTGGGGTCGCAGGTGGCGGCCGTGTACCGCATCTTCATAAACTCTTCATTGCCGCCTTCAACGTCGCGGTAGCGAGGCTGAACGGCGTTCTTGATGGCACTGGGTACGGGGTAATCGATACTCAAGACGGAGCCCTGGACAAGCTTGACTTTTCGCGTGTTGTATCGCTTCAGCCCACCAGATTGGCCGGCGCCGCCAGGCTGCTGCTGACGCTGCATCCAGCTCTCTTCCTCATCGTGCACGGCGGAGAGAGGGCGGTCATAAGGGCCGCCGAAACCTTGGGGTTGTCCATACTGGCCAAAGCCATTATCACCAAAGCCACCAGAGCCAGCTGGAGGGAGCTGTGATGCGTTGGGGGCATACGACTCAGTAAGACTATAGGCAGAGACTGGTCGGTCGGGAGGCGTGCCAACTCCGAGACGGTCGTGGTCATAGCCGTGTGCGGGGGGCTCATTTAGCAAATAACCTCGAGCATCCTCATCGTGGTCCTGAGGAGTGATGTGATACTGCGGATGACTGCGGTTAGCCCTATTCAGGCAGAACTCGGTGTGAAACTTGAGGTGATGGGGAGGACGGTCAACCCACGTTGTTACCCGACGGGAGGTCCTGCATGGGGTGTCCCCCGTATTCATGGCCTTGGCCTTGGCCCTGGCCTTGACCGTGGCCGTTGTACGCCATGATGTAATCAGTTGTGTAGCCGTCCCGAGCTGGAAAGCGCAGACGTGACTATTCGGTAGAAATACTGAGAAGCTCAAGTTGTGGTCGGGTTCGGCAGATGCAAAAAAAAAAATCCAAGTGATGGCTGATGGGAGAGCTTGGGGGTGTCAGTGGGGGATTTTTTTTCCCCTTGGTTGTACCAGACAAAGTGCGTAGTGCTACCCAGGCAGGTACTTTATCCGCGCGGCAGGATGGCGGTGCTGGAGCGTACCTTCACTCAACCCAAGGCAAGCAAATCAGGAGGCGGCTAAAAAAAGAGCAGGCGCCCAGGCAGCTGGGTTTTGGGCAAGGGAACAAGCTCAGCGCTGCCTCATACAATACAAACTCCGAATGGTGCAAGCTGGGCACGAGACGGTGATGGGGGAAGAAAGGGGCAAGTCGCACCACAAAGCATGAAGAGATGATGAGGATGAGAGAAGGAGAAGATAAACAAATGGCCTTGGACAAAGGTGGGAATAAAGAAGACTGGTACGTACTCCGTACTCGACGGATGATGAGGGTGCCCAAACAAGGCGGCGCGCTCAGGGGATGGTACACAGAGAGGGAGATTTTCGGGGCGATCGCTTGACGTAAGTACCGGTAAGCATTACCACAGTATAGCGGACAAGCTCCATGTCCAGCTGTCAACGGTCAACAACGTAATGCGTAAAGTACTTAAGTACCCAACGTGGCCGTTGCACACTTGGGTCAACGGTACTTGTGGGCAGCGGTCCTTGTTTCACAGGCCCGGGTCAATAGCACATGCAATAAGCACAGGACAGCCACTGCAAGTCGGCGTCGTGAGCCGCCGCAGTTTTGAACATTGCGCATGGAACATTGGACCCGACGGGCTTCGTGAACAACATTCAATGATGAGTGCATAACACACGGAGTAGACGCGCAGCAAGAGGCAAATGGCACCAGACTACGGGCCAAAATTAGGGGACCGGCGCTAGCGTGGGCTGAGCCACTCTCCAGCGCTGTCATCCTGGAACTCGCCCCAGCATTCTGAAGTCGGGCTGCCCCGTCCACTGTCGTGCACTCCGTACTCCAAATACGGAGTACTGCTACTCCGTACTTCGTACTAGTACCTCATCAACTCGTGTCTCTGTCGCCGCTCGCTTCCTGGCTGTGGCTGGGCAACAATAGACCTGCATCTGGATGCTGGGGCTTGGCCGGTGGGTGGATCCCAATTGCTCCAGTTGCCACCGGGTGATTTGGCGTCAATTGCTCGAGATGTCTACGGAGTAGCCACGCCAGTTTCCACGAGCTCGTCATCTCATCCGCCCTTTCTCACGCTGGCACCCAGGGAGGCTTGGGAACCATTGTCCCCACGGCTGCTCAACCTCGAGAATAATAATAATGACGACACCAAGCAAGACCCGCCGTTTAGTATTCGGCCATGCTCATGGCTCTGCAGCTTGCTGTGCTTCTCCTTCCGAGTAGTACCCTAGATCTTCTGGCCTATTCGAATCATCTCTCACCGAGTACGGGGTATGGAGGACCTGGTCGTTGAACGCCGGATAACGATTAAATGAGAGGACTGCCTTCTCCTGGCTCGGTATTTGCACTCTCCACATGTACAGCCCGCGACCACGGCAGCTTTGCTTGGCTCTGACCGCTGACCATTGCACAGCAGACCGGGCAAACAATATTCTCCCCAATTGAAACAGTATAGGTTTACACGATACAGAGTAGTCCGTACTGCAGGTAAGGTCCATCTGGGCACCAAGATATCTACGAGGCTGCGTACGGAATACCACCTACAAGCGCATTCAACCGCATAAAGAGATCAGGTGACCAAGCAGCAGATGGCGGCAGACACCTGAGCAGACCGCGTCAAATGCGCACAAAGACATTCAGTTCTTTGTTTTGCTCAATCGTTTCATTCGCGAATACAGCCGCAACCTAGAATGAATGCCCCTGCCAGGGATTAAAGCAGAGCCCGCCGGGGAGTGCGCCATGCTTCGACGAGCTGACGACAAGGACCAGCCAACTAGAACTGGCATGGTCCAAAACCTAATAAATTGGCTCTAATATATTGTCGTCGTATGGGAGTAACCGAACGAGATCTTCGCATGGTGTGAACTATCTCGGCGGCGTGCTCCGTACAACACACTGCACTACGAATAAACCGTACGCAACGTTTGGCACCAAGCCCTGCCACGACGTCTTTTTCTGCACGTTTTCGCATGTCAGCGCATCGGGTACGGAGCGAGCTCCAGATACAAAGAGAATATCCACATTATTGCAGTGCGACAAGATTGAAAGGGGGGGAGGCTCCCAGAAAAATCCCAAAAATAGCACTTGTGGATCTCTCCCGTGGAGCCAACCTCAACCTCAGTCCTTCAAAGTGGCTGGTCCATTGCATTCTGTGGAGGCGGTGTACTCGGCCCGTGGGTGCCGCATGTATCTTGGAAGTTGGGATGGTGATGATCGATGTTTGCTGCTACCCGCGTTTGGTCGCGTGAGTAACACAACCCTCTGCGAGCAGACACGCCGTAAGCGATAGACGACGGAGTAGAGCCTCTCTTGATTCATCCCCTTATTATGCGGCTAGTATACCCCTGTTCGCTGATAGTACTATGGGAAGAGCATTTCCTTTTGAGGTTAAATGATTCCAGTGTTTGGGGTAAGCATGTTGCGCGGCAGTTGAGACAAGAATTTTACCAACAGAAAACGAGAAGGGCTTGCCCTACTGTATGATAGACTAGTATGGTGCCTATGTAAGACACTGGTTGTGATGAAACTAGTCAACACTGGCTATACCAAAAGACAGCGCGTGCCGGGATGCTGCTTCGCAGGTTGCCGCTGAAGATACCAGAAGCCATATTCATTCGCATCGTCTCGTGCCCAAATGTTGTGGTAATATTCATTTGTAGCGTCCTTTGCAGATAGCATATTGGTTTGAAGTCGATTTCTATCCTGTAGTAACCTTAACCTTGGCGGAAAACCCCAACGTCTGTTGTGATTAGGGTAACCGCCTCATGTACACGAACCTCTTCCATAGACTGGCTATCGCCTGTACCGAAACGGTGCGTAATCATCGAATGGCTAATTTTACCTCGCATCATCAAATATAGACAGCCCTAGACGGGGCCCAACAATGGAAAATGCGACTGGAAAAACAAAAGATGATGGTATAGAATCACACCCTCCACCATCCAAGGGATTGGGCGAAGGCAGGCTATATGATGGAAACATCCCCAAATGACGTGTTCCGCAGAAGCTGTACGTCGAAATAGTAACATCTAGATTCCCAATGAGTCTGAAGATCATCACATACGGTGTGTTTAACAAGTCGAAAGAAGAAACAATATGCAAGAAATCCTGCACGATGCTGAAGTGCGTCACGCCTCCTGCCACAAAATGCCGCGTGGAAATCAACCAGCCCAATCGCCTCAACTATTCCAATCCAGAACGTTGGTAAAACCTGCTGCTGGTGTAGGTAAGACATGCTGGACAGCTTGCTGCAGATAAATCCTACGATTTTGTGATAAGACTGGACAACATCCCCCTGGTGCCTCTTAGTCCACAGGACTGAAGAAGCCGGCAGCGGAGCGGAAGCGCCGAGCAAGCAGCAGGCAGAGATCAGCATGTCTGTTCGCAAAGGCCTGTGCAATAATAGAAATAGCCGGCAACACATGCGTTCCGATGTTCCGGGTTGTGGCGTTTCTGGCAACTGACCAAAGCGCAATATTGGAAAGCCCTGCTGCAAACTACATGCTTTGACGAGTCCATGTTTTGAGACCTTACCAACTAGCTAGCTATCGTACGAACCTAGCTATGTAACACCAATTATTATGCAATTCGCAATTGTTCTCTCTTCGTCGTCGAGTTCACGTCTGAAAGACGAGTCCCTGGTATAATTGTAGGCGAGACGCCTTGAGCCATTTGCTGAGACGTGACACCTTGCCCCTTTTGCGTCTTTCGTGATACTGATACTGGTCCTGGCATGTCTGAAAGGCCGTCCCCTGTCTCTGTGTTCATTCTGAGGTTCTACATACGTTAAACCGAGACAAGGACGTGATGTGCCGCGCCTGGGTCCCTAGGAGTGACCAGAAAGGCCAACACTAGAAACATCTAGAGATTTGGAAAGTCAATTATACGGTAATTCGTTTGTAAACGGATGCCGATTCCCCTAGTTCCCTGTCTGTGGCCGCATCCTCCCCTCTAGAAAGTTGATACCAGTAGGGACTCTCATGCTCTTATTGGTCTTGGCATGGAGCGCTTCATGGTAAGGGGGAAACGGGTTGCGCGTTGATCAGATTGTGATAACGAACGTATCTCTGTTTGTGTACAGAGCGACGCTGACCTGCAACTTGATGGGTGATTGAGAATACAGTCCCGGATATGTGGAAGGGTCGTAAAGGGCAAACGCGTAAGCCATACGCTTCAGCCATGTGAAGCATCATGGTCCAAAGGATGTGCACTAAACGTAGTGTATCAATGGCAGGGTATTGAAGAAGTTGGTGTGTTTATATGTGTGTAACTAGCTAATAAACCTAATGTGAGTTGGCATGATGTGGATTCAAAGAGGACAATGTGTGTATGTATAAAGTTCACTGTTGGACTCTGAGCTCGGCCAGCGATTGGCAGCTTTGAGAAATCCTTGTCTACTTGAAACGATTCGATTCTATGCAGAGCTGTGGTCATGTCTATGCTTTACTTGCGGTAGTCGGGCGAGACGACGGACATGTGAGGCCTGTGGCGAGCATTTGTTGACGCTTGGGGTCTGTACGCCCATCGACGACAACAATGATATCTGCCAGAGTCAGAGAGCTAGAAATACCTGCTCTTCAGCCTCTTGGGCTGCCGGCTTGAGAAACAATTCCTGCCTCCGAGGTGACGTACCTAGGTAGCCTCTCGCCTCGCCACGTCAAAACAAGCCAGAGAACTCTGCTGTGGAGGAGAAAGCCCTCATAGTACTATTACAAATAAATGATTGGCCAGACCATGTTTTTCAGCACATGAATCTTGTTTTGAAGAAACTTCACAATGGCAGATATAATGGGCCGTGCCACACGTTTCGAAACCAAGCCGCAAAGATATGCTCGAATTCAACAGGCGAAAAGCACGAGGGGATCCGCTTGCTTCTCCACGTCCCCCAGCTTTGACAGGAATGCCGCCTCGAAAATCTAGGTCCTGGGCCTTCTGGTTCGCGGAGGGATTTCAAGACTGGAGATGGGGTTCTTATGCGCATGAATAAGGCTTATCCAGATGCAAGGCTAGAGGACTAGCAGTGTAGCCAAGCAGGCATCTTGGTCGGCTGGATGAGACGGCTTGTGAAGAGTTTTTATGCCCACGGTCCATGATCGGATAAGAGTATTGAATGCTTCGTGAATACAACCTCGTCTGTGAAACGGACGCCCTTGGGATTGGTGAATGTTCGGATGGTGGTGAAACCAGGCCGGGTCCATCACCCGTGCGCTGCAATTGATTCTTGGGACAGCAATTGAGGACAATGCTGCGACGCTAATAACAAAGACCGGCAGGGCATATGCTATCGTCCCGTGCGTCAGTTATACTTTGCGAGGTGCTGCAAAAGTATTGGAGTTTATCGGTCGCGAAAAGCACATTCCTGCTGGCGACACTCGGTCGCAAAGAGACTCCCTCCATGCCAGAGTCCGTCTGCTTGACGATGCACGACATGGACTGCCATGTGAACGGCCGCATACTGTACCAGACTTTGCTCCTGGTGTCGGCCAATGAGCCGCGAATGCAATTGCGAGCTCCCACCTGTTTTTCCGGGGTATTGACATAAATCACCGGTGTCCCATCGCAAGCAGCAGACAGACGGAAGCAGTTTTGGACTGTGCGGAGCCAGATGTGATCCACACTGTCCGCAAGACAGGACCCTCGAGTGCGCCCCGTCTGGTGCCATATTGAGCGTCCACCGTTGCACGGAGCGGGGCTCCTTGGCACACTCTCCGGCACGGGCTTCAGCGTCGTCCAGCCTGTACCTGAAGCGTTCCTCGCTATCGGGCGCCACGTGCAGGGGCCGGCTGCGTCCAGGGCGCACTGTGTTGAGCTTTTTTAATTGCTTCGCTACTCCGTGTCCAGAAGCGTGCTAGTGCTTGGTTGAAGGTCTGCCGCCTGCCTGGTGCGGCCAATCAGCGTCGGGAAACTCTGGCGCATCTCGCCCAACCCGCAATCCGCAACCCGAATGTGTGTGCGTGCCTGGCCCACCTCCCTGGCGTAGTGGTGCAATCTGGTCCCATCGTTTCCTCCTTGCCTACTTAAGTACGGAGACATGCATAGCTGTACGCTCAGGGAGTTAGTACTTACCCCTTCAATGTTCCCGTCTCCGCCTGGGTGAGACCTGCACTGGCTCTCTTTGCTTCGTCCGCCATCCACCTCCCGTTACTTCGACTCAGCCATACCAACGCCTCGCGAACGAACCGTCCAAAACTCCTGCTTCTCGACTGCCATCGAGACAGAATACTCTTTTTTTCTTCACTTCATCCAGTCGCCAAGGTCGATGATGTCTTTCGTTTAAAAAAAACACCAAAATTTCTCCATCGTTTTCCTTTCCTAGCCTGTCAAAAGAGCCAGTCTCTCCGTCCACTCTCGCTATCTAAATCTCTGCTTCCGATTTCTCCGTTGCTATTTCGCTTCCCCTCTCGACGACAAACGACCGTTACGCCGTAAACTGTGTCATTGCATATCTTGTTACGGATGTTCTATCGGCTGTGCCGCTCCGAGATTCGCTGAAACGACCATTTGTCTTCTGAGGCCTTGGTAGTTTTCGTCCAGCGTTTATAGTGAGCCGTAGACTTATCTCACGTCACACACCACATCGTCCCGCCGAGACCCCATCATTGATATCCTGGACCGCACCCGAAATGATTGGCCAAACACCTTATATTATTGCTAGGGACTTGGCAGAGGTGGATGAGAGTACGCACCCCGACACACGACAGTCCCCTGTATTGGACACTACGCTAACGTCTTCGCAGTTCTCAATCGCCTCAGCTTCGACCGACGAGACGGCAGCTGTGTTCAATGCGATGACAGGTCGAAGCTCAAGTGCCCGGCCTGCCCGGCAGGTGAAAGTTGCCAGTATACCGTGCCCGTCACCTGCTCACAATGCGCAAAGGCTTTCTGTGTAGGAGATGATTCGGCTGGCAACGGGGTCCAGAATGGTGGTGACAGCAGCAGTAACAGCGGCGGTCCCAGCGCAGGGCCAATTGCGGGAGGCGTCGTTGGTGGTATTGCCGCTATAGCTATCATCACGTTTCTCATTTGGAAATTTGTGATCAAACCGAAGCGGGCATCGAACCCTCATCACTCCGTTTACGAGTCGGAAATAAATCCTGCCCGCCACGTCGAGAAGGACGCTGCTTCAAGAATGACGCGCCGCTCGTCAACCCACACAGTTCATTCCATCGCTTCAACGGTTCTCACACGGGCATCCAATATCATCCAGATTGCTTATATCCCCGGTGTTACCAACCGCGCTACGCCAACCTCGCCCACCGTCCTGGTGCCTCCCGTTCCCCCGATCCCTATGCAGCACTCCGAGGGCAGCCGTCATAGTAGCCAGGATGAACAGCACTTCTTTGTTCCTGGCAACCTTCGAGACTCGACATACTCGGGCATCTCGTCCTTCTCCGACCGCACCTCGTATGCACCCCGATCCAGTATCGCGTCTACAATCTACGGCAAGCAGGCTCAGGTTCAGACGCCCGCTCAGACGGGCATGCGCGCCAAGCCAACTGTTGTCAGCGTTAGGTCCGCTGCTGTTGGCGCTCCCGGCACGCCTCCCGTGCCTGCCATTGACTTTGAGAGGTTTGGTGGCGGTCGACCTGACAGTGGTGCAAGCAACTTTAGTGTTGGCTCAACATATTTGAACAACGCAAACACCGCTCAACACGGGCGTGCCCAGGTTGTCAAGCTTGGCAGTGGATTGAAAAAGATTGAAATTGCGGCCAGGTCTGATGCCAGCGTCTCGTCGACATCTTTGGTGTCTGCTACTTCGTCCAAGGATAGCTCAGGTGCCATCCCAATCGTCGCAGAATCGCCGTCAAACGACCAAGGACCATTCTCGGACCCACCGGAGCGCAAGGTCAATGCCATTAGCACTCCTACTCTAGGCGCTGTTATGGAAGAGGCCGAAGAGCGTCGTGGCGTGGACAAGACCGAAAGACCCGGCTCTGGGGATCGTGGTCGAAGTCCCTTTGGCGATGAGCACGCCACCAAGGAATAATGGTGTGGCTGACATTTAAAAAAAAAATCAAATTTATAAGCTTTTTGCGGCAAATCATGATCCACCCTCGATATCATCTACCAACTATATATATTCTTTTTGGGTTGATGATTGCAGTGGGATTCATTATGCTTTTATATTCTTCTAGCGGGACGGAAATTTTGGGTTACGAAGGTTACGGCGCCACTGGGTATATACTTGACTGGGAATGGATGAAAGAAGGGCATATCAAAGCTAGTAGTACTTAACCCCTACCTACCATGTGTGTTTATTTATTTCTTTGGAATAGAAATGATGGTCAATCTTTGCAGGGACGCCAACTTTTTGGTGTGTAGGGGTCTTGAATGTGTCTTAATCGCCAGGGCAGTGGTTGAATAAGTTTAACGATAATTGATAGTCCTAGTTGAGCCGACGTATGCCGGTGTCAAATGGTAAGACGGTACGATTTAAGAGGCCACAAGCAAAAATAAGCATGGTTTCAGCTCAATATCACCTATGATGGGTTGTCCTTGGCTCATGTTGCTCTTGAACTGAACAAGTGCGCCGAGCTGTCGAAGCAACGGACCAGCGGCACTCTGCCAGACGAGGTGCTGGATCCGGCAGGACACGTCTAAGTACTTAGTTTGTAACTGGAGTTGGTGAATAACCGCAGCCGTGTATACCTGCAAGAGGGGTATTTGAGAAGAGGCACCGTGAAGCTAATAGCCTGCTCTCTCAGCACATGTGCTCGTGGAGCATGTGGCGAGGGACCGCCCTGGTACTACTGGGTATCAGGGCACTGCCGCCGCAGGCAATTTGATAACCAGTAGCTACAAATATGCGTATGGGCATGTATGTACATCCCTACTCGCGGCGTCCAACATCCTTCTTTGTTTGTTTCTATTTTCGGAATAGCAACCGCGCATTTACTCATGCTCTGTACATATGCCCACCCAGAAGCGTCGTCGGTGATTTGGTCAACGTGGGCGGGCTATTCGACGGGGATGAGCAGGTCTTCTTTCGGCACGCGGTTGACGAGGGCGGCGCCGACGTTGGGCGCAGGCGCTCGACGCACCTGTTGGCTTGGCTCTGTTTCTTCAGAGGGACGCGTCGCATTCTCTTGGGACGAGCGAGACCGGCCGCGGCGTGGTCGACGGGGAGAAGAAGTTGGGGATAAGGCGTGCGAGCGCATGCATATGCGGTCACACGCATTGTCACACGCGGGCAGGTTGAAACCGGAGAGACGGGGGTTGCTGCAGGTGAGTGAATTAATGTACGGGAACCTGGATGGTCGCAACATGTACGATTGTAAGATGACAAGGAGAAGTTGATACCAATGCTCATTTGGAGGGGGCCATGCTGGGTTCTCACACAATAATCTTTTGGGACCGGTGCTGGTTTTCGTGGCTGGCCGTGGGGAATAAAACGATTGTGTTTCTACTCCGTACTCCGTACACGTCACAGATTCACTAGGCACCAATTGTGGTTTGATGTTTGCGAGTTCTTATATTGGGATACTCGGCTCCTATTTGCTCCGCAGTGAGGAGACGATACGCCATCTCCAAAACACTAAATGCCGTTGCTGGTCTGCTTGGCAGTTTTTGACAGGGCCCAGCCACCGAACTAGACGGGATAATTATGGACTCGATGCCACGCGGGCCTTTTAATTCTTTGTTTTTTTTGGTTTCGTGGAGATGGAAAGTGGGCTCCTTGCTCGGCATGTACATACATACATACAACATACATCTGAAGGCCATGGGCCAATGAAGCACCCCCTTGACACGATGGGAACTTGAAGGCCCGGCCCCAGTCTATAATGGAGCTATTGGAACGTCAGTATGTACGGAGTACGCCGTATAAAGGAAAGGTTAAAGCGTAGCCTACCACCCCCCCCTTTTGCATCTGTGACACAAGAAAGCACGAGGAACGAGGCAAGGACAGGACTAGGATGCCGGAGGCGTAGGAAGCCAATGAATGGAGGTCAGGGCTCCGTGACGAAATCACATTGACGTCGGCGACCTGGGGAGACTACAATCATAGCCCACGGAGTCCGCTCCGAGAGTTGACCGTGTTGAGAGTGGTGTATAACCTGTTGTGAAAAGACATGGCCAAGCTGGCGGGTGGTCGTCATGGGAGCTATGAGCAGCCAATCATAGTTGCGACGCTAATTCTTCCCTCTTTTTGTTTTTGAAATCTTCGTACGGGGTAGTAGTTATTATAAGATCTCTTGGGGCGAAATGTTTCAAACGTGCGGGCCCTCGTCGACGTGATAACAGTCTGATTAGAACTACTAGCCCCATGCTCGTGAATACTACTTTCAAGACAAGATCTTCAGCAGAAGGTATCCACAGCGGCACATCTACCGCTGATGCCGTTGTTAGCGTCCAGGATATTCTCAAGAACAAGGGACTGAATTTACACACCCAAAAATCACCCAGGCAAGGGCCCTTGGACTTTTTCTATAACAGAACAATCATAGAATCAAGTTATGTAGGTCCATACATGTGACGTTCCGAGGGACGAAACATGACCAAGACGCTGCAGATATTGTGTGGGTTCCGAATCGGGCTTAGCATCAGCCTGCTGTTGAGTCTTGACAACATTCGAGTATAGCGACAATTGAGGTTTTCGGCGTGTTCTGCGCATCTCTCTGCGGATTAACACAAAGGTGTATGTTGGCTCTGGATTCGACACCGAGTAACGGAGGTTGAATCGGGCCTTGACTGAATGCCAAACTGGTGTCGGTTGACAACACGAATGGCATGCACTGGCCGGGTTCGATAGACACCGTTGTTGACATCAGATATGTTTTGAAGCGTGTTGAGACAGTAAAACCGCCGAGCGAGCTTGTCAATGCCATGCCGATGGTCCGCGAGGTCGTGGGGCACCAAAATGAGGACAACAGAGCTCGAAGGAACGTCAACATGGCCATGAACCGCCCTATAGAAATCGATCAAGCAGAACTGTCTTCCTTTGTAGCGTCAAATAGACTGAACGCAATGGTATGAACGCTTTGAGCTCGTCATGTCGTACTGCCACCAGCCGCTGAGTCCACAGTAACGGACTATGCATTGGTAGAGTTTTGAATTCTGTAGACGTCTTGACCGTGCATTCACTCCTTCCTGTTTCGTGAGAATCGCACTTGCAATCTACTGTTTCCATTCCCCAGGTCAGGAGATCAGGAGAGGTGCCGAGGAAGGCACTTGCCTTCGTGATGGAAACGGAAGGGGCTACCTTCCCACGCCCTGGGTATAGAATCAGTTCTTCCACGGGTTTGATCAATCTCTTGTTTTCCCTCAACACCCACTCAATCCAAATACAACAAAATGGGCAGTCATCTGATCCCTCTTTGGTGACTACCTACCCGTCAATTCTTTTATTACAATCCGTTCTGAGGGTGCCATTGGGGACCCAGCAGTCAATGAGAACTCGAAGCCCTCTGGGAGGTCAAACGCCTTGATAAATGATGGTCATCACTGTCTGTAGATGGCTCTTGGTTTGTATAAAAGGTGGTAAGTTCTTGTATTGCGCCCCGCTTGGGCTTGTCTCTTCCGCTCCCAAAGTGGTAATAATGTGTTGCATCATTACCCTGTATGTATGGTTTGAATAATCTCAATGACATTGCTAATGTTCAATTGCGCAAATCCAGACTAAAGCCATGATTCGTGCTGATTCCGATGCCAATTCTGCCTTTGTGCATTGTTCTGTCTCCTCTAACGCGACGCTGTTGTGGACTCAGCACTTCGAGATGTCTACTCTGTATTGCCCACCATATAGGTAGGTACACATACAGTACTGCATCCCGGTGAAAGAAGGGCATCATGGTCCCGTCTAGGTCCCGTGGTAACTCGCTGATGCAGAAGTGGCGACAGAAACAACATACAAGACAACATATGTAGGCAGGTTTACATTTTGTATCTACACACAAAACATACCTGGGACAAACTCTGTCATTGACAGAGTTTTGGCGCGGAGTATACTTTCAAAGGTACCTAGGTAGGTTTGACGGTCTCTGAAAACTCATCAGACTGAAAAATAATGTAGAAGTAGACTTGTATCGAAGCACATTCTGAGTCGCATTGTCAAGCCAGCCGCCCACCTGCAGCCTGCACCATGCAAGGCCGACAGTTCTAGTTTCGAATCTTGCTTCTATATCCTGGGGAAACGGTTATAACAAAACACCATGCCCAAAAAAAAAACCACCATTATTGTGTTTCGGAGGGCAAACGCCCAGCCTCCCTCGAGCGCCACAATGCCATGTAACAAAATCCATCTGCCACACTCGATGCTCACAGTTCCCACTCCGCGAAAACACCGAACAAAAAAATATGTCTCCGAATACCCAGACCCCACAAGGATAGCGCTTCTTAGCCTCCGCCAACATCAGACGGAGGCCCGCACCATGGGACACTTCAGGCTAGCACCAACAAAGGAAACATCAGCTGGTCCCTGTCTTCTCGGAGAAGGGGGACCAAAAAAAGAAAAGAAAAGAGAAGCATCAAAGAGCCAGCCCGTGTGTAAAGCACGCGGTTCCTTCTCGGCTCCATTTCTATCTGTATGTCCTCGCCTGGACCCCCGCTGTTATGTCGAGCATGAACCCGTCAAGCTCGTCATCCATATGTATGAACAGCGGCAATTATCTTTTTCCCCTTTGGCCTTTATGCACGCTCTATCGTGCGTATTCTCTCTCTCTCTTCTCCTTTCCCTTCTTACCACTAGAGTTTACCCTTCTTACTAGCAGACTCCCCCATGCACGCAAGTACGTTCATGCGCCAATGCTCGCCATGCCGCATGCCACGCAAAACGAGTAGGCTGTCCCCCGCTTCTCTCCAGACGTGGCGCACACCCAGGCAAACACCAACCTTGGCTGTGGGCAAGGTTTTATTCCCAATCCGTCAAGCCGCTTGTGCTTGAGGGTCCCCTCCATGTGTCGCCGCCGCCGCGAGGCGTCGCCAGCCTGCTGCGGGTAGGGACAGAGGCTGCACACACGCAGAATTTTTAATTATTTTTCTTAAAAAAAAAAAAAAAAACTCAATCAAGGCAGCAGCCCGAACCATTTGGTCTGCGGGTGCTGCTGGTACCGTGTAGTGTACACGTGTGTCGCATGCCCCTTTTGCGCTTGATCGGACGAGGTGCACGTACTGTATACACATCTGTCCGGCCCGCATGGTTCTGTGGTCGGAAGGGCAGGAGAAGTTGTCTACTAGTAACTTACTAGGTAGTTACTCCGGAGGCTAGGCAGTTGCTTGGTTGTCAAGTCAGGTCAGGAAGCTCTTCGTCTCGGCCAACGAGAAGTGACGATGTCCCATGTCCGATCCCGTAGGCGCTTGCTTTCTGCTCACAGCCGAGAGCTTGCACCCCTCACTTCTCACTTGTTGCTCGGTGCTCAGACAGCAAATGCAAGCTTTTGTTAGCTGTCGGGTCGTCTGCGGGTTGCATTGGTTGCATCAGCTGCGCCAAGTTGCACCAGTTGCACCCCTCCCTTTCGCGCCTTTCTCCCTTCCTAGGGCTTCACATGTTGCCTTAGTGTTGGCGATGGCGTGGGCATCTGCGCTGCATATGTGCTTTACTCTTAGGAATCGAATCTGGGCGATATCGACGGACCCTCCCGGCCGTCAAAGTCCGAACTGGGGCCCTGGGGCTCACAGCTTCTGCTGTCGCTCTCGCTGTCGCTCTCGCTTTCATTATGGCCTTGCCAGGGGCAAAAACACCTGGAGCCATGGATGGGCTTCTTGCGCCGTCACCCGTGAGCATGTACAAAGCGCGGCTTCATGGTCCCCTCTAGTATCTCCCCCGGTGCTCTCAAGTGTATTTTGATGTCAAATCATCATGTCTTTTGATGTGTTCTACCTCGGCTACCAGGCATCTTGTCCTGTTGCTCATCTCCGTCCCGTATCCAGAAGCAAGGAGAAACTGAAATCTTCAAATCCTTTAACTATATAGACAGGTCTAGTAACCGTCGTCTCCATCAGCCGTCTGTCGTCTCGCAGCGTTGCAAATCCGCTCTCTGGTGCTCCACTTCCGTCCACTTCCCTGCTCTTCTTCCCGCGAGGGCAAGCAATTCTCTGAACACCAGGGGGTGGGTGTTGTCCTCGTGTCAATGCCGAGGGGAGTTGAGACCCATGTAGAAAGGAAAACATGCGCGAAAATGTCAACATGAGTAAATAAAGAGGCAATGGAATCAAAATGTGGATGAGTTTGTAAAACAGGATGAGTGGATGTGACTCCAGGACCAAACTCGTACTTGATTACATTGCCATCATGTGCCAATGAGGAAGGGAAACCTTTCGGGGCTTGCGTATAACCAGTGGTCCTGGAAGCAATGCCAGCCACTAGCCTCTTGTCATTATTTCCCAATGCCTCAACATGACATGCAAGAATGTAACAAATAGAGTTTGTCGGACGGAACGAATTAAAAAAAAAAAGACAAAAAAATGGTTCAAGATGCTGAAACAGCTCGAGGAGGCGTAAAAGCATGTCGTCTCTTCATATCGGCTCTCGAAGACAATCGCGACGCCATCACCAAGACCAACAAATCATAGCAGAAGCAATTGTAAATGTCGTCAAAATAACCTAGCGCCCCAGAATATGCCTCTTTTTTTGGATTCATACGCCATTCGCCGATTCAGGTGACGTCGTTCGTTCGTTGCTGGGATGTTGCATCATCAAGTAGAAAAACGTGATAGAAACACCTAACCATCAGTCGCTGAAAATTAATCACATTCCTCCTCCTCTTCTCTCTCTCTCTCTCCCCCCCTCTCTCTCTCCGGCGGTTCGTGTCCTTCATAACAGAGTCTTTAATAGATTGTGCTTTTTTGAGTTTGTGTTTTGGTTTTCATTATCCCATTGGAGCCGGTTGTCGAGGGAAAGCAGTCGGTGGTATGTATGCAGCTTCCATTCGAGACACAAGCACGGCCGCAGGAAAAATTGCGTGACCCCTCACCAACCAACACCCCTCTCAGATGCTGCGTCTCACAAGGCCGGTGATGGCGAGGAAGCATTTGCGCTCATAATACAATACACTTTTTGCTCTTTTCGCCGTCCTTGCTGCGCCGGTATCTTGGTGCCTCGCGCTCGCGGCCCCCAATATCACCATTGCCTGTACGTGAGCGGCCGCTCGAGCCACCCGCCGGGCGAGACGCTTGTTGCCGCTGTCGACGCAAGATTCTGACGACATCGTAGAAGGCCTTTTCAACATTGATGCAGTTCTTTGCAGATGCTTCAACAAATTCGCACCCCAATTCCCTGGCTAGTGCGTGCCCTTCTTGTGTAGATACCTCACGCTCCGTAACTCTGTCGCTCTTGTTGCCCACCAGCATGATGGGCACTGGCATCTGGGGACTCGCAGCGGAGAGGGGCGACCCCGGGTATGACGGTGAGGAGGCACATGATTCCTTGACGCGTTGGATTTGGTGGTGAAATTTTTTGATGCGGGTAAATGAGGAGCGGGATGAAATGCTGTAGACGAGTACGAAACCCTCGCCGTCACGAATCCATTGGTCGCGCAAGGCTGTGTATTCTTCCTGTCCAGCGGTATCGAGGACTTCGAGCATGCAGGGTTGACCGTCTATGACCACCTGTTTGCGATATGAATCTTCAATCGTCGGGTCGTACTGTCATGAGGCTGCATCAGCTTGCGAGGCCCAGAATCGAGGATTAGCTTCCCCGCCTCCACCTCTGGACGGTGAAGGTCGCAGGGACATTGGAGGACTGCAGACTCACGGTTTCAACAAAGTGTTGCAGACATAGTTGAATTGTCAGTGCTGTCTTTCCTACGCCACCATCACCCAACACCACCAGCTTGTATAGTACCATACGGCCCGCCATGCTGGGCAAGAGTTGGAGCTGTGCGCCGACAAGTGGCTAGTCGAGGAGAGGTGATGGAGAGATTATACACTCGTCCTTGACAGGACAAGCCGTCGATCAGGAGGGAAGGGGAGTGGTCGGCGAAGCACAGCTCGGAATTGTAGCGGGAGCCTGGGACGGGAGAGCAGCGTGGTGATTGTGCGGCTCCGAGTCAATGGGGAAGAATGAAGGATGGTCAGGTCAAAGATGTCTGCTCCAGCCTCAGCACAAGACTCGCGAAAGATGTTACTGAGGCGTTCTGGCTTGCGGTGGGAGCTGCTGGACTCGGGTGGGCAGAGGGTCGAGTGGAGTCGGTGGGTGAGCGGGTCATGCTGCTTTGTATGGAGTAGAGGCGCAACGACAGAGCCACTGTCTGAGCCAGTGAGCATGGTTGCTAAGGTACTCGGTACGGAGTACAGAGCAGCAGTGGGCGCTGATAGGAGACCATCGGCCGCGGATGGACTGGGTTCTCGAGTGGCCACCAAGATAGATTGATAGGTTCGCAGCTAGCAGGATGCACATGGTGACATGGACCACCCGAGTGCACGGCCAGTTGCTGGAGGAGATGCTCAGCTTGCCCGCCATGGTCCAGGGCCGTCCAGGGCTGATCTCATACAACAACATACATACATACAGGTAGAAGCTGGCCGAGCTTGTTGGTAGGGACGAAGCACCGCAGAGAGAGCTCCAAGGCCGGATGGGTGCATGATTGGCGGGCTGACAAGCTGTAGAAGTTTATGTACATTCAATGTTAGATATAATATGGGCCGCACGCGAGTCCAGTCGATAGCAGTACTGCCAACAACCCATGACTACTCCATATGATCCGTAGAGCCCTGAAGAGATAAAGGCACCAACCACTGCTGTCTGGTGCTGGCCGATACACAAAAAGAGCCATGCCACCATGATGCTCAAGCTCGCCTGTTTGTCGGATCCGCTGGGACGTGGTTGGGGGTCGAGGAAAGCCAGACGTCCTCGACTATCCAGTGGAGCGGCTTGACCTCTTGCGGTCTCTTGTCGCTTCTGTAAGCTGACCCAGCCAGATACGCCCGGTCAGCCCAGGTTCAATGTTGGCCAGGACTGGAGCTCAAGGGGTCTTGAGCGGGTCGCCCCTTTGACAAGACGAACGGGGCAGATACAATTGCAATGCGAATATTAGCGCAGATGTGGTGATGGCCTTTGTTCCTTTTGTTGCGTCTCGACAAGGACAAGTCCTCCAATGATTGATGGTGCAATACTCCATACAGGTGGCCCCTTTGGCGGCTTTGGCAGTGTCTGAGGCAACTCGAATGCCGCCATGTTGTGCTAACCATGGTTAAGCTAGGCAGGCTGTTTTGAGGAACAATGCGTGACAAGAGTGTGGGAAATAATAGAGGCCCGTTGCCATGAATGTTGAAATCCGCTCAGCCACAAGTGCTTGTCCTCCATACCGTGGTAGTATGTACATTGCATCGGTTCTATCATTGATATGCCGCGCCGGGGAGTCGGCTTCAGAGGCTCCTTAAGCCAAACAGCAGACAAGGGCAATCGGCAATTAATGTTGGTTGGAAAAGTCAGTCATATTGTGACGGCGACGAAATAACACGGGGCTTGCCATTCTTCGAGGCAACGTGTGCTAGGTACCAGACTGTTGGGATGGCCAATCGGCGCCGGATTGGGTCATCATCAACAACATTGCAGATTGTACTCGACGCAAACGCCTGGGCCAGAATCCGAAGCATGTGTACAGAGTGCGCTCTATGGCTTCTCTACGGGGGACTCTGCATCATCGTGATTCTCGTACCAACAGCCAACAGCATAAAATCTAGTATTGCTCTTCGAATAGCGATCAATGCTGCATTTTCGTTTTAGCAGGCGGGCCGGAGGATACAAACAGAGGCGGCCTACCAAACTCCATGGAACCAACCATCCACGACTCGACGCGCCTTGTCGATCTGCGTTGTAGTCGACCTCCCTGCCAGAGTGGTAGTCTGGCTGGTGGCTAAAGAGCATCGTCCAACCCTACAAATCACATACCCTAGCTTGCCCAGCAGCCCGCCTGGGAGTTTGGAGCCTCTTGGACCATGGATTTGGGTGGCCCAAGCAAGCACCTGGGCGGGTCTTTGGTTTTGGTGTAATTCTGAGCATCCACTGACCCCCTCAGCCACGGTCGTTTGCTGCATCGATGCTAGTTATGTTGTGTGTGTCCATTGCTTGTGGTGGTTGGCGAGCGTCAGCTCCGTTGCGCCCTGGCGCGTCATGGCATCGTGAGTGAGTGAGAGCAAGCAGAATGTTTGCCGGCAGCCCAGAGAAAGGCGAGAAGTGCCGGGGGGAAACGAGAGCCAGGGAGAGAGCCTTGACAAACAGGCATGCAATGACAGCGGCAAAACAAGACATTCGATCTCGAGTTCCCAGTTTTGCGGCTTCAAAAGGAAAACGTTTCAGTCCATTGCTGGAAGAACCTGCGGGCCAAAAAAAAAAAAACTAACACCAGACTGCATTCATCGACAAGGAAGGGAAGGAGCGTTTAGCAATACTGCAGGGCTGCCTGCCTCGTGCATGTTTTGTGGTCCTGGCGCTTGTCAAAGCCACTCGAAGCATTGTCTCTTGCCTGGTCCCAACATCGAAGGCCTCGACGAACCCTCGACAAGCCCACGAGTTATCGACTTCACCACCCCAGTCCTCACATCTCAGTCATGGTGTCGCATCGACTCGACCAACTTCTATTTCTACCTCTGCGTTCGGACCTCCGGGTTCCGGGCCTCTGCTCCTGCGGCCGCACGTCCTTGCCATACGGCTGTTGTTCCGGCCGCCGGCTTGACCACTCGCCTGTTTATTTTGCCTCGTCATTTCGCTCGTCCATGCTGCTTGGCATGTATCATTGGCATCGAATATCATGCTACATGTAACGGTTCTATCAATGCCCCCTCTAGCATTTTCATTCGTCGGTCTCGTAAGGTTCTAGATTTGCCACTTGAAGGTAGCTAGACCCTGGCGCTACACAACAGCAAGACATCAGACCGGCCGCAGCGGAGAGCCGCCAAACAAGAAAAAGGTTGCCATCGATATCTTCTGGGGCAGAACTGTCCCGACCGCGACGAATGGGTGGTTCCCTCCCTGCAGAGGCCTGATTCATTTACAGCAGGGCCGTGCCGTCCATCCGCAACTCATCCAACGATGGGTTGGTTGATGGCTCGATGGAGAGCTGGGCGTTTCTGTCAACGATTAGCATCCGGCCTGGCTCAATACTGCACCCCACATGTCCTCCTCGTATCATTTTGCAACTTCGTTCGCCTGCCAATAGTTGAATTCCATAGTACTCCACTGCCACCACATGTTCAGCTGGGTGGTTACTCTCTCTGTCTCTGCTTTTCCGTCTGTCGACTTCTCTCAACGCATGTCTTAATTGTTCTGGTACGCAATCCAATATTGCCCATCCATCTACAGCTTTTTGTGCATACGAGGTGGTGCGAAATGCCCCAGGCAGCCTCTACACCCATCATGTATCGTCTGTGGCACGGCTTACAGACAGGCTTGCCACCCGGATTATGCTACTAGGGGACTAGACAAACTGCTCCAAAATAGTAACAAGACTGGCCTCTCACTCGGCTCGCCTCACTTACCGTCGAAGACACACGAATAGAGAACAGGCTATGACAAGGCGTCGCACATTCAAAACACCACGAGGCCCTATCTCATAGCATATCACGATTAGCTTCCATTGGTTGTTTCGTATTGACGAACCGCTCTAATGGGCAAGATATGACGAGTTGCCTGGATGTGCCACGAGTATGTTGAATCTGCAGCCTGCACGAAGTCTCGTCAGCCGACCGAGGGAACATTTTCATACCTCGCGTCTTATTCCTTGGTTCTCAGATTCATTGTTGATGATTTCCCGATCCAGTACCAGTGCTATCCCCTGCTAGCGCCGTTCAAAAACTCTGTTGAAGCAGTTGCCACAAGAGAGGCCTGTCCTTTGTCTGCTCAGTGACCGAAGAGTATGCACAAGCGAGTGAAATGAAGAGCCAATGCCGCACATCCATGTTTTGCGTCTCGGTGTAGACTTTCTGTATCCAGGTATGCTTGCGATATGGCGGGTGAATGGCCCACCGAGATTCTCACATGTCGTGTTACTTGAACCCAAGTTCTGACATATCCCAGCCTGCATCTAAAAAAACAACGACAAACACATGCCTGTGCCGTTTTTCTAGTCAACAATGTGACATCAATTACCTTATAAAATACTGTATTCGTTAGCAGAGTAGGTCACCCAAGGGGCGCAAGGGTTCATGGACCTTGACTTCAGATTGTCAGACTTAGAGTTGAGTTTATGGCAGTATGCTCCGCACGGCTTTTTGGGTTCTACGAAAGCTGAATAGTATCAAGTTTTTTCTGGGGGGCCAATGTATCAATTTAATTGATCGGTCAATCTATAATATAATGTATACTTGGAGATCCCTCATATACATGGGGCAATGGTCCGTCCACAACTACAGCAGACAAACTGCCATCGGTCAGAAAACATAAAGCGTCGAATCTAGAAACATGCGAGCAGGGATATAGCTGAGTGAGGTTCTCTGGCCTCCATTGTGAAACTGCGCCGAGAACTTGACTTTGAGATTGACTGATATCTCCTTGCAGTCAACCACCGCTTCCTTGAAGTCCTTTCCCTGGCAGAAAAATACACCACAATGACATTCCTACAGGATATCCAAGAGCTTGTCTGCCATGGCAACAAACCCACCGTCCTCTTCTCCAATCCACAAATCCACCCAATTCCTGGCCGCCGTGAATTCCTCGCCCTCCTTATCCCAGGCCTCCTCCCTTGGCCTCTCAACGTATATCGTCCTCAGACCACACGCCTTGGCAGCCTTCAGGTCGCCCATGTGGCAAGCAACCATGGCCACCTGCGCCGGCTCCAGGCCCATCTCCGTCGCGGCGCCGAGATACGTCTCCGGGCGAGGCTTGTACGCCCGAAACGTCTCGGCGCAAAACAGCCGGTGGAACCCGAGGCCTCCGAAGTCGTCCAGGTCCCTCACCAGGTCCGTGTTGCCGTTCGACAGCGTCGCCAGCACGAGCTTCCCGCCGTCACGCAGCCTGGCCAGCCCGTCGACGGCGTCGGGCCAGGGAGCGAGGCGGTGCCACACCAGGCTGAGCGAGTCCACCTCTGCGTCCGTGTACAGGCCCCCGAGGCCCCATGTCTCGAGCAGCTCGACGAGGCTGTCGCGGTGGTGCTCGTCGATGGTCTTCCACGCGTCCTGCTCGGGGTCGAAGGACCCGACGAAGCGGACATATGTATCGCGCCAGGCTTGGGCGAAGCGGCCCCAGTCGTCTTCGCCCAGGCGGTCCAGACGGTCTTTCAGGGCGGGCGGTGGGTTGGAAGAGCGTTTGCGATGTGCGCGGAGCGCCAGCTCCTCCGTGACCGAGGAGCGCCAGTCTACGGTTGTGCCGAAGACGTCGAATGTAAGCGCCCTGACGGATGAGAGGGGCGGCACTGTGGCGGGGCACATTGTGAATCGGTGTCTTCTTGAGCCGTGTATCTGTCGTCGACTGCGTTTGTATTGGCGTTTCTGCTGTTGGCGTGAACCCGCGGCCGTGTGGCTGGATGGCGGAATGCGCGGTGATGTGCGCCTCCCGCCGAGGTTAGCTCTTGCACCGGTTGGATCGGAGCGTAGATCACATGATGAGCAGACGATGGCGCGTGGTAATACACGTCATCTACTGGATTGGTGTTTATTTATCGAGACGTAGACGCCACGGCTGGCATCCTATGATGTCGGGATTGAAGATGCTTTCAAACGGCGGGCTACAATCCATGTCTGGATCGGATGACCTTTATCTGATGTAGGGTAGCGCCATCTCAGAACTCGCTCGTGCGACCGACCGTCCTGTCTCTGGGGGAAAACATTGGATTGGACTAATGCAAGACATCGTGTTCGTCTGAAGTAGCGTCGTGGGAGACGAGGCTGGGAACTGCACTAGTAGTGCCTGCGTTTAGCATCCTACCCGTGAATATGCCGCCCTGGGCATCACGATCCACGACACACTCGGAGAATGCATTGCTTACCACACACTAATACGAAAGCAGGAAAGTTCAATTTACGATGAATAATGCCTACTGCTACTAGAGGGCTCCAACACAAGATGCCAGGTCTTGAAAAGAATGTCCGTCTGGTGTTGCGGTGCCGGAAACATGCCGTGAAATGGAGTGTCAAAATGGGAACAGAATTATACACAGACAGTATAACCATGACGAGACAAGTAAGATTCCTCGTTAAAGCCCCGTAACACTGGACCGGATTTACTTGTAGAATGGAGAGCTGTACGTTGATATTTGCAAATCCAGCAACGCACGATTCGAACAGATGCAGGCATTCACAAACGGAGAGCAATATAACACAATTCCTTTAATCATGAACTCAAATTCATACCCCATCTCTCATGCCCACCCCTTTACCAAGCTTCCTTTCTATGCGCATACGCGAGCATTGTCGCTCCAGTTCTCAACACTCGCCTCGCCTTGTCCACCCTTGCAAACCACCCAAAACCCCTATCCTTAGATCTCATCGATCGAACCCCAAGTAAATCCGTGCTCCACGGCTTTTGTCGTGTCTTTTAGGTCCTGCGAGTAGGCATACTCGCACTGGCTGGCCATGATATTGCACTGGGGATCTTGCTCGGGGCCTCGTGATGTCTTACCTTTGAGATGGGTGGTTTGCATATGTAGGGTTGATGATGTCTTTAACGCAAGGGGGGACATCTGTCTAAGTGGTGTTCCGCTTCACGTACTCCGTAAGGAGAATTTGCTACCGATTCTACTGCGCAGGCGTCTTTCATTAACGTATCACGGATGGCAGGTGTGACTAGTTGCATTGTGACATCTTCTGCGCAATACGCAGTATAGAATGCACAGCAACTGACGTGTTATTCCATTTCCCCATCGTGGCTACCGTTAGCATTGATTCGAGTTGGCCGCTGGAGGCGCTGCGAGGCTGGCTCCGGGCAACCAGAATTCGGATATTCACGAAGCCGACGACGACAATTTAATCAAACGACCAACCAACCCATGCAGTTTTTGATGTGAAACTTGCCGCGCTCGGGTTGGGTAATTTCGTTTTGCATGAATACCACTTCACACGTAGTCATCTTGATAAAACACGGGCTGCGTGTATGTACATACAAGAATACTAGTAGCTCCATCTCATCGTCTGAAGGAAGACCTCCTACTTCCCGAATCTGAATACGGCAATTAGACACGTCGATCAAAAGCCTGCCGACAACGGTGCTGTCATGGCGTCTGACAATGCACCTAATAAGCTCGTCTCTGAAACAAGAGACAATATCGCGCCTTTCCCGAGCTCTCATCCCGATGGTAGCTGATGCTAATACCGAGTCAAGCGATAAGTGTGAGGTGATTTATCCCCTGCAAGGACCCCCCCCTCATAATACGGCAGTTGTGAAACACCCTTCATGTCTTGATACCCATGTCCGCTGAGCAAAGGCATGCAGCGAGAGGGGATGAGCCCTGCTGAAGAGGCCGGTCATGGAATGGTCTCCCTGGCCTCAACCTGCAGTTGCAAGGGGGCCAATGTAGTACATATGTATGTATGTAGTACTCCGTATGTATCTCACAAATAAGATTTTGACGACTTTGGACGAGATATAATGCTGTTACGTGGCGTAATATTCCGTAAGAGGTTAATTATCTTACAACGAAACACCAAGTAACTTGTACTTCACACTGGTTCACTGTCTCTCTCCTCACAAGAACAAACGGGTTTTGCGCAACCATTGTTGGGCAAAGTTACGAGTTGCTTTGTCTGTATACTGCCGATTCTGAATTGATGACGAGCGCCTTGGCTAGTGTCTCATTGTAACCGGTACCGGCAACCCTCTGGGAATGTGTGGTATGACTTCAACAACACCACGCCATGTGGAGAGAGGGATCGACGCCACAGGAAAAAAACATGTCCTTGGTGTTGATCAAGGGGGAGGGCGAACGTTGCCCTCCATCCGTAGTACGGAGTAAAATTTGTAGAGCAATTCATGACCAGTGACGTCTGGGGAAAATCTTCTACTCTCTGAACTCGACTTTTTCCTTCTCTTAGCCAGCGCTGTGTGTTGGCCATCTTTGTAAAGGCGGAGCGGCTCGACGGCTCGTGGACGGCTCGTGGGCGGCCCGGGGATGGGGAACCCGTTGATGGAGCGTTCATGGCGAGGCTTTTGACTATTGGCCGAGGTTTTGGTCCAAGAATAAGTCCCAAGTTCCACAGTCGCGGAATACCATGCCCGGTCGCTGGTGTGACAATGTAGACATTTGTCAACATTGAGCATGAACAGGAAGAGATGGATTGCGAATCAAAAACCTGAAACCGAACAGATGTGGTCATGTTCTCGTCGTGTCTCCTGTAATCGAGTCTTCATGCAAATAAATTGCAATCGTACTACCTCCGTATTGCACATAACTCTTTAACGTTTGCATCCACCCCAGCAGCGAGGATGCGATGGTAATTCATAAATTGTTGTACGGACTAGGGCACCGGATCACCGGCCACAAGCCTGGAAACCCATGGCCAAGACTGGCTGGATTTGCATTTTTGCATTTACCCGCGTGAATTTTGTCGCCCACTCTGGATGGGCGATCTGAAGTTAGTACCAAGTAGTTAAGGTTTTCCATGTTCCCATTTATTATGCCAAACCATGCTTATCGCCAGCCCGTCTTAACAGCTGAACTCAAGGCGTTTGCGACGTGTTTGTACCATGTTTCTGTGGGCATTTCTCTTGGTGGCTTGCATTAGCACCTAGCTTTGACCTCCTTTTTGGCGCAAAGTTGTGCATGAAGATGGAATTTGGAAAATAAACGGGGTACGGAGCACCAAATGACCAATAATCTGAGCAACCGAGGTTGGAGAACGTCTAAATGCTGCGTCCGATGCGTGGGACAGGACACAGACAACAGAGGTGAGCCTCCAGTCACGAAGAATTTGTCCAAAATGATACGGGCACGAGGTCTGTCGTTCTGCCCGAGAATGAAGCTCACCCATGACCAGGGGCCTCACTATCCTGTCTTTGAGAATGGCGATTTTTGCAGCCAACAGTCAGTCTCTGACCAAAGAAAAGAAATTACTGTTGGTCCGGCACCTGCCATAGTGTTCCTAAAAGTAGGAACCCAGGATGTGACCCAGACGAGGAACCCCCTTGTAATTTCCACACAACAGCGGCTTGAAACAAAGTGCAATTGTACGAGAACAATCTCGTGGATCTTTGGAGGAAACGAAACTTGATGTTACGCTGTTAAATCGACCGAATTTCGAAGTTTCCTTCATCCTGTCTCGAGCGACCACATGTTATGTACAGAGTACTACCAGGCACGCATGCAGCGGTTGGGCCTTCGGCTGAAATTCATGGCGTTTGTAGTAAGATTCGGGGCCACATGTGTTCTCAGAAATGACGAAAACGACTGTGCCAAACCCTACTTCCGTAGTAGTATTATGACAGAGGCGTTGCTGTCAGAATGCTTGCTTCCGCATGGCGTTATGTGTTTCCTTTGCATGCATGCATGCCGTCCTCCGTATGCTGATACAATATTGTATGTACGTTTTGCAGCGGCATCATGAGTACCGAGAACACGGGCCGCATAGCAATCATCGCTCCGTTCGACACGGAAAGCTGCTTAGTGTATGTACGGCGTACGAAGTACTACATTATTGGGGATTTCGTTGATGCTCCATTGACCCTGGCAGCCAGGTGGTGAGAGAAATCTCCAGGGGACCCGTGGTCTAGCTTGGTGATAAACTCGCATGAGATGTGAGCATGTATTGCTGTTGTGCGTCGTCAAGTTGCATTTCACCTCTTGTCCTGGGGCCTGAAAAAAGGCTAACCTGGGAGAGGAAGGCGGCTTCTCTAATTCGTAGTGATACCATATTGATCAATGATTGTTAACGAAGAACGCTGTGCGGACTTGGAAGTAGTAACTAGACCGATGTGGAGAGAAGTTTCAACAAAAGGCTGTGAAAAAGCCAAGACCCAGGCATGGGTGGACTCTCCACACCTGTGGCGAAATGGTCAACGATTAACAGGCAGTCCATTGAAGGAGCGAAAAAGAAGCTCCGACGAGGTCGTCCGCAGCAGAAGGATCTGGCTTGCCAGAATCGGGCCCATCGCGGTTGGATTATGATGGAGGTCGACGGAGTATTACGGAGCAGAGTCTTCAATGTTGGTTACATCAATGGAGGCTGAGAACGGGCAAGTGCCACCTAGTTGGCAGGCGCCACAGGACGCGGCTTCCTCTTCGGCATCACGGAAGGAAATTGCAGTGCCCCGAGCCAACTGGGCTTGCAGAGCTCCTCCCTCGCAAACCTGGTCGTGATGGTCCCGGTGCCATTTAGCAATGTTGTCATATGTTAGGCTCTTTCGCGGTGGTGCACCCTCGTGCGTTTTCACGCCACCTTGGACATGCTCCCTTGATACCAGCCGGCGCCTCCGTACTTGACGGTCCGTCCTCCCCTGCGGATGTCACCCGACAGGCTGCTCCAACCAGCTTCACCTCCTGGGCCAGGACGACGATTTGTGCTCAGGCCTGGGCTGCTGCAGGCAACAGGGCAGTCCCCTGGTCGAGAGTAACAGCGGACATGAGCTCAATCCACTCAAATGGGGGGACCCCTGGGCGATAAACCATGGCCGAGCCAGGATCTGGAAAAGCAACTGCGGAGTGTCTTCCACTGCTAACCTATTGTAAACAGTGTTTCTCCATCCTGGCGTCACGAGCTGTTGTCTTTTCCTGGATTATGAACACATGGAGAAGTCTTTTGAGATTCATTGGGCTGCGGAACTGCCTTGCGCAAGTGACCAAAACTTGGGACCCCTTTATCATCTTGGCCTGGCACGCCCAGTCGCTCATCAAGAGTCTCCAAGTACTCCGTCCGTATGTCTGGGATCGTCAAGGCTTGCTTTGGCCACCCCATTTCGACAAATAATTTCCGGGGTCAGTGACTTCGACGCGACTCTTCCATCTCGCCAAGTCCTACGGTGGATACATAACAGGCCAGCATCTCACTCCAGCCTGGCCAACCCTGCGGGACCTCGTCATCTCTTCGTCTTTGTCCAATTTTAAACCAGAAGTGGTCTGTTGAGGGAATCTATCTGAACGTCCACCACTCTGTAATAGTTATTCTCCTATCTTTTCTCACTTTTTGCCTTGGCCATAACGCTGGGTGTTCTTTGTTTCCACTAAGTGTTGCGCCGTGGATCGACGTCACACTCATTTCGCCCAGGCGAGGAGCTGTCTCTGGTAATACATGTCTCATTGTAAATCATCCACATTTGGGGGAAGCTTCCACAAATCTCTTTTGGAACCTCCCATCTCCGACCTTCTACAGGCACCGTGCTGACTTGGAACTTGGATAGTTGTTAGGGCTATACCGTTATTCCGATCACTACTCGTTTCTGGGGCATTCATTCGCATCAATCGTATCTTGGGATACACATTCATGGCAGCTTGAACTGTGGTGTGCAACAGAAGGAAGAAACCGCTTACTCGAAATTTCTATTAATCGACCGCTTCTCAACCAGCGCACCCATTCTTTGGAAAGAACCAACAATTTCGTCTTTTTTTTTTGGTCGGGAGATCCCCACTTGCTTGCAATTGAGAGCCCTGTGTTGGTTGCCTTGGATGGACTACGGGCCAAGCCGCTGAGACACGGTATTTGGTCTCCTATATTTGGCAGTATCACAGTTATCACAGTGAGACCCCTCTCTTGGTAGGTGAGTGTAACTAGGATCTGCATGAATAAGCCTGATTGCGATGTGTGTGAAATAGGAGAACTTGCGCTGATGACTGTCGGGCAGGCGCTCCATGTGCAGACGCAGACGTTGAATTTAGCTCTACTCCTTACTTCTGCATGCTGTTGGAGGTTTTGCTTACATCTTGCGATCAGCTACTGTGAGTGGCATTTCCTTGAACAAACTACGCCGTAATACCAAGTCCCTGTGGTTCACTGGAAAGCGCAAATTTGTTGCATACCGTTTTCTTCTTTTGCTGTGGGCTAATGCTTTGAAAGTCTTGGGAGAAGTAGATGTGTTGTTGCTGACTGAACCGTTGTTTCACTGCCAGTTCTCAACTGCAGGGGTCGGCTGCATATTTGTGAAAGTGCTAGAGCTTGTACTCCGTACATATTCCTTGTTAATCGGGTCTGACCACGGTTTTGACTGATGCGTGGACCGACTTTTGAAGGGCTCAGGTCGATTTTTTTTCAATGAGTGCCCTCCCACAACGCCGGGAGTCATATTAAGAGATATGACTGAGTGGGAAACAGATGATGAGCGCAGGGCGAAAGGGCATGAGATACCTGTGTTGTCAACAACCCCAGAGCCAACTTGCTCTCGAACTCCTTCGCCTTCAACAAAGTCAAAACGATCCTGTCGACGATCCGTGACTCCTCCAGCAAGAGGCTCTTCACCAACTAACATGTCTACCGACCGTACAGACAAGAGATCGTCCAGAGACGTAACGAATGATGAGACCATTAGCATTCTAGATCCTCGAAGATTTACCCCAACACTTCATGCCAATCTAGTCTCCGAGATTCTTGCATTGAGAAGGGACCAAGATGAGAAGACCAAGCAAATAGAGAGCTTGGAGAACGCACTCCATTCGGTGAAGGAAGAGCATGAACAACTACAAGAGAGCCTGACTACTTCCTCGAAAGAAAGCCGATCTCTCAAACGACAACTTTCCCTTCTCGAGGGTGGAACATCATCCGCACTCGGAGAACTTGCTAAAGAAAGAGACGAAGCTGTTGACTCTATTTCCGAGACAAAGAAGAGGCTAAATTTGGCGCAAAAGAAGATTCGTAGCCAGGAAGATGATTCTCTGCGGGTTCATGAGCTCTGGGAACAGGAGAAGGATGGCTGGGAGGATGAACGCCGAAAGTATGAACGAAAGTTACATATTGCTGAGAGTCGCCTGAAGGTGGTTCTCGACGAAGTTGCGGGGTATCAAGCTAATTTTGCGAACAAGACTCCAAACGGTGCTCTTCATGATCACGAGAGCGACGTGGAAGAAAGTGGCAAAGAAAATGACGCTGTTAGCGTTAGGACTATGAGCATGACTAACAGTATCCGACACTCTCTGATGAGTGGCCCTATACTGCATCCCGGCAATTCACTCGCCGACGAACTCACCTTCGATGATGACGATCAGACAGATGTCGATGGTCGTGAGAGCGTCCTGTCTATACGAACAAGTCCGAAACATATGCGAACCTTCAGTCGGGATAGTGTGGCTGGTAGATTACACCTCAGAAACCATAGCATTGAAAGCCTGAAGCGTACTGGGAGCGTGGCTCGGAGCAAACTCTTTATGAACCCATCGGTACTGGAAGCATTGGAAGGCGAGGATGAAGAAACCGAATCGCAAACTTTTCAGACGGCAGTACCGGGAGGTGTATCTTACATTGACAGCGGCATACAGTATTCTCCGCCCCCTTCACCACCGGCTCTGCGATTCAAATCATCAACTCCAGATGCCCCTTCTCAGCGTGTCAAGACTCCCGAACATGAGACGCCCAGTCGGGCAGATACTGAAATCGAGGCGAATCAGCGCAAGAAAAGAGTGCAAGTCGTTCAGCCATTGATTATTGAACATCCAAAGCATGACAACAAGATGGTCTCCGCAGCTGCCCAGACCGTGGAGATGCCGCTCAGCCCGCCTAAAACACCGCAGACACCGTTTCTTGAACTCGAACATGTTCCTGTGTTGATGGTCACATCCTCAACTCAGACAGAAGAAGTACCTGCTGTCGCTTCCGACGTAGGCTTGACGCCACCATCAATAAGAGCATCGTCTCTGCCACCGTTGGACATTCCCACTATCAACATCCAGCCTCCGACGAGTCGGCCCACCACTCCGCGAGAGCCTCGTCTGCCACAGCACTTTAAACATTTTGGTTGCCAAGTCAATCTTTCATCTACCCTTCCAACCAGTGATGCTTCTATGCAAACTGAAGGGATTCAAGTTGACAAAAGATTGGCCCTTCTGCCAGCTCATTTGCAGCCTTCGTCCATATCCTCCCGACCGACATCACCTAACGTATTAAAGCCCAGAGTAGACAGTGACTTCACGCCGGTCCCGCCGCGAAACCCAAGGCGGTTGACAAATAGTCATGATCGACCTGAGTTAGCGTCATCCCCCGCCACTTCGCGAGGAGACGATGAGGAGTTACAAGACAGTTACCTAAACCTGCATGGCGACCAACCATCGTTGGCTCAAAAAGGGGCTACTAGACATAGCAACCGCATTAGCAGCATTTTTGCTGGCTTTGATACTGCTAGTTCCGACGAAGGTGACGAATTTGGAGATCTGGATGGCAGTGATGCAGAGTACCGAACAGCTTTGTCTGCACCTAGACCACAGTCAAATTCAACCAGGGCAACCAAGCGAGGATCTTTTGGAACCGCCACTATATCGTCCGAACAGCAAAGACCCAAACCACTGACCAGAAATCCAACCAAGCCTATCGGCCCTGAGCCATGTAATTCATTCGGCCTTGCTGATAAAGAGAATCAGCCGAAGGGTCATGGTAGAAAGTTGAGTAGGGCTTATGAGAAGCCCCATCCAGCTCCAGCACCCAGTTCATCCAATCGTACCAGTGCTATACGGAAGGCCGCCATCATACAGAGCGGGATTGTTACCCAGCAAAGTCGCTCCAGAAGCCCTAGTCTCCCTGACGGCAAATATCCCCCGTTTCCTATACCTAACCGGGCAAGTTCGCGAAGATCACAAATTGGTCTTTATACGCCGAGTGATGGCCAAAGTCCTACAAGGGGAGAAATTTGGCACCGCAGAGGTAGCAGCCGTTCGTCTTATCAGTCACACAGTATACGCAAGGTTCGTTCCGCTGCTGCCTTACCGAGGGCTCATCGATACCGCAGGCACGGTAGTAGATCTCCGCCACCCTTGTCTCCCTCAACTGAAGCACCGGAAAGTCCCGGCTTGCCGCCTCTGCCCCGAAACGATATAACCACTCCTCGTAATGGACGCGACAGAGGCTTTTCCAGCTATCGCAAACATCGACACGACCTGTCGACCAACACGGACAACACGAATAACACCGTGCCCACGACGGATACCGGGTTTTCTCACACGACAGGCGTTGTTGACGCTATAGCTCAAACCATGGTGGGCGAGTGGATGTTGAAGTATGTTCGACGACGCAAATCTTTCAGTGTTCCTGAAAACACAGGCAAGGACGACAGCAGCAACGATCGGCACAAGAGATGGGTGTGGCTAGCACCCTATGAAAGATCCATTCTCTGGAGCAGCAAACAGCCTTCGTCGGGTAGCGCCTTGTTGGGCAAGACTGGCCGCAAGCGTAAGTTGACCGTCTCATGTCTGCAGCTTTGGTGACGCATTGTTAACAAGGTGCTATAGTCACAATCCAGTCAGTCCTGGATGTCAAGGATGATAATCCGGCCCCTAGAGTCATGCCCACTGTTTTCAACCGATCGATTCTAATTTTGACTCCACAAAGAGCCTTGAAATTTACGGCATCATCAGCTGAGAGACATTACCTTTGGCTCACGGCGCTGTCGTTCCTGGCTCACTCATCCCAAGCCGTTCCTGAGATCATCTCAGCTCCCCATACGAATACCAAAGAGCAGCAGCACCAGCCGTTGCCTGAATTTGAAGCACCACAGCCAAAGCATAAAAGAAGCGGCATACGAGACTCCATTAGGCTCGCCAAAGGCAGAACGGCCACCAAGATTAGTGTTCCTGGTGTACCTAGCATTCCCAGTGTTCCAACATCTCGAAGGAGCGAGGCTACAGGATTTCGTTTGCAGGATTCTTCATCAGCAGTTTCTGGAGGACATAGCCGTGAGCAGTCTGGAGAAGCGGCAGAGCCACCGTTCATCCCTCGATTTTCAGAGCGGACTGTTCACTCTGTGGCAACCCATGGCCGCAAGCGAAGTAACACTGGAGGGCATGTCGCGCCTCCACTCTCCTTTAGAGGATTTTCTGGACCGGCAGGGACCGGCAGCGGACCTCACCACTCAGGCCAGAGCACGGCAAATGGAAGTGTCGACACGACGATGTCATCTGAAGTTTATCAAAGCCAAGCTTCTACCAACACGACTTGGAACATGAGTCAAACAGCATCATCACAGCGTACGTCTGAGGCGTCATCTCGCCCTAGCAACTTTTTTGATGCTATTGGAACTGTGAGGATGGAAGCATTCATTAGCCCATTGGCCTACTCTCAGTATACCGACTATCCCGATGATCAATGCGAAGAGTATCGCAAGAATTCCAGACGAAGGAGCAAGGAGATTCGAAGGCGAAATAGCCGCAATCGACACCGAGACAGCTATTCATACAGAGCAGGAAGGAGTGAGGACTCTTACAGTAGAGGAAGATTCCCAGTTGAAGAAGATTACTTCCTCCGTGACGATCCTTTCAAGGGATTCTAGAATCGACCTCGAAGATCAACAGCACACCACTTTTCAATCAACGTCATCTGAGTCTTATATGCCCCAACTTTACACCATTACGGATACCCTTTCGTGGTTTTTTCTTTTTTTGCCTTTGAACCCTTAACGGCCCCGAATCGATGACTTTCATATTGCAGTCTCCATTCCGTTGGCAGTTTAGTCTATTATGCACGGCGTTTGGTGTTGTCATGTCTATGTCTTTACACGCTCATTTGCAGTGCGCTCGACTCAGGGCCGTTCTTATGCAGTTATTGATGAAAATGGGTTCTTCGAGGGGAATTGCTTCTAGCACTGCCGATAGTGTCTTTGCACTGCGTCTCTTGTATTGGGTTAGTGGTTTCAGTCCCAGGCTGGCTATGGAGGCGAAACTTGTCGCGTACGTAAGATTTAGCGATGGTATCTTTAGAGAAAATGAAGCAAATTCTTGGGAATCTGCGCATTGTAGATGCATATGTATATGATTTGCAGCTGTTTTGGACGGTGAGTTTGTCCGTGCAACATGATAGACTTGGTGTGGATTCGGATGAATGCGGCTTGTTGCCTTTTGTTCTGCGCCGTGAACTTGCCAGGCTTCCAAGCTTCGGATGTTCCAGTCCCCACATGCACATGCCCCTCTGTCCCTGGCAAGGCGAAGACGGCGCCCCACCCCCGCCGCGAAAAGTTGCGGCTCCATCCTCAGCTTTGCTACTCCGTAGTCATTGAATGAAATTCGGTACGACTAGCGAAGCTTCTGTCGCTTGTCAAATTACTCCCAAGCACACCACATACGCCGTTTGCAATATTCTCGGCTGAAACAAAGAGGCACAGGCCGAGATGGAAGGCGAGTCTCTGGACCAAATGACGGCCCGCCACCGGCGAGAGCTCAAAGACCTCCAAGGCCGAATCACCAGCAAAAAGAAGAATGCCAGCAAGAAGACGCGCAAAGGCGTCAACGACGAATGCTCCGGCATGGAGCGGCAGTTGAGAGAGAAGCAAGCCGCCGAAGTTGCTTCCCTCGACAGCACACCACGCGACGTCGAGCCCGAACCCGACGCCGCCGACGACGACGACACCACCACCACCGCCGACGAAGCCAACGGGCCGGAGCGGGCGGCAGCAGAAGCAGACGACGAGGCAATAGACGCAGCAGTGGACAAGCTGAGAGTGAACGGCGACGCGCCGCCGGCGGCGGGCAAGAGGCGGAACCGGCAGAAGGAACGCCTCGCGCGGCGGGCAGCCGAGCAGGAGGCCGCGGCGCAGCAGGCGTCGGAGGAGGCGTCGGGCATGACGGACCACCGGGCCCGGGAGAGCGAGTACATGAGGAGGACGATCGCGGTGCACGGCCTCGTGGAGAAGGACATTGCGCCGGACGGGCACTGCCTGTTCTCGGCGGTGGCGGACCAGCTGTCGCAGAGCGGGATCCCGACGGGCCGCGAGGACGCGAGCGAGCCCGCGTACAGGACGGTGCGGCGGGCGGCGGCGGCGTACATGGGCGACAACGGGGACGACTTTGCGCCCTTCCTCGAGGGCGGCGACCTGGGGAGCCATCTCGCGAGGGTGCGCGACACGGCCGAGTGGGGGGGACAGCTGGAGCTCACGGCGCTGGCGAGGCGGTACGGCGCCGAGATACGGGTCGTGCAGGACGGGAGGACGGAGAGGATCGGGGAGGAGGAGGGCGCGCGGACGGGCAGGGTGCTGTGGCTGGCGTATTACCGCCACGGGTATGGGCTGGGCGAGCATTACAATTCTCTGAGGAGGAAGTGAAGGGAGCCGTGTCGGGCTGCGTCTCCTTCTTGTCACATCATGGATTCTGGGCCAGAGCATGTTTGGGTTTGTTTTTTTAGGGGGGATACGACTCTCTGTTTGCTATAGCGATGTTTTTTTGCATATCTGAAAAATTCTATGGGCATGTACCCGTCCCATGCGGTTGTGCCATTGTTTTCTCCCAAGTCTATTCGTTTTTACGTCTCGTCGAACTTTTGTGCCGCCGGGTTCACCGGCTCCAAACAGATATGAAGTCCGACACTGTCCCGTCCTTGTTGGTACCCGCGGGATGTGTCTTGGCCGGCCTGATGAGGCCGGACCGATGCAGGGCGTTGGCGTCGGGCTTGGCGGCGGTTGTTTCCACGAGGCTCCCGTCGGCATTGTATGATATTTCCTCCCCGGGAGCACCCAGCAGCGCCTCGTACATCTCCGGCCGGACACCCCAAGGAGGGCCCCTTTCGGAGAGGGGCTTCCCGGACGGGAACTCGAGGCAGACGAGGCGGCCGGAGGGGCGGAGGAGCTGGGTCATGCGTTTGGCCCATTTGGGGCGTGCCTCGGGGGGCAGGGCACACAGGAACTGTTTGTCATATTCGCTGGTTAGTCGCTGCGGGAGAAAAGGAAAAAGGGGTTGGGTTGGGTTGGAAGCAGGCTGGGCCCGTACCGTATAGTCGTATATCAAGTCGAATGTGCCAGACCCGTTGGTCCCGAAGCCATCTAGCACGCTTTCTGAGAAGAAATCGCCCGAAACCCATTTGATGTCGCCCTTTTCCACGCCCTGCTGGGGTTCATAGCGCCCCGTCCCTTCGGTTTTCTGCCTGTTCTCCTCGGCCATGCGCAGAGCGTCGGGGCTGACGTCCAATCCTACGACGTCGTATCCGAATTTGCTGAGCAGCAGGACGTCGTGGCCGCGCCCGCAGCCCGGCACGAGGGCCGTTTGGCGGACCAGGTTCCCCTGCAGGACCTGGTGATGGGCTCGAGGGACGAGGTCGTCCCGTGTGAGGAGCAGCTCCTCCAGGGCGTCGGAGGGGCCGTCCCGGTCCCACGGGTGGAAGCCGTCCTTGTACATGAGGGACCACTGGTCGCCGTGGGCTGAGAAGGCGAGGTTTTGGAAGCTTTGGCTGAGGCGGCCGGGGGGGTCGGCGGTGGTGGCCATGATTGCGGCGGGTGACTGAGTGAAGCGATTGTTGATTGACGGGGCAGAGCCGCCGTAGGGGACAGGAATCAAAAGGGAAAAGGAGACAAGAGAGAAGGGAAGAAAACAGGGAAGATGGGAGGCTCGCGACGTTTCGGGTGGATGGAGGGTGGGATGGCGCAAGCCGGGCTGGGGGAGGCGCAGTGGATCTTGGAACGGCCGTGTTGGAATCGGGAGCTTGGTGATTTTCTGCCGAAATCTGCAGACTGGAAGGCAAAAAAGCCTTGGTCTTGGTCTTGGTCTTGCGATTCAGCCGGGACCTGGCGCGGGGGTGGAGTGATTTCAGCAGCATGGGGCCATGCCATCATCCCACGCCTAGGGTTGTGTGATTCGTGATTCGGCTTCCAGATGATGCGTGGCACGGGAGGCGGTCGTTTGCAGGAGACGGGAGAGCGTGATTCAACGTGGACATGCTGTTTGTGTTGTCGTGCGGGCCGTTTGACGTCGCGCAGACAAAGCAGCATCCCTTTGAATGTGCGCAGGTCTAATTTTTGTAACGGACCAGGGTTCTAGCTAATAGTAATTACTTATCTAAAAGAAATATATACTTAAAAATTATAATTTTTAAAGATATTAAAGTATATAAAATTATATTAGTTATTATTACTAATAAAAAAGTATTTTTAAGTATCCTTAAGTATTATAATAAAAAGTAGGTTAAATACATTAATTAGACCTGCGCACATTCAAAGGCATTGGACAGCCAAAGGCGGCGTTGATCCATGGATGGAAGGCGGACGAGCCGGTGAGGCAGACGCCCAACCAAAAAAAAAAAAAGAAAAAGAAAAAAACCAAGAATTAAAATAAAGATAAAAAGTAAGAGCAAAAATAAAAATACACAAAATAAAAGAAGCCTCGCGTCTATCTACACTCTGCCGCGCGCACGAGCAGTTCATGCAACCTGCATGTCGTGTCTCGCGAGTACGACGGCGGCTGCGGGCAGTTCCAGATTGCACATGTGCCCACGTGCAGCCCTACGACGGCTGGCAGTGAGACACTGTTGAATCTCGATGGTGGTTCAGTGCTTGTTCTCCGGCTGCTTATTAAGAGCGTGCTTTCCATTGTTCACGACCTTGACCCCTTGAGCTTCTGTTTGCGGTTATTCGTGGCAGCCCTTGTCATGCCCGCACACATCGACCGCGGAACAGGACGCTGAAAATAACTGCTGCCTCTTTTCTCTCTCTCTTTTTTCTTTCGTGAGACGTGATATCGTCTTGCCCGTGTGCAACAGCAGCCGCCCACGGCCCGTTCACGTCATCCCTCCCTCCCATTGTCACCCGCCCCACCCCCGCCTCCTCCGCCTTCCCCCCTGCACCACTGTGCCTCGGCATCTCGACACCTTTTATTTCGGGCTTCCACCACCTCTCCAGACAGCATCCAACATGACCAATTCACCAATTCGCCCTCCGCCCTGAACAACCCCCCCCTAACCGCCATCATGGATATCAACACTCTCTTCGGAGTCCAGGTACGTCCCACACAACCCCCCCCAAAAGACCCGCACCACTCACCCATTTCCCCCAACCAGGGCAAAGTCGTCCTCATCACCGGCGGTGCGTGACTCCCTCCCGCTGCCCGCCTGCCACGCCGCCGTCGCCGACCTCGCGCCGCTCGCGCGCCTCTCGGGCTCGATCCACGCGCTGCCCGCCAACCTCCAGAACCTCGATGAGTGCCAGGCGCTCGCGGCCTCGCTGGCCCGCCTCGAGCCCGGCGGCCTGCACGTCCTCGTCAACAACGCCGGGGCCACCTGGGGCGCCGACATCGACTCGCACCCGGACGCGGCGTGGACCAAGCTCCTCACGCTCAACCTGCAGCGCGCCTTCACCCTGACGCAGCTGTGCCTGCCGCTGCTCGAGAGGGCCGGCAGCCAGGACGACCCCGCGCGCGTCATCCACGTCGGCAGCATCGACGGCGTGCGCGTGCCCTCGCTCGCCAACTACGCCTACTCGGCGAGCAAGGCCGGCCTGCACCACCTGTCGAGGCACCTCGCGCGGGACCTGGGCTTCCGCAACGTCACGAGCAACGTGCTGGCCTGCGGGCCCTTCCGGACAAAGATGATGAAGGCGACGCTGGACGCGGCCGAGGACGTGCTCAAGGAGAATATCCCGTTGCGGAGGATCGGCCGGGACGAGGACGTTGCTGGCTCGGCTGTCTTTTTGGCGAGCAAGGCCGGGTGAGTTGCTGTGTTTTTATTTATTTATTTTATTTAGGTCTTGCTTCTTTCCTTGTTTCTGGACTAACATGCCGTAGGGCCTATCTGAATGGCGCGCTGATTAGAGTAGATGGAGGGGCGTCGTTGGTGGCCAAGATTTAGAAAGAGAAAAGGGACATTCACATCAAGCCGCAGGGTTTTTTTTCCTGCTGAGAATGTACTTGTATACATTACGCGGTGGGCGGTGTTTTGGCAATATACTGAAAGTGAGGTACAACCTCGAGTTTTACCCCGCTTCGTCTCTTATTATATGCATCTACTGCTCCTCCTCCTCCAAGGGGTATCGTTCCTGTTGAAGACGGACAAGACGAAACTTGCTTGGCCGCCAAAGAAGCTCCCGCCGTGGCAAAGCAAACCTGGCCGCAGAACAGACTCCTCCCTAGATATAATGCCCTGTTGCGCCGACTATAAAAGGCCAAAAAAAGGAAAATAAAAAAACAGACAAACATAATGACTCCTCCGCTGATGTATCAAGTCTATCGGATGGATCCGTGACGTGTTAAAAAAAATAAGAGTGAACTAGTGGTGCGATAAAATAGCACCGGTTGGCGGTCTCGTTGAACAAGATTCATGGTCCCACGGTGTCGTATGCACGCCGGTTATTTAGGGGGAAAAAAAGAGATGGATGCTTGGCTTCAAAACGTAATAGATGCCAATGCTCAAAGACCACAGTCTTCAAAGTCGCGGGTCAGGCAAGCAAGTTGCGCTCGCTTGGCGGCTTCGGCAACAAGGTTGACATCCCTAAGAAAAGTCTCGGTCGAGGGCGCTTTGATTTGGACCGGCGCGAGCATGGGGACAGACTGCGACGACTGCGCGTTCGTCGGGGACTGCTGCGTCGACGACGAGGCCGAGGAGCCAGCGAGGCTGGGAGACGAGATCGGGGCGTTCATCTCGGCGGTGGGAAAAAGACAAGAAAACAAGGCGAGGTGCGTTGTGTGATGTTCACGTCTTGGACAACGACTGACCGACGGTCGGTGTAAATGGCAACAGGAAGAAATGACAAAGATCGGCTCGCGCGCCCAGCGGACAGCGGACAGCGGACAGCGGGGGGAGATGACTGTCGAAAGATGTCTGGTTGCTTCAATGCTTGGCAAGGGGGCCGACTTTTTGCCAAAAGTCGTTGTGGCCTATTTTTTTTCCGTCGGCGGAGGAAGACGTGAGATTGGGGGATCCAGATGCGGAAGGAGCCACGGGCTCAGTCAATAGCCGAATTGGTTCTCGAGACGGGCGCGGGGTTGACAAGACGTGTCTTAGACGTTTGCGGGGTGGTCGGGACGAGCACAAAGGGCAGCGCGAGACCAACAAAGGAAAAAGAAAAAAATAGAGGTGTGACGAAGAGGAGGAGGAGGAGAGAAGGGCAAAGGGAAAAGAAGAAAAACAGAACGAAGCCAACGTACGAGTGAGTACAAGTGAGCAGCCCCGTTTGTCCGTGTAGCCGTCGCTGCGATGCCAGGCCAGGGCTTTTGTCTCCGCGATAGCGCCGGATCCCGTGAGCGATTAGGAAAGCCTCGGCCTGGGAAGAGCTGCAAAAGGTGGGTATTCGGGAGACGAAATAGACTACTAGTGGCTCCCCCCCGGGCGGTCGTCAGAAATTGCTATTTAGACTTGGGCTCCCCCGCCTGGGAGCGAGTCAATGACCGATGGAAGGGCCGCGAGGGAACAAGACGTCAGAGGCTGGAATTGCGGGGACAAGCTGCTGCTGAATGAATCGTTTTGCTACAGTCAGGCTGCCTCAGTCGCTGGTGATGTTTTCGCGCATCTCCACAGGACGCAAGAGCAAACTCCCCCGGGGATACACGAGGAAACAATTGGTCCAAGAACACCTGGAGGCCCGGTGGCTGAACGTCAAGCAGCGGCAAAGGCATCACGTTAATAAATGAAGCGGACGGCCGCCAACTCTTGCTGCTCGCTGCTCGCTGCGTTTGGCCGCCATCGACTTTGTTCTCTCGACAGCAGGCAGCACGGTGGAGACAATGCGCCTAACCCGCCATGCGAGGTGGAGACGCACAAAGACCATCGGTCTGCGCTGGTGTGACGGGCCGAAATGGCGATGCTAAAGCTGATGTCGATGCTGCCGAGTGGTGATTCGTGTCGATCCACGTCCCTCCGGTCGTGCCACCTGCGACTGAACCATCTCGACAATCTCGACCGCCAGCCAAACCAGTGACCCCTTCGTTTCAACTAGTCATGACGCACACCGAACCCTACCTATATTCATTACCATGCATCGCGGCATATACTCCGTACCGTCCTGGGCTGTTATGTAACAAATGTTGCATCCCAACCGCCTCGCAGGTCATGAAAATGAAAATCCCCAACCTTGTGGGGAATCCAACGCTCGGTTGTTGTTTTCCCTGCACTTCATTGAAATAATGGCATTGTGACGCGGGCGACTGATTCTGCATTTTCCGCATCCCTCTCATTATCAGAGCTGGATACCGCACCCTCCCTTCACCGCATAGTGTTCCTGCCACCTAGCATTTCGGATCTGACCGATGGCGTCTCCAAAGTTTCACTTAATTGGACGCGGAGGGCGGGGAGGGCGCCTGTGCCAGATGAGCCAGCGCCTTCTTTGCAAGTGGCTACAGCAGCAGCGACATACTACAATACAGAGCGGGTGGCCCAGCCATTGGTGATGCCTTCGATGTTGACCGGCCGGGGGAAGAAATGCAGACGCGTGCCGTGTACTGTCCCACGCGGGTAGCAAGGGTCGCAGTGCCCGTGGCGTCGCATATGCAGGAACTTCCGTAGCAAGTCGTCACCGTATGTTTGGAACATGGCGTTTGGCACCGTGGATTAGTTCTGTGCCTGTTGTTACACTTTTGGGGAAGTCCATGAGGTGACGGGAGATGCAAGTATATGCATCGACAGTCGTCTGAACAGCAGCTCTCAGCTACCAAGGCGGTCATAAGCCAATAGTAACAGCAACATGTATGTACGATACTGTGAAGACGAGGTCGCTCAACTCATCACTGCCAGCCATCCTGACCGGCATTATTCATGCTAACGACTGATCCACCGGAAGAAGTCGGAACTCTGCCATTCCTGAGCAAAGTCCATCTCTGCTTTGTGGGTCAGCGATGGATTGCCCCCGTGGCCTCGGATGGCCCCCTGATGCTTCATGTTGGTCTGATCGTGACTCGGTCGCCATCGGGAAGGCGACGACATTAATTGGGCTAGGGAGATCGTCAAGTTGGCCGTCGGCCCAAGTTTGAATCCGACGACATGACTCATTGCTGGTTGGGTGACGGATCGAATAGGACAGCTTGAGGCTCGACAGTCTAGGACCAAGGCCGCCAACTTGTTGCATAGGCGGTAGGGGATACAAACTGAATTCCATTTCGCATTTCTAGATTATGTATACAAGCTCGAGGATATCCTCCAAAAACTTAAAACCACGACACGCGTGCTTTCGCATAGCCTCAAATAACTCCCCATTCTGCCTAGTTTTAACTCCGCAACACATAGTGTATTGTGCCAAATTGCCTCCTACCAGGCAACCATGCCGACGACAAACAGAGCAGCAGCCAGGTAGAGCCCAACAGCAGAATTTCCAACTCTGGTCAGGGGCGCTCCCATCACGGCAAAGCTGTCACTGCCGCTCCCACCTGAAGAGGTAGAGTTTCCGCCGTTCGAAGGGGCCAACTTGGCACAATTAGACTGAGTACCACTTGCGCTCTGGGTTGTGGCCTGACCCTTGAAGTCGCATGACGAAGCCGCATTCTTGTTCTTCTTGTAGTACGCGTCCAGCACGAAGGCAAGTTTCTGCTTGCTGGAGCACATGCTGTAGGTGCCGTATTTACCTGTAGTAAAGTTTCCATCAATGCTGGCACAGAGTGAGCGGTCGCTGCCACAGATGTAACCAAAGATATCGCCAAAGTCATCAGTCTTGAGGCTGCTTGCAGGAACACAAGAAGCCGCCTTGAACATGCAGTCACAGGCGGAGTCGTTCGGGGTAGGGGGCAGGGTCGCGCTGGCTTGCCAGGATGAGTTGACAGCAGGACAGTCCATGACCTTGGCCGTCGGGTTGTACGAATCCATTGTGACGCCCTTGGGGTCGACGGCGCTGATTTTACTCTGGAGAGCGGCAAAGTCCTTCCTCTTGGAGATAGAGCCGTCACTGCTGACCTCGACCAGACCTAGATAGGGTTCATATTAGTTGTTTATGTTTTATTATATACGGGTACAGACACACGCTGCATCGCTGAACAAAGTGACTTACCATAGTCATTCGTCTCCTGGAAATACTCATAAACAATACCTCCACTAACAGCGTCGGTCATGTTCTTCAAATACAAAGCAGTCGTCTCGTCCCAGGTACGGCCATCACCACCGTTTGGCAAGTTACAGCCATATTCAGCAAAGAACATAGGGACAGAGTAATTTTTGAAAAACTCAATGAGCCGGTTGTACCCGGACGCTTCGAAGTTGCTGGAGCCACACCACGAGTAAATGTTATATCCGAAGAAATCAATCGAATCTTCCGAGGGACCACAGTTAAAATAGCTCGCAATCTGATCGCGGATGGGCTTATCGTCGTTGGCAGCGTAACCCACACCCATCCAACGGTACTTCTTAGACTTGATATAAGCCTTGGTGTCACGGGCAGCAGCCTTGACATATGCGGAAGCGCCGGTGTTGTTGTTTGCATTGCTGACCTCGTTGCCAGCAAAGAAACCAATCGTGTTGGAATACTTGGCCATCTCGTCAACAACTTGCTGATAGCGTGCGAAGAGTGCGGTGTCCCATGCGGGATTATCGCGATTAATGGAAAGACTTGGTTCGCCCAAATCTGCGACGACATAGATGCCGTTATCATTGAGGAGCTTCATGCAAGTTGAATGATCCTTGGTAGGGTCAATTGCGTAAACTCGGATGACATTGGTTTTGAGCGCAGCAAGATTAGGGACATCGGCTTGGCAGCGCTTGGTGTCAGCCAGAGGATCAATGAAGCTCGAATTTGTAGGTGTCGAGCCGGCTGCGCCGGTCTGCTGCTGATACGCAATACCCTTGAAGAAGAATTGAGTTCCGTTAGGAAAGAAGAATTTGGAGCCCTATATTATTGGAAGCAAGGAGCATCCTGTTAGTCAATCATAGCCAAAGACCTCACATTTGGAACAAGCTGCTCGCCCTACCTTCATTTGGATGGATGGCAGGTCGGCGCCAAGTGCACCACCTGCCAGGGCCAAAAGCGATAATGAGAGACTGGAAGCAATCATTTTGAGGCTGAAGAAATATTCGATGATGGCAAAGCCAGGTTGGAATCAGGTCGGGTTGATCTTGTATGGATGTGACGGACGTTGGAACTGAAACAATTGCGACGACTCCTTGTTCCACCACAAGCCCTCCCGAGTTGGTTACGTAGCAAGGTAACGATGCGCTCGAAACGTCAAGAGAGTGTAAAGAAAGAGACAGGAAGCAGTTACGGCACAAAAACTGTCTGCCGCAAGAGCGAATGAATCGAGAGAGGAACACTCTCCTCAACTAGCAATGGCGCAGCACAACGAAAGTTGTAAAAGACGATGGCGACAACGAGAGTGTTAATGAGGAGAGTCTCACACAATGTGCAAACAACGTCTCGAAACACAAAGCGCCACAGGAGTGCCAGGTCCCTGAATCTTACGAGTTTTCGAAGGTCCGCCGCGGTGTAGTCTAGACCTGGACAACTGGGCAGAAAGACAAAGGACTGAAGCCTCGTTCATGCGCACCCTTCCCTCAAAACGAAGCGGCGACTGAGGCAATGAGCCTGCCACCCACCACACCTGCCCCCGCCGCCGCGGCAAAGTCGGATGGGCTGGGGGGGGCGCATATGGAGCACATTTGGAGATTCACGTCCAGTTTGACTGTTTGTGCCACGCGTCGTCTAAAGAAAGAAATAGCCGGGGCAATAGTATGATTGCGATGCAGCATCAACCTCTTCAACAGCCAAAGGGCTCCTCAGGAATTGCAGGCTCATTTGGGTAGTCCATTCTGCCAGTTTTCCTTCAATGATTCTCTGCAGGGCACTGAATACTCTGTATGTAGGTTCGTTCTGTGCCTTGGGAACGGAACTCGGCGCCATGTGGCGTCACGACAGTTAAATAAGAAGCAGCTTGGCGGGCCGATAGTGCCGATTCTTGTTGACGGTGAGCCGGCGTGGTCTTCTGTCTTGGCTTCAATGCGTAATGGGATGAGGCATGGGGCCATGCCGGATACCCGCCTAGTTGTCTTGTCAGCGTGCCGCCACCCGGTCTACGGCAGATGGTCTGTACGGCAGGGTTCAAATACGATGGCTGAGTTCGTGTGTGACGATGGGGGCTTGTCATGGCTTGTGAGGCTGCCCCTGAGCGCCCTGAGCGCCCTGAGCAGTCCTGACTGTCCTGAGCGGGTTGGGCGTTTTGAGCACTCTGGATGCCACGTATGTACATATGTGGGTGTGTGGCACCACAGTCATGCACTTTTCGTGTGTTGGAAAGAGGCAGAATTATTGTTCATTTTGGAGACGATGTCGAGTTTTGAAAGTGGACATTGACATGACATGCATCCTGGTCGCGGACCCTTGTTCGCTGTTTCTGTCGTGCCTGCCAGGCTCAAGCGGAACTGACACAGGCAAACTGGGTCGTGCTTGCCATGTTTGGAATCCTAGCCTAGATTGACCTTGGCTGATTTGGTCGATCTGGCATGCAGCCAGCTCCAGGCATCTCCACCTTTGCCGAATCCACATCGCTCTGCTGCGTGCGGTTTGGTCGACATGAACCCAGTTCTGTTTTACAATAAGAAGGATTTATGCCAAGGTCGTTGGCTTTTCTTTCTTTCTCTTTTTTGCCAGGAGCACGCATCCACATCTGCGATACGTCGCCGGAGAATTCACCCTCACGTTGCATCCTGGTTCCAACCAAAACCACTGCTTCAAGGGTCATGGACTCATGGTCTTCCACAGCACGCGTCCAAATGGTGCCACCCGATGTTATTTTGCGATGAAAATTTCTTCCCACTTGAAACTCGCATCAAAGGTGCCTTCGTTTCTCGTCCTTGTCTGGTTATCATAGCTTTCTCAACTCTAGGAGTCCTGGCAACAACGAATGCAGACTTGGAGGAAGTAAATCCACTAGCATTATCTCCGCAGCAGGAAGCAAATGTGATTTCGAAACGTTATCAACTTCTAGACGGCCGGCTACAGCAGTGTGGTAATCGTAGGCGCGAGGGTGAGATCTCAACTGCCCAATGTGCAAGTCTGATGCTACTGTTCGCAGAGTCTCATTGAAAGAAATGAGCGCCCAAAGATGCTCGTGAAGACTAGATACGCGCATTTGGTATCGAGGAGTCGCGACCATCAAAGACTCCCGGTTGCCAGAGCCAAACGAGCCATGTTGCTATGGCTCCCGCAAGCGGTGAGACAATGTCGTTGGCTTGATACCTTAACTCAGCGATGCATGAACCGACGACCCAAGGCCACGAAAAAGGACCGCGAATATTATCCTTCTTGAATGAAGAATCCGAGCCTAGAGTAAATGGCCTTATGATTTCTTGGACTGGTTATTGTTTACTCATGTGCGAAGTTTATTTTCGATCCGGGCTAGCTCCCAAGGCGGATGCAAGACTAGAGGCTGTGGGAGAAGCATCGACACTTCTATGCGAAGCCTTTCCGCTAACAGGATGTCTCACTTTCAGCATACCCATATTCACCTTGCCAACGCGGCCGATTCGAGCTCTCATGGTTACAGGACGGTCTCCCGAGAACGTCTCAACTTGGGGGTCTTTTACTGAATCACTCACATCTCTTTGCGGTCCTGTTGAAAATGCGGCAAAAGCGAGCTGTCTTGGCGGGTGCGTTTATTCTAGACCCTAAATTGATATTATGGTTTGAACAGCGTGAACCTTTTTTACAAAAGCGCATGTCTTCCCATCCCCCCTCACAAGGGCAGTTGCGAAATGCTTCCATGCATCGTCTCTCTTTAGTTCCCGAGCTTGAGCTCAAGGTGAACAGTGTTCAGACTTCGTCGAGATGGGTTTCTCGTGCTGTGGGCGACGGCCTAAGAAGGCAGGGACAGAGAAGTTGACTCCTGTGCATGACGAGGTGGTATACCCGGTTCATTTCTTGGACCAGTCTACACTGCAGCAGGAACTGGTCACCTGGGTCTTGAGCTTCAATGACGTGCTTTCGGCAGTTCCCTTGCATCAATCTCTTTGCACCCTCCTTGAGATTGGGGACTGGAAGAAGCTTGGAACTCGACTACGGGTCCGGGTAAGTTGATTGTCTCGAATCCACATGAATATGATGAAGACGAGACTCTGCACCTGAAGAATGCAGAAACTGACCATTTGCTATCACAGAATGATGGCTTAATGGAGGCATATGCACCAAAGGTATTCACCGCGCAGAACCCTCCTTGCACCTTCTTCCACGAAAAGTTTTTCGATACTCCCATTCAAAGAGACCCCATTGGAAAGCACTTCATCTTGCCAAACAAAAGAGCCTTTACTCAAAGGTACCCCTCAGACTACCGAGGTCTTTTTCTCCCGCCAGGTGTTCCCTCAACTGTGCAGGACATTGTCGACGGGGGTTTGTCCCAATTAGTCCTCCGTGTTTTGTCATTTCGAGACGCAACTATGGTAACGCTCTCGTGGCCGCCAAACTCCATGGATACGGCAGGCTTCAAGGCCCTCCTGCAAAACTGGTCTCTATGCATGGCCGGACGCATGGATGAGGTTGCTACCGTCTTTGGGGCGCGGGAGGATGTACTTGAAAAGCTGGTCATGAGCGCCGAAGAAAAGAAGAATCTCGACGAGCTCAGAGTGGACAGGAAACTCAAAGCTTTGTCTCAGAACCCGATTTCAAAATGGTGGAGACGACGGAGTCACAAACCACTACAGAGCAGAATGGTGTTCATCCCTCAGGCAATTTATGATGACTTCATGAAAGAGATTCGGGAAGACATTGCCAGCATATTAGAGGATGATGACCAGCGACCAGTTACGACCGCCGCAGACATCATCCTAGCCTGGATAAGCAAGCTACAGGCCGCAGCCGACCTTAAACCAAGGGGTGTCCTTTCTACATCCTTGGTCAACCTACGTTGCCGCATGTCCACCCTTCGCGATCCGTCAGGGGAGTATATTCAAAACCTGACACTGCCTTGTTACTCGTATATCTCCCCTGAAGAAGCCACCGACACAATCGGCGCCATAGCCCTCCAGCACAAACACAACACGCAAGATCAGACCTCGGAACACCAACTGCTCGCCCTGGCCAAGCACGTTATCGACAAGAAGAAGCGCGGTAAGAACCCGCTCCCCATATACAATGTATCCAGGATCCCTCTTCTTGAATTCCATAACTTTTCCCCTCTGCAACTCTTCTCCGCCGCCGATTTCTCGCCAGCTGTTGTTTGTGCCGATGCGTTTGACGGTCCCAGATGGAACCCTCCAGGACGCATGACTGCAGCGTACTACCTTATGGAGAGCACGAATTTCGATGAGAGCGTTTGCGCTGTGCTTGGGAAGGACCTCGGCGGCAATTTTTGGATGACATGCCAGCTGGAGCCCGAAGTGTGGGTCAAGGTCGAGGAAGAGTTGTATAATTTGCAGAAGACGGTGAACTCGCCCACTTCGGGGCATTGTATTCGGTTCTATGACTATTCAGCACGCAAGGTATCCGTTAGGTCTACGTTTTGACCTGACACGGGAGCTTTTTTTTAATGTAGTCTTTTCAGGCGTGAACGTCCTCGCTGCGATGGGTCTTTGCGGGCATTTGCTTGAGGGGCGTAGGTTATCTTCATAAGCAGATGGGCTTTATTTATAAGACATACGTACGGCATAGCCTTAATATTAATAGCTAATAGGGAATGAAATAGAGGAAGGAAAATACCGTCTTTCAAACTACAGGTTCACTGGCACTCCCTCTCCACCAAAACCATGGCACTACCAAGACGTGCGACAAGACAACCACATCTCGATCAAAGCGAATACAGCCATACGATGGGTTTGGTGGAACATTAGACGAGAAGCTATGCTTTCAAGCCGCCTCGGGCGCATTCAATATCTGTGGCATGAGTACTTCTCAAGAAACAGGCCTACAACTGCAAGTACTTCATCTGAATAGCAGGATACCTGTCTCCAGCTGCCACGAAGCCCTGAAGCATGCCGTCAATCTCTGCCATGTCCTCACTTGTGAGATCTATGATGGCGGCATTCTCCTTGATTCTTCCAGGGTCGGAAGATCCAGGGATGGGGATGATGACGGGCATCCCCGGCCGCTTCGAAAGCGCCAAGAGCCAGTTGATGGCAATCTGGGCCGGAGTGCAGCCCTTCTTCCTCGCGAGGGCCTCCACCTTTTGCACGAGCTCGAGATTAACCAGGAGGTTCTCGTCCTTGAACCACGGCAGGTCGCGCCTCATGTCGTCTAGCGCAAGGTCGTCGACTCTCTTGACGCGGCCGCCGAGTAGGCCGCGTCCGAGAGGGGCTGGAGTATCGTCAACACGCTGCTTGCAAAGGAAAACACTAGGATGGGCTTGGCCACTGGACGCTTACAGTAGGCAATGACGGGTATGTCCAGCTCGGCACAGGCAGCACACAGGCCGTTGGTCAGGGCATCCGTGTGGAACAGCGAGACCTCAATCTCCAGCGCCGAGATGCGAAACTTGCGGGCCGCGCTGCGCAACGTGGTGGCGTTGATCTCGCTCGCCGAGATGCCGTCTATCATGCCGCTCTTGACGTAGCCGTCGATAGAAGCGAGTGTTTCGTCTTCGTAGTCGTGGCTCAGGTCCTTTCTCGCCATCCCCCATTGGGCTATTCGTCCCACGGGGCCGAGTTGCTCTAGCGAATGCTCGATGCTCCGCGCCACGCCCTCTGGGCTCCCGTCGAAGCCGAGAGTCTTGAAGTCCCGGCCGCCCTTGATGTTGATGGCTACTCGTTCCGCGTCATCGGGGTACTTGGCAAAGTAGCGGCGGAGCAAGGTGAGCGAGTTTTCTTCGGGGCCGCTGCCGTAGAACTCGGCGCCGTTGAGGAACGTGCAGCCGGATTCTATGGCGGTTTTGATGGCGGTAAAGTTGACTTCGTCTGAATTTGGGGTCTGAATGGCGGTGAGGCCTATGTTTGGGGGATGTCAGTAATGGTTTGAGTGAGCATGGCTGGCGATGGAACGGATGGGAATACCCATGAGGCCGTAGCCGATGGGGCCGACTTGCTTGCCGACGATTGTAGGCATGGTTGGGCGTTTACGTTTCACCTGCTAGGCTTTGCGGAATGATGGAGAGCAGTATCGTTTCCTAGTGCTCCCAAAACGAAGTGTTGAGGAGAGTTGTGGCAGATATTTGTAGTTTTGGGGGATGTGTGGTGAACTTATCAACGGTCACATTGACGTCTGTACAACCTCCCCCATTAATTTCTCTTGTGTAGATGTTACTTGTTGCCTAAGCCGAAGCAAAATACTTTGTGGAGAGTGCGTTCCGGTCACAAGTACAAGGAAAGTCCGCAGAGTATTCGCAGTAATCACCTTCCATTGCAGCGTGTAAGTCGTCGTCGTATTTGGCTTAAGACGGCTTGATTCCAGATCGGGACGGGGAAAGCGCCTGGTAAAGCACGACCAGCCGGTGACAGTACGAATATGAAGCTGTGAGAGTGTGCTGGATGACTGATTAATCCAGGGAAAACGAAGACGTGTCGATTCTCGGAGGCAAGGCATTGATTGGATGTTTGTCACAGACTTGTAAACCTGGCTCTACGTGAGCGTGCCCGTACATGTACGCGGCCGACATCTGGGGCAGTGAAGGACCCTCCCCGGCAGTCCATCACCACGGGCAAAGGCCCAAATATTGTGCAACACAGGGCAAGTGGTGAATTGCTGAAGCCCAACACAAGACACGTTGGGAAGCTGCGCTCACAACTCACTTACACGTCAACGGCTTCCTTGGACGGACGTCGAGGCCGTGTGGGGCCAATTCAACTGCCGCCCCACCCTCCTTGCCGTTGACGTTGTCGCAACGCCAAAAATCTCCAAGCTCGACATCGTGAAAGGCCGCCCCAACTACTTAGGCATCAGACACCGCGAGCCACCTCTGCATCAGTCCTCTCTCCAGGAGCATACACAATCAATACATATCAAAACAGCATCCTATTTGCAGTATTCCGTCCCGGAAACCGCCGCCACCATGGCCGCTGCGACCGCCGCCCCCAGCGCGCCCTCTGAACCCAGCAGCATCTTCGCCGTCCCCCGTCCCATCCGCTCCCTCTTCAAGCTCTTCCCGCTGCGCACCTACGAACCAGAGCCTCTTCCCGCCCGCGCGCCGGACCAGACGCGGCCCCGCGCAAGACTGTACGTCTTCTCATCAGATGAGGATGCTCTCAGGGGCCGGCCAAGCTTCAATCCCACCTGTTTGAAGTGGCAGGTACGCCAAGCCCAGTCCAACCACCCATCAGCCGCATGCCTCTGACAAAGCCAGACATACCTGCGCATGGCCAACATCCAAGTCGACCTCGTCCCATCCACGAACCACGCCTCCCCATCCGGCGCCTTGCCATTCCTCCTCCCCCCAACGACCGACTCGAGACCAGACATTCCCCTCACGGGCACCAACATATCCCACTACGTGCACAAATACTCCAGCTACTCGTCAGTGCGGGAATCCAACTCCCCCCGAACAGAAGCGTACCTCTCGCTAATAGCCCAATCCATCCGTCCAGCGTGGGTATGTTTCTTCCCCCCCAGCCATCACAACCGGCCGCACACTAACCAACACCCTCAGCTCCACGCACTCTACATCTCGCCCGGGCACACCCCCCTCCTGGCAAGGCTATATCTCCCGCCGTCGCCCCTCGTGTCAACACCGCTCCTGCACACCCTCCGCTCCGCGGCGACCAACGAGATCCTCAAAACGACACGCCGACCGCTCCTCCTCCCCGAGCAGCTGTACAGCGACGCCAGGACCGCCTTCCAGACGCTCGACACGGTCCTAGGGTTCGACGAGTGGTTCTTTGGCGCGCCCGAGCCGGCCCTGTTCGACGCCGAGGTCTTTGCGTACACGCATCTGATTCTAGATGCCTCGTTCGGGTGGCAAGACGATGCGCTGGGCGCCTGCCTCGAGGGCTGTGACAGGCTCGTCGAGCACCGCCGCAGACTGTACGAATGGTGTTGGCACTAGGAGCCGTGTGAGCGGGCACGCAGAAATAGGGGGCGTCGTGTTGTATAATTAGTCTTGTACACTAGGTGAGGTGTTGATGCCAGCGCAAGCATTGGTTATAGATGTTGCTTGATTGTATAGAGGAGCAGCACACGGGACACTACTCTGCCCCGTTTGCCTGTCTGAAATGATGAATATGTCTTGAGATACGGGCTTTTTTGGTTTCTTCACCCCATCTTTGGTGAGATTGCAGACCTTGCCTGCTGCGGATTATCTCGAGCACGAATACAAATAACCACGAGAGCATGAAAGCCCACGTACACGGTAGCAATGGAATAATAGCACACAAGTGACGCTACTCTCTGATACACAACTGCATGCCACGGCTGGATATCGACATCGTCTATATCGCTGTTCCGCATCCGCTATCATTCTCAACTAGCATACACGTCCCTCTCCCCTCTCCCCTCTCTGAGTCATCTACCCCGAGTCCGACTGGTACGATCCTAAGTGCTGATAGGAACCATACATGATACCACTGTTTCTCTCGAGCATCCAATTTCGTAAATCAAATGAGCGCAGGTAAAATTCATGCAACGCCACCTCTGGATTCAGATATCACATGCTCACAAAAACCATTACCCACCCGCCCAGTTGTCATGTTGGATTTCGAGGGAAGAAAAAAAAAAGCAACGAATCAAGACGAAATGGGAAAAGAAAATAGAAAAGCTGCCAAACGCCAGGAACGCCGCCTAATTAATGCAACACAGTGGGAAAGGATAGCTCGGTTAGGCTGCGATGAATGCGACAAACCATCTTTAGTTCCAATTCTACTACAATCGTGGGTCGGCCTTGATGCTGCCCACAACATCTTGTACCGAGACAAATGCACCTGCACCACCATCCGCCCGGAGATCTTCAAGTAGCACACTTGTTTGGGCATAGAGCTTTTCAAGAGATGCCTGCGAAGATTTGCCCAAAGACGCTGTCCATGAATTAGTGACAAGTCTTGGTGTAGACAGATGTTGCGCTCATAACGACACTTACCCAAAATAGCCGAGTTGAGTTCCTCTGCAACAACTACCCTGCCTTTCTTATCAAGCAGGTGGCTAACTGTTGGTTCCACAACAGGATTGGAATACGCCACCAACGCCCAAATTTCCTCCAGTGCTTTGCTGACTTCAATTCGCGGGTCTCGTGCATACGTGGCCCCCAAGGTTTGTCCGTAGCTGAGCATTTCTTCTTCCAGCTTCAGCAACTCGAAATGGGCGTTTTGCATATCAGCTTCGAAATTCGTATGCTCGTTCCAAGCCACGTCGTCTCCGCCATTGACGTCAACGTCCATGTCCTGCGAAATAGAGCTGGACCCGGGTCTATGTCCATTGCTCATTTTCGAGTCAATTGCGGATCTCAGTTGTGCCGTCTTCCGGACCATTTCAATGAACTTCCGGCAACATAATTTGAAATGAACTTGTGCATTTTGTTCGAATACTCGTGGGTAATAAACGTGTGTGTGCTTCAACGCACGGTCAATGTTACCCTCAAGAATGGCTTTTCGAATCTCTACATTGTGTGTTAGCATTAGCGACCAGCAAGTGGAAATTTGTCAGCCTACTTTGCCTATTAATAGCGTCTTCGTCATCCTTGATGTTGATTCCGTCGACAGTGACATTAGGATCCAAGTTCAGAGCCTCCTTCTGCAGCTTGATATCTTCCGCAAAAGCTCGGGCCGTTTCCACATAGCCATCATGCTGCAAGAACTGCAAGACCAAGGCCTGTATGAGGTCTGTTTCGCCCAGTCCAGACTCAAGCCTGGAGACGTCAGTCTTTTCGATCTCATCTTGGATTTTTCTCCGTTGTCCCTATTTCCCATTTAGTAGGTGTGCTGGAATGGCGCATAGTCTGAAAGTTTTGCACAAGATACTCACTCTCATCATATCATCAATGTCATAAACAAAGGGCGTTTGCCCAAAATTGACTATGATATGTTCTCCTGGCTTCTTCAGACTAATAGCAGGGAAAATCTTAGTTCGGACGACGTCGTTGACGGCCACACCTGGACATGTACTATTAACAGAGCCACCCACACGCCATTGTTCCCATGATCAAGGAGGCTTACCGATCTTGACGCCATTCTTGGTAAAAAAAGCAGTGTGGTCGCGGAAGTTGACGCCGCAGCCAATGATATCTCCTGTGCTGAACGTTGGACCAAAGGGCCGTCCGGTATTGGTCCCGGAAAAGCAGCGGCCGTCATCTCCGTGATACCCCCAAGAATTTTCTTCCCAACCTACTGGCCGCGACATGGTCGCATCTTTCGTGGCAAACCCAACGGCGATGGTAGCGCTGCCATGCTGTCAGCTTGCTTCTTGCGTTGACGGATATTCAAACATGGTTTCAAGGTCTACTTGACTTACTCGTCGCGCTTTCCGCATAAGATTTGAACCTCGTAATAGTATATTCCACATTCTGCGGGCATGGGGTGATCGGCTCGCGCCGCAGCCGCCTCGTGGTCCCTGTCTTGGTGACTTCGGGGGCCGACAAACTTCAAAGATCGCGCAGCCTCTAGAAACTCAATAGACCCCCACGAATCACCAGGGTTCCAGCGACTCGGTAGCGGCGTCAGTTCGTCTTCCAACTTTGGCCAGCTCAGTCGCTCCAAGCTCGTGCGGGGCAGTCCTGGCCCGGTACTAAGTGACGTGGGATATATCCTCAGTCCAGGTTGATCGCGAGCCAATTCAGTTGCCATCTCGTGGCTGTGTTCCTTCAAAGCCTCGTTCCGAGCCTGAAGCCTAGCCCTGTGCGCAGCCTCCAACTTGTGAACATAGGTGGACTCGGACAGATATGACGGGACGAAGAACGAATCGTGGTCTTTGGCGGCAGGGTCTGAGCTCTCTGAACACATCGGTGCCATGAACATATCGAATCCGCGGGAAAAGGAGGGCAGGGTGCCACTGGCCTTCCACATGGTCGCCAGGTCGTTGAGGCTGGAGTCGTTGATGTTGTTGGTTTCGCGACGCGACGTCGCTGAGGCGAGGCCGGGAACAGGATCGAGCAGCAGACCACGGCTAGGACTCAAGATGGACGTGCGGGAAGGATGCGTGTAGAAATGAGAGCTGGCTCCGGAGCGATGCGGCGGTTCGGGCGTGTACGCGGCGGCGTTGCGAGAATCGTTGCGAGAATGCGGTCGGCCAGAGCTTCCAGCTGACGATTCTGAGTCTGAGAAACCAGATGAGCCATGCTGCTCCAGGCTAGCCATGATATACCAGACAGGTCCGGAAAGCGGGAAAGGGCTGTTCTGCGTGCCTGGAGGGTTGGGTTGGCCGGGTGGTGCGGATCGGTGGTAGTTGCCGTGATGTGATGTTGTTCGACAAGGTTGTTCAAGAGCAAGCGAGCTATGCACGTAGGCGGTACCTGACCGGCTATGTTCAACCAGACAAGAAATCAGCACTTAGGCTGGTGACCCTGGAAAGGCCAAGCTGCTTGCTTGGTCGGACCAGTATGCCAGCCAGTGTGCCACTCTATATCGGCCGTCTGGCAAGATGAAAGCTGCTGAGCTTCGGCTCGGCTACGATGGAGCCCTGGTTGAAAGCGACGTGCTGGCCCCTTTGCCCAGCGGTATTCTGTCACGGCCCGAGCGGTGATTGAAACGCTGCACAGGTTTGGAACGAAAGGTTGGTCGAGTGATACGAGGGTGTCGTCGGCAAACGCTGGATAAATGCCAGCGCTTGGAGGATCAGACACCTGGCGATTCCATGGGTAAGTACGGAGAACGGAGTACAGGGTGCAGAGCTAAGAGTAAAGGGTACGTCGACGTACCAGACCAGACCAGACACATGCATGCTGGCACTCGGCGGCACTAGACCTGAGCACCTGAACAGTGGGCCGCCGCGCGCAAGGGGGGGCAATTATTGGTGTCAACCAGTTGACCTGATCTCAAGCTTGCTCCAGATGTCCAGTCGGTGCTATGTCTGCAGGCGCCAGCACTGATCAATATGACACCAGACGGCAACTTGACCCCGTGTCTGCTTCAATGTTGGTAGCGGGACATGGGGAGCGCTGGAACGCTGGAACGCTGAAGCCGCCATTAACCATTGACTGGTGGACGCCTGGATGCTGGCACGTCGGATCCACTGCCCCAGCCTCTCATGGGCTCTCCATGGATGAATGCTGTCTGGGACAGCGGCGGCAGTGGCCAGCAGCCCGATGATCCCAAAGCACTGGACGAGAGGCTGGTATGTCGTGATTAAGACGGCTTCTTACGACTCTACGCCCAAAGCTGGCTTGAGTTTGCCCTTGGTCTCTGAAATTCTTGCCGGTGCAAGCATGCATCAAGGCCTGCCCAACAGCCGGCGGCAGAGGAGCTGGGCACAAATGTCTGCCCTCTGTGTCTGCTCCCATGTGCACGCACGTACTCTCCGGCTGGTATAGACTACGGCGACAATCACAATCACGCGCCCAGCCAGCACCGCTGCAGGGCTCCATTCCTAATGCCAGGCCCTAGTTATGTAATACTATGCTCGAGTCTTTGCAAATGGCACCCCTCAATGACACCCAGGCCATTTGCGCACTTTTGAGTGTCTTCTATCGTCACGATTTGACCTTGGCAGCAACCAATGCGGACTGGCGGGCGGTGGCTTGCACGAGAGGGCTGGGGTTTTCTCAGGTTGTGGTCAAGCTCAACATGCACTTGGGTACAGCCGAGAACAGAGGGAGACGGGAATCTGGTACAAGAAGCAGGCCTATGACGGTGAAATGGTTTTCATTCACGAGCATGTTGGTGTTGTCTCTGGATGGTGTCCGGCTGATGGGTGTTGCTGAAGGCTGCCGAGTTGGAGATTGTAGGCGTGGCAGTGGCAATTTTAGTCTGCCCGTGTTTTAACATGAATACTCCGTACGGACAACAGAGTACCCACCCGTTGCAAGTTGGGAGGCGATGCAGCGCGATGAAGAATCTGTTGTGGGTTTGACAGACTGCCGGCATTAAAACCAGAGTTACTCTACCTAGGTGAGGACACTTGCGATTAGACGGCTCCAGTTGAGGCATTTCACTAGGCCACTCATGCCTTGGACCGCACTACTGGTGCAATCGTTCTGATTGCCCCCAGCCACATGCATTCTCGCCATTTCGCCAACCTTCGGGGTCCACCAAGTGTAAAGCGCATAAAGGCATATGCAAGATATTGTACAGTCACAAAATACAAATATACCCAGCGCCATTTCAGGACGTCGACTCAACATAACATGTTCAATACTTTTATTCGATATCACAGCTCTGCGTGGCAGATCCCCCCTCCTCTGAGTATCTAATAAGTACAAATGCGGGTCAAGCCAGCCCATTTTCCAAAGACTCCCTTGTGTGAACAATCGAACGGCAAAAATAACTCCATGGCTTATTTTTGGTTCTCGGGTCGCAGAGAACTATAGAAACAACGGTTAGTAAACCACTATAAATAGAACGAGAAGTCCATTTGTAACCTACCGAACAGCCTTGCCGGCTCTCCAGATCTCCAGATTTCGGATTTCTTCCATCTCAGCCTCGTACCTCTGGCGATAGTCGGCCTGGCTGTTATAGTCCAGAGATCGCTGAGTCTCGGTTCCGTCCCTGACGCTGTCGTACAGGTTGTTGAAGACGGGCTTCAGGGCATCCTTGAACTTGGGGGTCCAGTCAATGGCACCTCGGCGGGCGGTGGTAGAGCAGGCCTCGAACATCCAGTCCATGCCATTGGCACCAATCAGGGGGTACAAGCTTTGGGTGGCCTCCTCAACAGTCTCGTTGAAGGCCTCGCTGGGACTGTGGCCACGCTCACGCAGGACCTCGTACTGAGCAAGGAACATGCCGTGAATACCACCCATTAGGCAGCCACGCTCACCGTACAAGTCAGAGTAGACCTCCTTTTCAAAGGTAGTCTCGTACAGGTAACCAGAGCCAATGGCGACACCCATGGCAACAGCCTTCTCCTTGGCCTTGCCGGTCACATCCTGGTAAACGGCGAAGGAGGAGTTGATACCACGGCCCTCACGGAAGAGGGATCGGACAGTGCGGCCAGAGCCCTTGGGAGCGCAAAGAATGACATCGATGTTGCTGGGAACATCGACCTTGGTGAGGTCCTTGAATACGGGGGAGAAACCGTGAGAAAAGTAGAGGGTCTTGAAAAAAAAAAAGTCAGCCCAATTCACTATTTTCATTTCTATTGCAATGCAAGTGATAGTTGCTTACCTTGCCCTCGACGAGCTGGGGCTTGATAGCAGGCCAAGTCTCCGACTGAGCGGCGTCGGAGAGAAGGTTCATAACAATGGTACCGCGTGAGATGGCATCGTCGACCTCGAACAGGTTCTTTCCAGGAACCCAGCCATCCTGAATAGCGTCCTGCCAGGACTTGCCGTTCTTGCGAACACCGACGATGACGTTGAGGCCGTTATCCCGAAGGTTCAGACCTTGGCCGTGGCCCTGGGAGCCATAGCCGATGAGGGCCAAAGTATCGTTCTTGAAGTAGTCCTGCTGCGAGTTAGCACTTGCAATGCGCCAATTGACCTCTCTGAGAGATTCCAGGAGGAATCTTCGCCTGTTTCTAAAGCAATTCGGGTCGTGACTCACAAGGAGCTTCTCCTGAGGCCAATCGGAACGCTCTGTGCAAAAAAAGAAAATTAGCGGTTAGCTCATAACCGTCGGCAACGGCGTCAATTGGATACAAAAAACGACATACCATAAACATCCTCCTTGTGACCGGCAAAGTCGATGGTCTTGACACCACGAACCTGCTGCTGAGCAACAGCGACGGCAGGGCGAGCAGCAGTAGCAGCTCGCACCAGCTGTCTGGCAGCGATGTACGAGCGCTGCTGGACGCGAGGAGCAGCCAGCTGGCGAGCTGCACGCAGAGACTTGGAGAAACCTCTTGAGGCCATTGTGTACGGAAGGAGGGGAGATTTGTGATGAAAGGGATTGGCGAATGTTCGGATGGGGAGTTGTGGTAAGAGGGAAGACAGATGGTGAACTGGTGGAACCGGATTTTTCTTGGGGGGAAAAGCAGTCAGAGCCGGGGGCCGATTTCGGTGGTGGATTCTGCATGCTGCGAGGGTCGGCGGCACATGCGCCCAAGTATTGCTATTGGGGCAGCAGCCGAAATTCCCCTACACGTACCGAATCACGTAGTTAGAGTATAAATATCTTGAGTGTCTTGCATGAAAATAATATATATATATATATATGAGAGACAAAATTATGAAAATCAATGTTCTTTTACCTTGTCTCTCCCTTCCCCAAAAACTACTTAGAAGGCAGAAGTAAAGCATTATTGGTGCTTGGTGCTGGAAAGTCATGCTGGGGCTTATGCTGTAGATTGATTTGGTGGAGCGTCAACTAATTAGGCAATTAGTGGAGCCCGCTATCAGAGAAGCAATTCTGTTGCCCTTATTACCAACGCTCATGCGCTGTCAACTTCAAATGTTGGGACTCAGAGCCAACACGTGCTGAAACCGGCCACCAAAAGGGCCTTGGCCTGACATGGAACACCCAAACGCGCAGCTCGGGTTTCTGGTTACGCAGCTCGACAAGCCACCTAGTCGCTGGCGGGTAGTCTTAATCAGTCCGTATTTTATATCTACCTTGTACTACCATAATTTAAAAAGCGCATATTGGCGCTTTCATTTTATGCCAGGCAAAATCCAACACATTGCGATATTTGATGTTTGGTGTTTTGAACAGGTCACAGTGCCTTTTCTATCGCTGGAGGTTGCACCTGCGAACCCTGGAAAGCAGCACTAGGAAGCCGGTCTGTCGAGGAAACTGAGTACTACTACCTGCCAAGGGTTGACTAGACACACAGCCGGCACGCCGAAACCGTCGAAGCGCCTGACTAAGCCTGTCCCGCCAGTCCTAAGCCCAAACAACGTTCCCACATCGAATCGACAAGGCCTGATTCACACATGAATCACGGATGAATCATCTCACTTGCTTGCCCAAAACTAGTAACTGTCGGGTCCAAGCCAGGCAGGCTCAGTCTGCGGTTTCCCTTCAAGAAGCAGCATTTGAAGAAAATGCACTGTGCGTCCTGGGCCAACACCTCCCTTCACCAACCCACGCACCATCAGAGCGTCAACGGTAGATGATCATGGCGCTGGGTGCTGAAATGTCGCTGCCACCCGCTCACTGCACTTATAGATGCCCCCAACATATTCTCACAAGTGTACAAACTCGGCATCAGCGAAGCGTTTTGTAGATGATACTTACGGATGCCATGATACATCTGTATATATTTGATTCTCAGGGCTGGAGCGGCAATCAATGAATACGTCCGAAAGAAGACTGTTGCCATTCAATCGCCAAAATTTACAGTCGGAGCTCCTCGTAGTTTTGTACCTGAAGATACCACAGTATATTAACCACTTCGCTATTGACACAGACCCAATTCTAACAGTAATGTACATGCAGCAGCCAACCGTAATGTATCCTTTTAATTCTTGAGCCGTGCTTCCAATGACTTGCCCCCGAAACCTTTGAAACGCCAACGGTCCAGTACCGTGATAACCCGAAATATGTGACACGTCAACCATGTGGCCCGACGAAGACGCCTAGCCAACTCCAACCGTCGCGAAATGGGAAAAATTGAAATGAGAAAAATAAGCAGCAAGACGAAAATAGGTGAGACAAGAAGAAGAAAAGTGCACCGATTAAGATGCGGCAGAAATAGCAATAGGAGCCGGTGACGAAGCATTGATGCTAGGAGCGCTGTTCATCTCGACATCCCCTCCAGCATTGCTGTTGTTGGCACTGTTTTCTTCTTGGCCATTGGCTTTATTCTCCTTGCCGCTGCTGTTGTCAGCAGAGGCTGAAGCCGCCCCAGACTCGTCATTGTCGTCTTCACCAGACTTCTTTGTGTTTGGAGCAGTCCAGCGAGGAATCTCCCAAATTACACCGGTAAAACTCTTCAGCTTGAAGCCACCTCGAGCCCATTTGCGGCAAGGCTTGCCAGATCGATCGAGAGCGCGAAGGCCAGCATTGATGGCTCCCTGGTTGGCCTTGGGGCCAAGTTTGGCTGCTTGCATTCTAGCGACAGCGGCGTGGTCGATTGTGCCATCCTCCCTGTAGACATGAACACGTTAGAAATTGAGTACGAAGGACCGTGTAGAAAAGCATCTGCCAGTTGCAAGGGATATGCTGGCGGCAAGACAAGACTTACAATCTAGGCTTCTTCTTGGGGCCCGGTTTTCCGCGCGGCTTTGGCACCCCATCTATCGTAGCTGCAGACCTCTTTGCGCCTTTCTTTCGGCCATCTGTTGGGGGCGCCATTGATGCAGGTGCAGGAGTTCCCTCGGCTGCCGGTGTCGCAGCGTTGGAATCGGAAGCATTGTCACCGTTCGACACGCCGGACACGGCCAGGTGGGCAGACGGAGCAGGCGAGTCCTTGGGCTCAGAAGACTCTTTTGGGGTGGGTGATTCAGCATCGGGAGATTCGGCGTGCATCACTTCGCGCAATCTAGACGCGGCAATTTTGAGAGTAACAACAAGCCTTGTCTTGCTGCCAGATTTACGCCGACCGTCAGCCTTGGGAGGCATTTTCGCTGATGTGGCCTTGGAACTGTCGGAACGCCGTGTCAGGTGCCTGAATAGTTCATGATGTATTAGCGGATATTCGGCTGTCGATATTTAAAATTTCATCAGGTATATGTAGGCAACATACCTTGACCTCGGCCACTGCTGTTTGACCGATTGCTGATGAACAGAGAAGATGTGTGATTTTCTTTTTTCAAAGGAAAAAAAAAAGACTGGCGAGGCAAGCGAGGATGAAGATGTGTTCGTGGGCAGTGCTGTGGGCACGAGTCGATGACAAAGACTACTGTACTGTCAAGGTTTGTTCAATGGCTGTGATGCCGTACAGCGTCAATGGTGAAAGTGTGATTGAGTCGAGGCAGACCAGGGGCTGTCGTCGGGCGGCGTGGAGCTGTAGCGATGCTAGACTGCACTGTGGTCGCTTTTCTCAAGTCGCGGCGGCGGCGGCGATGGTGCTGGTGATGATGGCGATGGAAAAAGGATGATGAATGGGGGAGAGTTGGGGACGGAGGCAGGGCGGAGGCACTTTCATTTTTTCTGGGGTTGCGTTGTCTCGTAGACCATGGTCTCATCCTCAATTTTCGGTGCCAGAGGCGGCGCACAAGAAATCGGGTAAAGGTTCTCTCTCTCTCTCGACGCTGGCGCAGGCTGGACCGTGACGCTCACCCAAGACCAACAGGCGAAGGGGGTGTGGGTTTTGGAGGTTCCTCTCCCGCCGCCGACCCTGCCTCTCTTTGCTGCCAATTGAGTGATGTTGCCTAAACCGGCTTAGCGCCAAGGGCCCCAACCAAAAGGGGCGCGCATTACGCCGTGCAAAAAGATTCGGAACAAGAGACGACATGTACTGTGCACCTAGGGTCAAGTATACGCTAGCACATCAACATGTATAGTGGCAACGCACCCAGTTAAGTAGATACACCCGCCTGCAGCCAGATACCAGCATCCGTGGCACCTTAAGTGTTACGTCCACAGGTGGGCAAGAGCAATCCTGGGCGCGAATAGCATCGCGACAGCCGCACTTGAGCAAAGTACCGAGTGATGAAAGGAACAGAACAAAGGAAATTTGCCGACCCTGTAACATGGGGGGACGCACGACAGGGAGGCCGTCATGATTTATCTTTTGTGCCCAGGAACAGCGCCGTGCAGTAATGCAGGCTATATTTGCTTCCACTGGGTGGCTATTCGGTATTTCCGGACGTTTTGGTCGCCAGGTGAAGACAAGGCTGCTCGAAACTTGGCCGTGGACCCCACCGCTATTTCTGACTACTGGGCAATTACTCGAGTGCTCGAGTCCTCGCAGGTGGTGATTTCAAGCACCAGCCGACAAGCTCTCGCCGGTTCCAGCTCCTTCCAGCCACCAGACGCTTCAGGCCTGGATTGATGGCCACAACCACTCGGCGCATGGAGGCATCACCGTCTCGTTGACGAGGACGAAGTCGGCATGCAATGCATGGTGCTATTGCGAGGACGACACACGAGCGCTCGCCCACCTGACTCGTTTCATTCCTCAGGAACGTGTCGCGACCGCAATGACCCGGGGCATTTGATGCACACTCACTAAACACGCCGCTTGGTGATCTTCAGACCGACCATGGGTTGTGGAAGGGGGTGGCACAACGTTGAGCCTCATGGCTTTCCTCCAGTGCCGATCATGTTATGAACAGCATATTTGGGTGAAGCTGCGCTACGCCAACCACGTCGCATCTGCTCTCATTGTCAAGCAATCTGGCATGATTCTCCAACTGGATGCGCGGAGACCCTTCAAACCATCACTGCTACTGTCCGGCCAGTGGTGGCAAGTCACTCCCATCACGACTCCGTGACGGCGTCCGAATAGGCGTCACACAGCGGTTGAGCCAACAATATATTACCAGACAGGACAGAGTCTTTGTCAGATAGTTGGCACATCATTTTCTCCACCAGGTCGAGACACTCCTCAAAGACTGTGCCCCTGGCATAGTAGATGCGCCATCGACCAACACTGCTGCGCTCCAGACTCGTGAATCGAAACCTGATGGCTTTCGTTCGGCATCTTAGACATTCAGCTACAAGCATCAAACTGACCAAAGTCTAGCCAAGTCAGCCAGTCAGCCAGCCAAACGCCAGAGGCACTCCACAGACCTCTAGCGGATAAGCCAGAAAAGTATGGTCAATCCAATTTTAGACTTCATTCGAGACGCATCGGCGGCTTTCCAGGAAATTCCTTCCTGCCAGAACTGGCTCAGTTAGCCATGCGGAATATGCAAATAATCACCCCGCAACCTCCGTGCTCAGTCATAATGGAAAGATTGATGCGCGAACTCGGATAGCCGTGTAGACTTCCGAACGAGGAACAAAAAACCCCACGACGAATGCTGGCTACGGGAAGATGAGCTGGCCGAAGTGTGGGGTAGCTCGGCTTCACGGGTAAACATCACTCCAACAACTGTCTCTCTGCTTGATGCTATGGCATGGTTCCAACCTCGGTACAACAACTGTACATGGAATACCAGGCATCGTTGTCGCGAGTTGTAACCTCTCATGTTACACTCAGAAACACAAGATTCTGTACATCTGTCACCGACACTTCTAGTTGCTCAGTACAAGTCAAGTTGCCGACAGTCCATAAACACAATGGAGAATACCAACTTCAAATCCATCATTTACAAAACGTCATCTGATGGGAAAGTAGCGCACATTATTCTCAATCGGCCAAAGCATTTCAACGCAATCGACCAGAATATCCCGGCCGAGCTACGAGCCGCTGTCCGCCTAGCCAACTTCGATTCCAAGGTACATTGTATCATTATTAAAGGGAACGGACCTGGGTTCTGTGGGGGCTATGACTTGGGCATTTATGCTGAACATGCCCAACGCGGCCAGACCGAAGGCAGCCAGGATCTATGCAAAGGCTATGATCCCTTCAAGGACTACTTGACAATGGGCGAAGCCACCGAGTGTTACTCAGAACTCTTCCGAAGCCACAAACCCACCATAGCGCAAGTTCACGGGGCTGCTGTCGCAGGTGGAAGTGATATCGCCCTATGTTGCGACCTGGTCGTCATGGCGGACGATGCTCGGATTGGCTACCCGCCGAGTCGGGCATGGGGTTGTCCTACAACAGCCATGTGGGCGCATCGAATAGGACCGGAAAAGGCGAAGAGAATGCTGTTTACGGGTGATCTTATAGATGGCAAGGAAGCTGCATCGATGGGCTTAGTTTTGATGTCCGTTCCTGAGGCTGAGTTGGAAGAAACGGTGAATTTGTTGGCGAACCGAATCAAGACTGTGCCTATCAACCAGCTCTGGATGCACAAACAGGTCATCAACAGTGGGATCGAGAGTTCTGTGCGGTCGAGCCAACGCTTGGCAACCATTTTTGATGGCATCACGCGGAATTCGCCCGAGGGCATTGCCTTCCAGAACGCGGCGATGCTGTCCGGCTTCAAGGATGCAGTGAAGAAGAGAGATGAACCCGGAAATAGCGTATCGTACAGGATAAAGTGGAAGAATAAGCTGTAATAGGCCCACAATCCTTTTCGATTAAGAAGTAGTCTTGGGTTCCCTCTCCGCAAGTTTACTCTTCTGCTCTGGGCGCAATTCCCGCTTGTCAGACCTGGATAGGTATGGGTGAATGCCGGGACATACATGAGCAGAAGCATAAATGACTATTTGAGAATGATTTCCTCTACTCGAACACCACGTTTATAGAATGCTTCGAGATGCGAAGAGTCAACCTGATTACGGCCGACAGAGCCCTTGTTTCTATGCCAGAGTGGATGATCGTCCTCGACTTTGTATGGGAAGTCGATATGTTGGAGATGTGGATCGCCTTTGTTTCCCAAGCCATCTGCTCTCTCGAAGCTTAAATACGGATCGTCAAATGAATCAACGAAGCTTGAACTAAAAGCAGGCTGTCCCAAGATGGCTTGCCCACATGAAAAGTCGTGGATATACGTCGGCCCAACAATACGGTAATGGGTAAAGTCTCGGCGCTTTCGAAGTATAATGGGATCTTTGCAGCCAAGGACGGCGTATATTTGATCGCCGGGTAGGCACATGCTTGAACAAATGCCGAAGAGGCTGTTCTTTGCTCGGTAGACGGACCATCCAGGCAGCGCGTTCAACATGGCCCAGATTACAAGCATGTCCAAAAAGGCGTCTTTACCGTTTGTTCCGCCCAAGTCTTCGACGACCCAGTTCTTGAGCACAGATACCACTCCCATTAACTGGGGATCATGCTGATGACTGGTATTTTCAAACCAATGACCACCCAGTAACGCCTGCGTGAGTTTAACAGTCGCGTCATCTTTCCATTTCCTAGTGTCCGTACCAAGCTGTTGCTTCAACATGGTTTTCACTCGCTCCTTCAACTCGTCCTCAGCACATCCTCTTGGTATATGGCCAATGAGATTCGACACAAGTCCGCATTTTACCGCCCTGACACCCATCATGTCCCCTTGCATCATGTCCAAGCGAGCCTCGGAGTATCCAGTAGCAAAGTTGCGCCAAAAGTGGTGCGCAGGGTTCTGCCCGGGAATGTTGGGCACCCAGCTCGGGCTCGCTGTCGTGTCGCAAAATGCTAGCACATCCAGCCTCGCGTCTTCTCTATATATGCTAAGCATGAATTCCCTGCAGACGTCCTTGACGTTTCGGGAGTAGTCGGGACAAATCTTGTAGCTAGAGTCAATGAGGCCCAGGAGCGAGTACACCCGATCTCTGTCGTCTCTGCACTGGCAAGAGCGGGTGAAATTGAGCAGCGCAACCGGATGCCTGAACAGTGTGGTGCGGAAGAGGGCGACGATGTTGCTGACGTCGTTGACGAACCGAGTCAAGAAGGGCGAGTTTGTGTTGCCCAGAGCAATCTTGACTTCGATACATGCCACGGCTTGCCCGAATCTCGACCAGGTGGTGGCCGCGTATCCGGCAACAACGATGGCGGACGGTTTCGCCAGAACGATTTCCTGCCGGACCCAGAGCCTTGTGAACCAAGGTCGGGCAAATAGCTTCTTGATCGCCAGCCACTCTCTTTGCTTGTACGATAGGGCCGAGTTCGGGTCTCCTAGTTTCCTGTTCTTCCTGTTGGTCCCCGTGAGAGGGGACAGTTCGTATCTGGCAGGGTCGAAACGTACATTGGATCCAATGTGGTCGAGTATCTCCAAAGCCGCAGAGCTGTCATCTTCTTCTGGTCCAAGCCAAACGATGACCCGGTCCGCTTCTCGATATACTTCGCCCATGAGAAGAACTTGGGCCGCTCGCTCGACAAGATCGTCTTGGTTTATGCAGATGGAGTCACACCAGAGGTTTCGAGGCTGGTCTTGTCGTCTGAGATGTCGCAGGGCGGTTGCTAGGCCAGGTCTGATTAGTTTTCTCCTCTGATGGCGACCTTGAGAGATGGCAATCGTCGCCATGTCTATCTGGTCACCCCAGAAATAGGATATCGCCTCATATTTTGGTATGTCCGAATTTGCCGGGAGGAATTGTTCATGTGTCAACACGCCGGTCAGGGGATCGTCAAACTCGCCAGCTAGGAGGGTCAGTACTCGTAGCTGAGACTCTTCCAGGGGGATGTATTGATAATCCAGCATGATGTATGTCTGACAAGGGAAGGCTGCGAAATTCTTGCTCCGTGTAAAAGCTTGAATCGAGAAGGAATTCAGGATCTTGGAGCCGCTGACGAATTTCTAAGAGGGTATAGAAAGGACGAATCACTCTCTTTTGCCATGAAGGAGTTTGTTTCGTTGTATTTATGCATGTTATGACGTAGCCTCCTTCTGTCGCACGGGTAGGCTCGAGCAAAGGCGTTGGGCCAACAGCGGCCACGTCCTTGAGACATCATCGTTATTCGCCACTCAACTACATATGTACGCAGAGAAGAAGGAAAGAATCTGCAGATCCAGCCAGCGGCCGCATAACAAGCCGGCTTGGATGTGCCACCCCGCTCTGTACAACACAGTTCGAATTCGAAAGGTCATTGGAAATATAAGTATGCATGAGGACACTTTTCGTCCTCGCACGACTCCCCCACGGTTGTAAGAGGGATAATTTTCATCGCCCTGGAGGGAATGGGAAGACGTAGGTTCACATGACGACCTTGGGGTAGGGTTGCCTCGTAGCAAGGCCCTTCAATTGCAGGGGCCGAGCCGCCTTGACTTTTATTGCAACAGAGCGACAATGCCGAGATAGCATTGATGCTTAACAAATTTCTAGAATTCTCAGGATACGCTCAGGTTGGGCAGTTCACTAGCACCAAGTAAACTGGTATTTAGGGTTAGGGTTGTGGAGGCACATACCAGGATGGGGTTTAAGTAACTTGTATAGACGATCGATCAGCTTAAGAAATTGTATTTAAGGGACCAAATATTACCGCAGTTACAATTAATATAATTATTGACACCTTGTAGTATATTCGAGACTCATATTCCATGGAATACTTGTGCCACGCTCTTTGTTTTACACTCGAGGTCCCTCGCATTACCAAGGATAGTGCTCAGTAATAAGTAGGTCTAATAGCCGTAATAGGAATTCTCACGCTAAATCTAGCAAATCTAGTTTTTGAAGAAATTGTAAGCCAAGTGTGCGTGGGCTGGCACAATCCATTCATGTTAGCATTGTCGTCTGTAATTATGCTTCTGACAACTTGGTGGCATCCAAGAAATACCCAACAGCATCGTTTCTTACTTGTCCGCCGGCGGATAGATAGACTCCCTTCCAACGTTTCAGATCGGTCTTCTGCCAGTTCAAAGGGGTATAAATAATCGTCGAGTAACCTCTGCCGCATGGTGGACTTTTTACTTTGTGTTGCCAATAATGAATGAGTCGGCTGTGCAGGGCACGTTGGCCCGTATGTTGTGTAACCAGGCATTGGGAAGAAATGCAACATTCCCTGTCTCGGGCATGCCCGCAGCGGGCTCTACTGGTCAACAATGCCAATTGACGTGTCAGAATTGGATTTCTTTTTTCCCTCTTGCCAATAGTTCCAGGTCTGTACAACAGATGGCGGGAAGCTGCGTGTCTCTACCTCAGTTGGGTTGGCCGGCATCTTGGGTACTCTGTTCTCATTCATATACACCAGGATAGCTCAATAAGAGCTCATATCTGCCCTTGTACATAAATGCAATCAACACGCCTAGCCGTACATGTTGAGTGTTTTCAAGGAGGGTGGAAATATGTCGATTCTTATTGCAATTACTGAGTACTGCACAGATACGATAACATGTCTCAAATAGGGTCAAGAGTGAGTAAAAAATACGTTTCTAGATGATCCCAAGCTGTGATTTGGCTTCGGGATTCCTAGATGCGGGGGATAACCACCTTCACCGACTGAGGTTCGTCCACTTCTGGTAGGTGGTACAGCGAGACATATTGAAAGTATTAAATTTACGATGACAAATTTTCAGCTTTATATGCGCAAGGATGTCTTGGCAGTACCCCTCAGATGCGGCCGTGGCCACGTAGCAGGGAATCGGACCAGTCTCAACAATAGAGTGTGTATGTATGTCTGAGTCTGCCGGCACGGCTTTCAGCCTGCTACGGAGGAGAATGTCTTGAAATGCTCAATAACTTGTCGGATCTCTTTGAGCCACAGGGCCAGTTTAAATGTACCCGTTGAGTGGCTAGCATGTCCACTTAGTTGCCAACGGGTAACTACTACACCGTGAGTTTTTGGCAACTGCTTCTACCTTGTGATTTGATGGGCTTACTATCTTTGCTGTGGTAGCTGCGCAAGTCATCATCCATGTCGAAAGATCTAGGGTCAAGAGAGTTTTGCGTGTGCATGTGGCTGCTGCGTCATGTTTCTCTCTGTTTGTGTCAGGCGGATAAGTGACATAATCTTCCGAATCCCGCGGATAACCCCCATCGCAGCCGATAGTGCATTGTCACGGTGCACAAGGTGGTCAGTGAGACAAGTCGGGGAATACAAGCTGAAAGCCCAAGGCGGCTATAACCTCGATGTCTCAGCCATCTATATCAAGTGCTTCTCGCTCTGGAAAAGGTATTTAAATGCGAATTTCCGACAGTTGACTTCTCCTAGGGCTCGACAGCGGTCTTCTACTCTGCAGCTTCTGAACGATTCACCAAGTCCGTGCCAGATATCATGAAAAAGCATACGCAAGACCAGACGCATCAACAAACCTCGACAACCTTCTCTGACTCGAAGGGGCCCGAGTATGGGAAGCGTCTGGTTATCCATGTTCTTGATCAGTATGCTCAAAATGAACCGGACAGGCCTTACGCCTATCTCCCTCTTTCCAGCGACCCGAAAGACGGATGGGAAGTGGTCACGTTCAAGCAGCTTGCCAACGCCGTCAACTTTGTAGGCCATGAACTGGTTCGGGGACTCGCCGACCACGGAAATCAAAGTGAGGACTTCCCCACGGTTGCGTACATCGGCCCTGGAGATATTCGCTACGTCGTATTCATGCTGGCCTGTATCAAAGCCCGACGCAAGGCTTTCTTCCCGTCGTCTCGGAATAGCCTCGAGGGCCAAATATCTCTCCTCAAAGCAACCAATTGCAGCACTATATACTTTGCCGAGGGCTATTCGGAGACAATTCTACCGTGGTTGGAAAGCCACCCAATGCGCATTGTTCAAGCCGCGGCCCCCCAAGTCTGGCTTGAGTCGGAAACCGTTTCACTGCCCTACCATCGGTCGTACGAGGACGGTAGATGGGATCCCCAGGTGGTACTGCATACCAGCGGCAGCACCGGGATCCCAAAGCCTGTTGTCGTGCGGCAAGGGAGTTTCGCTGTTTTTGATGACCTCCGAAACGGTCCTGAATTCCACGGCACTCTTAGTTCTTTGGTTCACTTATGCATGGCCGAGAAGATTTATGTTCCGGTGCCTCAGTTCCACGTCGCCGGTGTTGCTCTGGCGATAAACGCGGGCATCTTTTACGGCAGGCCATTGGTGTACGGCGTTCCAGATAGACCATTGAGTGCCGATCTGGCGACCCGAAGCTTGGTACACTCTGGTGCGGATGTGGCATTTCTCCCGCCGTCTATTCTGGAAGAAATGAGCCGGACGGAGGCGGGCATTTCTGCCTTGGCCAGCCTTGACATTGTGGCATTCGGTGGAGGTGAGTCCCCGAAACAATCTTCCGTGATGGAGGCATCTTTGCTCAGGTACAACCTTGATCTGTAGGTAATCTTACCCCAGCGGTTGGGGACATGCTCGTTGAGAGTGGTGTTGTTTTGAGCAACTTGATCGCCGCCACCGAGTAAGTTGTCTGGTTAAGCTTGCCTGTCTGTCCCTCTGGGGACTAATACCGGAGCAGATGCCTCCCATATACGATCCATTTCCAATCCAACCTCAAGCTGTGGCAGTACTTTATTATACATGAAAAAGACATGGGCGCCGAGTTCAGGCCAGTCGAGTGGAATCCTGAAGCTTACGAAATGGTTCTCTGCAATGACGACGCAAAGAATCCCGGACGCAAGGCGTTCTTTTGCAACTTCCCCGAAAAGACCGAGTGGCGGACCGGCGATCTTTATGAGCCACATCCAACGCTGCCCAACCATTGGAAATATATTGGAAGAGCCGACAATATTATCGTATTTTCCAACGGCGAGAAGTTAAACCCAGTTACTATAGAGGACGCGGTCCAAGGCCACAAGGCTGTCAAGGGAGCCATCGTGGTCGGGCATCAAAGATTCCAGCCTGCACTCATTGTAGAACCAATCGAGACTCCCGCGGACAATGTGGCAGCAGAAGCTCTCCTCCAAGACGTGTGGTCCCTTGTCCAGGAAGTAAATAAAGCCACCGTGGCCCATGGGCGCGTTTCTCGCGACATGATTGTACTTTCGGATCCGGCTATCCCATTCTCGCGAGCGCCAAAGGGAACTATTCAACGAAACTCGACCACAAGAGCCTATGTGAAGTTTATTGACGAACTATATCAAAAAGTCGAAGAGGGCTCTTCTTCACAAGATGCCGTCCATTTGGACCTGACCAGCGAAAGCACCCTGGCCCAATCGATTGTGGACGTCTTGACGCACCAATTTGGCAATCCCAACGTCGGTTTAGACAGCGATCTCTTCAGCGTAGGCGTGGACTCTCTCCAAGTTCTCCGACTATCAAAGCTGCTTCGCCTCAGCTTCGGAGCCGCGGGCATCTCTCTGGACCAGAATACAATCGCTCCACGAGTCATCTATGCAAACCCGACCCCGAGGGCCCTGGCCGCGAGGCTTTTCAAAATTACCACCGGCAAGGATTCGCAAAACGACGAACCCGTCGACGAGGTAGAAGCCCTAGCGGACATGGTTTTGAAATACACGGCCGATCTTCCGCCACCAAATTTGAATCAGGCCCAGCCCGCCGACGACGCGCAAACAGTCTTGATAACAGGGACGACGGGATCACTGGGAGCCTATATTCTCGACCGGCTGATTTCAAACCCGAGAGTTGGCAAGGTATTCGCTCTGAACAGAGGCAACGACGGCGGCCAATCGCGCCAACTGGCCTTCAACGCAGCCAGAGGCCTAACCGGGGACTTTTCCAAAGTCGAGTTCCTCGACGTCGATTTGTCCCGGCAGGGCTGGGCCCTCGCTCCCGCCAAGTACGAGGAGCTTCTCGCCAACGCAGATCGCATCATTCACAACGCGTGGCCCGTCAACTTTGTCATCAGCGTGTCGTCGTTCGAGTCGCATGTCCGGGGGGTGCGCCGCCTGGTCGATTTCTGCAACGAGGCCGCCAAGCGCGTGCCCATCGTGTTCGTCTCCAGCGTTAGTACCGCCGCTTGCTGGGCGGCAGACGAGCCCGTGCCGGAGCGTCAGCTACGAGACTTGGCTCTGGCGCAGATGGGCTACGGCCGGTCCAAGCTGGCTGGCAGTCTGGTTCTAGATGCCGCGGCGGAGAGATCAGGGGTTCCGGCGGCGAGTATTCGAGTGGGACAGATTGGAGGCCCCCGGGGCGAATTGGGCATGTGGAATAAACAGGAGTACATACCTAGCTTGGTGGCCAGCTCGATTTACCTGGGGATGCTTCCTGATACCATCGGTCCGTCTGACGTTGACTGGATTCCGGTGGATGACGTTGCGGGACTCGTGGTGGATGTTGGCGGCATATCTGGACAGAAGGCCGTGTGTGACATTTCGGGATACTTCCACGGGGTCAACCCGCATAAGACGAGGTGGAATGACGTAGCTCGGGTGCTGAAGGAGTTTTACCGTGACCGAATTCGGGAGATTGTTCCGCTGGAGAATTGGGTCTCTGCGCTGGAACGGAGCGCAGAGAAGGATGGCGCGGAGGATAATCCTGGGATCAAGCTGCTTGATACCTACCGAGGCATGGTTGCTGCGAATAGGGCTGGGAATAGGCCGGTGAGTTTTGACATGGGGAGGACCGTACAGCATAGTGCTACGATGAGGAATTTGGGTCCTATAACTGAGGAGCTGGTGAGGAATTGGTGCAAACAGTGGAAGTATTAGGGTTGCAATAGTATTTTATGGGGTATTTATTAACTTGACAAGGAAAGATTGCCAGAGACGGGATGTTTGGTCATCAATGCGGACAGGTGGAATTATCACGAATGACACTATATGCCAACTTGCTTAACATGAGGGTTGAAAAGCGGATGTGTAATTTCAAAAGGCGAACTGAAGTTCCTTCATGAGATCGCTTTGAATAGATAGCATCATTCTCTAAGCTACTGGAGTTTTGCATGATAAAGTATTTGGTTGCCGCTGCGCATGGAGGCCTGACTCCTTCGACTCCTTACAGACAGTGTCAATGGCATAAACGTCGAGGCTGTAAGGCACCCAGTGACAACAAATTGCTTACAGTATGTGAAGCATTCTCGCATTCGTCCCACATGGGCATGGACACATACGCGGACAAGTCTAGTCTGAGACAACACGAGGTCATGCAGCTACTAGCTAGACTGCCAACCTGGCTTGAGCCGTGTCAACTGGGACCAACGTCAAGCCTCATCGTGGCTATTCGCATTATGCATATGCCTTTTGCATAAGCCTAACGTGTTGGTTCTCTGGTGTCCGCGTGTAGTAAGCTGCTCCGCCACAACGGCTTGTGTCCGTTGTAAGTGGTGAACTTCCCGTTCTGGCCCCACATATATCGAGTTGAAGGCAGAGGCAAGGGTCCCGATTGGCCATTGGGTGGGTTGACGCGTGGCCAAGACGGGTTATGAAGTCATGGCCCTTGTTGGATGGTATCAGGTGGACGGACAATGACCTTTGCGATTGTGTTGGTAATTTATGTGTCAAGATGATTTAACGAACTGTGGACGATTGTACTGTGCCGAATGTGACTCTTGTGCCTATTTCCGGGCAATCAGCAAGTGCCATGTTAACAGTTGTCACAGTCAAATTCAAAGTCGCCGCGTAGCAGGAAAATAAGTGAAAACCAGCCGAAATGTTTAATGACATAGCATTAACTGGAGGTTTCATCAGCGGAGCCAAAGATTCCCCCTTAAAGTCCTAGTCAAAGTCATGAATCGAGTTCCCGTTATTTGGAGCCCGACCAACAAGTTCCTTGTTGGCGTAGTACGGCGCAACGGGAACAAAGGTCAGTCAGCATTCGTCATGGCTGAGACGTGTCCGTGCAAGTAGACGTGACACAGGAATTTCGACCCGTGACGACAAGCTGCTCTCCATGTCTACAGGACATCAGACCATATATGTCGAGGAAGAGCCTCCCAGGCAAGGCTACTGGTACAGACTTGGGCCACTCGACCAGCAACGCTCTTCTGAAAGACCATTACTAGAATGTTGGTTAGAAACAACCTCAAGAATCGGTTCATTCTATTTTTAGTCCTTTGCGTCACTGTTGTCTGTTTTTCCGTTTCCACGCTGCGCGGTTTTTGGGCTGGCGAGGTTCTTCTCCAACGCAGCCTTGTTCCTCTCACCGAGGCATCCACCGTCCAGCATGACAACGCCTCACAACCCGACCCTTCCATCGAGATAATACCCAGAATCATTCATCAAATATACAAGAACAAGACAATACCCGAAAAGTGGTCCGAGGCCCACCGTTCGTGTCGCGCGCAAAATCCTCCCGGGAACTGGACTCATGTCCTTTGGACGGATGAAAAAGGACGAGATTTTATAAGATCTTTTTACTCCTGGTTTCTACCCATATACAACAGCTATCCCTACAATGTGCAGCGTTTCGATGCCCTTCGGTACCTGCTACTTCACCATTACGGCGGGATATATCTCGATCTGGATGTAGGCTGCAAGAAGGACCTCTCGCCCCTTTTGAAATACCCTGCCTTCTTTGGCAAGACAACTCCGTACGGGGTTAGCAATGACGTCATGGGCTCTGAGAAGGGCTATGAGCTTTTTCGCCAACTCGTTCTCTCACTCGAGCGGAATAATTATTACCGCGGAACAAAGTATCCAACCGTCATGATGTCTACTGGCCCAATGTTCGTGACACGGGCCCTGGTAGACTTTCTGAGGGCCAGCAGCTACAATACGACGGCGGAAGTTTCTGAAGACGGGAGAGACTTGCCTGTGGCTATTCTTCCGCCAGAGCTATATGGGATGTCTCCCGTCTCGTACTTTGAGCATTACCCTGGTTCGTCGTGGCATGGCTGGGACGTTTGGGTCTTGAGCAATATAAGTAATTGGCCAATTCTGTTTTTGTGCAGCGGTTCACTCACCTTGGTTGGAATATTATATCTTGTTAGAAGAAGGCGGAGAATAGTGGTTTGATTTGAGCTGATTGATGGCTACTTGTTACAGCGAATATATCTGAATACCAAATACAATTCAATTCTTTCGTTCTTTCTTCCTTTTCAAGTTTTTACAGTTTCCAGCGGAATGAATCATGTTAGTACATTATCTTTTGCAGGAATATAGAATCTGAATCTCGCGCTTCATTACGCAGATTATAAGGGTACCCTGCTACGGACAAGTGGCAGCTAGATTAAATGTCAAGTTGGACTATTTTATATTAGCTAGGGGCGCAGTACTAATGCGTTTAATGGGGTAGTCAAGAGTTTGATCGAAACGCTTCCCCGAACCTCAGCAATACTTTGATTGGTCTTCATCTAATATAAAAATAAGTAAAGTCTAAGGAATATCGTTGGATCCGTGCACATATGAGGCTAGCTATCCCACTGCTACAATCTGATCCGCCCGTATTGTCACTTGCAAGGAACAAAAGGGTAAACAAGAATCGTAGTTGCCTCGTAAACTAGCATTACTCCAAGTGTACTATCCGCTCACGAGACTTGCCCTTCTTCTTGTCCTTCTTCTTGTCCTTCTTCTTGTCCTTCTTTTTATCCTTCTTTTTATCCTTGTTCTCCTTGGCAGCCTCCAAAGTATCGTTGAGCCCTGGTATAATGTCCAAGGGCGTGCTGCCCTGCAGTCCATCGCACGGCTTCAAGTCGGCCGCATACCTTGTATGGTCGGTAAAATTGCAACCAGAAAGCAAAATGCCCTTGGACAGCTTCGCACATGACGCACTCGTGCAGTCCTTTTCACCACTACACACCTGTCGGCTCGTCGTGTATAACCCCTGCGGCCCCTCAACGCCGTCCGCGAACCAGAACTCGGGAGAAATGTGCTTGTATGTCTTTGGGGAGAGGGGATTCTTGGGGATCGCCGTGACGGGATCTCTGGCGTTTGTGATGCGCGCCGTGAAGCCACCCCCCTGCGAGGACACGAATTTGGCAAACTTGTCGTTGCCGACCAGCGGCGAGCCATAGAGATACATGTCGAGGGCCATGCCTTGCTTGCGGAGAGATGAGCCGGCTATAGTCGCTACGCCGGCGCCGAGAGAATGGCCAGTTACGACAAGACGCCAGTTTTCTTGGCCCGGGACTGCCTTTTCTGTCTTGATCGTTTGCTCAAGCTGGCCTTGAATCTCATTAAACGCGCGGCCGAAGCCTTTGTGAACTTTGCATCCTTCACAAAGATCACTGCCTGGCATTAGCTCCAGTCGATATGATGGGTTAATGTTAGACATTACCTATCAATCTGGTCTATGGCCGCATCCGTTGCAATGTCACCGGCGGAATCGGTTCCCTTGAAAACCACGGCGATATGCTGCTGGCCCGGGTTTTTCGCGACAAACCCACCAATTTGAAATCGGTCGTTGGCAGCAAATTCTGCAACTGTAGTGGCGTTTTCAAAGTTTGGACATGGCGTTTTATCTGAATTGGTGCAGACGGGTGTATTGAGAGATGTGTCGTGTAGCTGCTTGCAGTACGACGAGAAGGAATACTGCGCGAACAGCGCGAACTGCTCGGGGGAGTCCAAGACTCCGGATACTACCAACATTAGTTGATTGCCACGTGTGCAACTTTTGAAAATGGACGGCTTGTATCTGCACACCTTGACGAGTAGCAATGGTGCGGCCCGCGGCCCCCTGGGCTGCGGCAAGAGCCGAGACTATGAACTCTGGACGCATTTTACCGTCTCAGTAATGCTTAGAATCATAATAAAGAGGATAATGAGTCCATGATATAGTTTTTGGCAAGTCTGGAAGTCCCAGGAATTTATGGAACTTGACATCTTGAGAAGTTGCTGATTTTCACGTGCTTCAATCCTGTTTCAGAATGCGGGAGTAGACGTTGCCGCTCTTGCATCCCACTAGATTCCCGAGTAGAGTGAGTGGGATGCGTATTTGACTCATGACAATACTCTGAGACTGCCCCATCCCCGAAAATAGAAGCTAATTGTGGCTCAGCCTCAATAGTCGCGGGATAAATTGTATCATGGCCGTAACCCGAATGAGGGATCAACTCTACTATAAGTTCTACGGGACACAAGTAGTCTAACGCCATCAGCCTTACAGAAATGAAATTCCATCTGAATCCTTGAGCATCATATTACATGTTAGAATTACTAACCCGACCAACGTTCTCCTACGCCACACTCTGTTACCTCTTTGAAGCATTTGGAGCAACGCTCTAGTTAGCTTCGGGTATCCGGCTTCAATTGCTACTAATGTGCTAATCAACACGCTCATCGATTCTAGTGTAAATAGTAATAGATTGCAGTCATTGCGTCGCAGAGTCACTCTGGAGATTATTTGTTAAGAATTTATTCCGGCGGGAACTTGAGTCTCGGAGCAACTTCCGAATCGGGAAAATACAATACGCCCAAAGGGTGCTTATCGACTCCGACCACAAAACACACAATCATGGGCGAGTATGATCGTCTTGGCTTGTCTGATGCATCGGAGGCTCGGAGGCTCTGTCAAGGCAACAGACAAAGTAACCAGTCGCCATGTCGAGATCCAAGCCCACGTTGTAAGTGGCATTCCAAAAGAAAGAAATGCCGATACGGTATATACGCGGAAAGATTTACGTCACTCTTGGGCACCTTTTCCGCCATGGGAATCCCCAAGGCCGTCAACGGCCTTGATTCAGCTTTATATGAGAGAAATAACGCGTATATCGTCAAGTGGTTCGAGGCTATACGGCTGTACGCTTAAGACGGAGCGTTTCCTATTCTCTCTGAATATCGCATCAAAACCGAGAAAAGGTTGCACGCACGCGAAAGCAATTTCCCGGAATTCGGAGCTCTCAAAGCAGACACACTGCAAATCGTCCCAAGCATCCTTCAGACGATTGGTCGATCTTGCCTCGCGTATGCGGAACAAGTGCCGAGTTCTGTTTGATCGACACTGAGAATTCCTTGCCGAGGCGGTCAAAGAGTCGCCAGATAGACATGATACTTGGCTGTCTACGGCTATCGTAATGGATTTGGATTAGTGGGTGAGGGCTGCATTGCAAGCTGAGGACAGGTTTCGCCATCTGCGGAAGAAGCGTTAACAAGGGTTTGAGACGCTCAGCCCTCACTTTGTCTGCCGCGCGTCTCTCGCTTTACTTGGAAGGCGGTGCTCTGAGTAATGGCTACAGTTATATCGCATTTTAAACTCGCAAATAGGTCTTCACACCGATGACAGCTGCAACATCGTTGGTGCCTTTCGTCCTTTTACTGTCAACGACAAAAAGTCTGCTATCAACGCCACAGGCTTCTTTGAATGGAAGAAGGCTGCTATTTATCGGTATCACCGAAATGCCCTGAAATGAAGCCACCGAAAGCCTCTAAAGGCCTCGCGCCACGACCCTATTAAAGCTGGACCTTCAATAGCTAAATCCCTCAATTGACGACTTTCCAGGTAACCTGCTAGATAACCTACGATATCTATAAGACGGGCCTGTCTTCCCTAACTAGATAGTCTCAATACAAGGACTACGTCGCCGTTGAATTCAATCCATAGCTTTTCAACGTGATATTTACTATCGACAATATATCACAAGAAGAACATGCTCCAGTTGCGAAGCAGTTATACCCCCTTATATTCCGTTGAAACCGTTACACGGAAAAGGCCCAACAGATCGTGAGCCCCAACAAAGGGGCCTCACGAACAATGGACTGATTTGTTACATAACCTGAACACGTACCCGAGTAAGAGCCCTATACCTGGGCGTTTTCTCTGATGTATATATATAGCGGTTACTAATCCCTCTCTTCCTCTTAGAAAACTAAGGACCTTTGACACTTTTTGATATTATCTTTGAATTTGAACCTTTACGCTCCGAGCCTTGTTAAACCCTCGTCACAGAAACAGTGGTTCCAACACGTTGGTAAATTTCAAAGAAACCAAAAGTTCCGTCCCTCTCCGGATTATAGCGTTGATGAACTCGACCATTGCATGCTGGCCTTGAGCTTCTCAAATAGCATTTACACAAAGGGCCTGTATTCGCGGCTGATAGTCGAAAGTTACGAAACAGACTGCCCGCGTAAAGACTGAGATTCATTGTAGAGCTGTTACTATAATAGATACGCCTCTATTCGACGACACAAACATGCCATATGGAGATTTTCCGTGTCTTATCTCCGAGTGGTTAGACGAGACCTTCCAGCATGGCATATCATTGACCGGTATGATTTTGCTTCAGCCCGTGGACATCAATCGAGCTTTCGGAAGCGAAGCAAATCGGGCACGGCTTTGAAAAAATATGCGGCATTTTCCTGGCCGCTTTCTTGGCCATGACAAGGTTTCCAACAGATAATAGCATAGCGACCACCTAAGCACTCTCCAGTATCCATACTTCTGACGCTTTCAAGTGCACCATTTGCCGTAGATTCTGAGACAGATTTTTTGGCTTCTGACGATGGAGGGACTTGCCCGACGTTGTGCGGGATGGCGCCGTGGGCCAGATGACATATATCTTACGGCATGCCTAGGTCGAGTAGGCTGCATAGTTCTACCAGGCTCTTGGCGGGTGACCCAAGTTGTGGACGTTGACTGATCTCTCCAGATATCCCATCTACCTGCAGTAAGCTACCAACTGCTATTACCAACAAATATGACTCGTGGCGGAACTTCCTTCTGTCCTAGGCCAATAGGACGTTTGTAATTTCAGCTTGAACGATTGACCGACCAATAGGCAACAAAACGTTGCCTGCTCCAGTATGTCATCACCTCCATGCATGCAGCCGGAAGTTTACGGCGCAAAAGACCAGTCAACAGGGGCCACTGGCAAGGCGGAAAGACTATTCGAAAATCCCTGCTTAATCTCTACCTCGTCTTTCTATCTGAGTGGTTACTAACCAAGAGCTTATGACCACAGGTCGGATGGCTGCCATGTTGTCCTCTACGATGGAATGTACTAGAGGGCAGGCAATTCCTGCATGAAAAGGACGATGAGGAGGCACGAATGGCAAACCGCCCCTCGAGCAATCTTCGTGTACCTCCAACGACCTTGCCGCAGGGGTGGAAAACCGATGCTGCCATCGTATCGTATCTATCTAGCAAAACGGATATACCCCTCCGCCGCCTCCAATGCACCTTTGAATAACTGAGTACGTCCTGGCGTTGCTGGCGCGGGAGTGGAGAGGTCTGAATCGACCCGAGCTTCTTCAGAGTAGATGGATGTTTATTACCATAAAGTCAGTCAAGTAAAAGAATAGCTGGCCAATATTTAGGACTGGGAGTCCTGTTCGGCTACTAACAGAGCAGTGTCGAGACTTGCTAGCCACCAACAGTATCAGCCTCCCCATTCTCCCGTAGATAGTGTCACACGGATGTTACGAGGAGTCGAGGACTATGGTCATGATACCCCAGGGCTCACCGCCACTGTATTATATCGACATTTATCAGACCAGTTGACCCTTTGGTCCCGGTGGGCCAAACTGCAATATCCGGATAGCTAGCTACCTCTATCCTTGCAAGGCAACTTCAGACGTTGGTACGTTACCTTGCACAAACTTTGTTCCCCAGATTTTCCCCTTCAGCCTCGTCTCAGGCTTCTTCAAAGAGATTGCCAAGGCCAGCAACCCCGGCGCAAGCAACGTGAGGGCAGGGGTGCGATGCGACCAACTTTTGATCTAGCCGGTCCAAAACGAAGCCACACAACGCCACCCAAGTCCCTCTTATTGGTGAATCATACGATTTTTCTGCCGACTACTCCTCCTCATTGGAAAAGACGGCGTCGCGCTCTCTGCTCGCAGTTGCACATGCCACCTACTGCCTGCGGCTATACGAACACCAGTCCTGGTTTTCATTCTGTTCATACGGCTCTTCACCGCAAGCGACAACAGACGACGGGCTCCGGCGAGGTGCAACCAGCTCACAAGACGCTATCGTGGATATCAACTTGGCCTTGGCACACAACGACGACAGACTCAACTCGCGAGAAGCGCCGGCCAACACGACGCCACCAACACGGAAAGCGCCATGCCCCGAAACACCATCAACTCGGCTGCTCTGCACCCAGTTTCGAGGCGCGCCGCTCCGGGATATCTCAGCCGCACTTGACGTCCACTTGCCGCCTATCTTTGTAACCTAAAATCATGCTTAGTTCAGCCACGCGCCTAAACGTGAATCCTCGCTGTTTGAAGCGCGTCTCAAGCCGTGAGGATATGGAAGAGAAATGCGTCATCAGGAGCCTCTTGGCTAACAAGAAGCCAAAGCGTTTCGACTACTGCAAAGCTCCGGCGAATGGAAACTCCATGTATTCACCTCACCATCTACCATGGCTACGAACAATGTCGAGACTCAATTGACTTTTGCGTCGGGTGAAGTCGCGGATAAAATAGTCTACTCGGTTTCTAAATTAAGAAGGTGTATTCAACGACATGCTTGGAAGTCCCCTCTCAGCGCCATCGTCAAGGTTCAATATATCTGCAGCCCTCTCGGCTGTACTCCTCTTCCAGCACTCCCTCATGACTTATTCTATTTCATAGGGGCCGGTCCTCTTTTTATTGTATTTCCTTCTTTCGCTTCATGAGCCTTTGTTCAAGTCCTTTTTTTTATACATTGTCAGATTTAATCATGCTATTTTCCAAGGTCTACTGGCCATTATCGGCCGTCTACTTCACCCAAGCATCCGCCTCATGCGCCTACGGGACGATTCTACAGCCCAGGGAGGAGGGAGGCGCCGTCAAAGTAAACACGTTTGGCTACATTGGTATGAAGGTATACACCCCCCTGTTCTACACATTCTATTTCGCCACCCTACCGTCATGACCTGTGTTTGCCAAACCATCAAGTGCAAGAGGTTGATGGATTACATGTGTACATTCAGGGTCCAACCAACTGGATGGCTCTCGACCCGGGAGCAAATTCCCTCTGCGCAAATGGGACGAGTCAATCCCCCGTCGACATGGTGCCCGGCTCCTTCAGCATGATCCCAGGCGCCGAGTTGGGCCTCGACATACCCGATATGCCCGAGGGGACTGAATTTGAAAATCTCGGAACCACGGTCGAAGTAGTTGCCAAGGGCGGCAACATGTCCTTCGACGGGGTTCAGTACAGGCTCCGGCAGTTTCATTTTCACCTGCCGAGTGAGCATCTAGACAACGGGACCAGCATGGCCATGGAAATCCACATGGTCTGGCAGGGGGAAGCCGAGCAGGTTGCGGTTGTCGGTGTCTTTGTGGATCTCGACGAGGGCCCGGGCCGGGCAGCGAAAAGCACGGCCAAGACTAGGATTGGTGGTGGCCGGCTTCCCGCGATGAAGAATGGCTTCTTCCATGTCACTGCCCCTGCGACTGCGGCCAAGAAGCCTTCTGCGCTTCTTGAAACGGTGCTCAGCTCTGTGGACGGCATTGCTGAGCCGGGGACGGTGGTCAAGACGCAGCCTCTGGTCATGTCGGATTTGGTCAGCACGCTCTCGTCGGGGTCATTTCAAACGTGAGTTTTCTGCAGGTGACGGGTTTCGCAATCAGACATGTGTCTAACACGCTTGAGTACAGCTACGAAGGTTCCCTCACAACGCCTCCTTGCTCGGAGGGTGTCCGATGGCTTGTGTCTGACCAGAAGCTATCCATCCAGCCGGGTACTTTTATGAAGGCAAGGTCGGTTATTGGATTCAACTCTAGATTCCCTCAGAATATCCCAGGCCAAAGGAATATCCTGGCCGTCTCCTAGATGAAGAGCGGGATCAGATACGGGATGACCCCCAGGAACATGTGGAGGCGTGGAAGTTATGCAACCATTATCATGTGGCGTAATCAGGGCGATTACGAGGAACCTAGAGCGCCAGGGGAGATTGCGCCTGAATTGTCTGTACCGAGGCCAAGTTGTCGCATTCCGCTTATAAGTCAAGAAACACTAGATGGAGTTCCCAGCCTTCACCAACACCGCTGGCAGGAAAACCGTGAGCCCAAGTTAAAACAGTCAAACTACAAGTGTCGCAGCATATAATTCCTAATGCCATCCTATTCCCGTTTTGTCTTGGCGTCCAAATTATTTGTCTCATGTCGGAGAACTCGGTGGATCACGCTGACGTGCCCACATGCCAAAAGGCTTGTCTGGGGAACCATGATCCATGCAATGTCTCAGCAGTATCTATCTACATGCATAAGTTGAACTTATTGTCGCATACCAGCCAAGACGGCTGCACCGGGTAAATGCGTTTCGAAAAGGGGGGTGACATCCCTTGTGGACAGCGCGCTTACGGCGGGCTGATGGGGGAAACAACGTCCATGTCACTTTCACCTTCGCTCCATCAGATCCGATATACTTGAGCGACATTGAAAATAACTAGGCGGCATCGTATCCGGCAAGAAGGGAGAACAGGGCGAGAGAAGTGATCTGAAAGTCAGTTTTGGATTCTCTTCTCACCACACAGCCTTGCACATAGTACAGGCAACGCACTGCCAGCATGGGCTGCACCAGGAACATTGCGTCGATCAACTACGAAAGCAATCATGGCCAATCTGAAGATCGTTCGTCTCCCTGCTATCCTCTGGAATGTTGGCTGCTCTCAAAGCGGATCAGGAGACAGCTTCTGGCAACAGAAGGTACTCTTCATACGAGTCTCACCGTACTCGTCGGCAACGCAGGGACTGGAATGCGTTGTCCTCACAACTCGGGCTTCAGGGGGAAAAAGAGATATATTCCTGGAAGCCATGAAGCCCAAACTATTTATCGAAAACACCAAGCCAAAGGCTCCGTTTACTTTCTTTCGTAATCATCATTAATCTTGTAACACAGCTTTTATACTGTTCTCTTTTTTAAAAAATTCGATTTCGCTCCAATGGTTCTGCCGGGGACCTTCCTCAAGCTGGGCCTCGGGCTCAATCCCCGTCGGGATCTTCGTTCCGGACAAGACGGCGCTCTCGTCCGCGTCGACCATGCCGCCGAAGGTACTCCGTCGTACGCGACAAACATTGAACGTTTTCACTACACGGTGAAACGGGCGCGGAGCATCATTGAGAGCCGCGACGCCACCGTGGCCGTGTCCCAGTCGGAAATTCACAGTATTTTGACCAAGATTGAGGAACTGGACCGGCAGGTGAGGGCGCTGCTACCGAACGGGCCCGAACCTACCTCGCCCGTTCCTAGGTTGGGGCCCGGATCCCAGCCTGCTTCTGACAAGACGAACGGCGCGGGCGGTGCCAGAGACCAGGACTGCGATGCAGAGAACTTGATCTATGACCTGGGAGCGAGAGCCGTCGTGGATGCGGACGGACATGTAAGTGGACACCCGTTATTCCGCCGAAATTCCAACTGCCCCATGGAGTCCGCCGTCAATGGCAAGAATCCCGCCAACGCCGGCGGTGCCTCCTCGGAGAACCACAAGTCCGGCAATCCCAAGGGGGCAGACGCCTCGGCCGAAGAAAAGCAAAAGTCCAAGGCCGAGGGTGGCAAAGGAAGTGCCGCGCTTGACGTCCCCGGCGGCGAAGCTCGCACCGGCTTGCCCCAGGTCGTGTCGGCCACGGTAGAAACGGTCGAGGTCAAGACTGTGCCCGTCAACGGGGCGCTGGTCATGACCACAGTCACCAGGACTACCACCAGGCTATCAACCGTCACAGTTGTACGACAGCACAAGGCCACGGGGTCTACGGCGGCAAAGCAGACGACGCCCGACGACACTACTGCCGCGGTGAAAAACCCCCAAGACGGCACCGGCAAGGGCGTCGAGAAGCCAAAGGTTGCCCAGAATGTCCCCGTGGCACCCAGCGCCGGCAGCTTCGCCCAGTTTTCCAACGACACCTCCAAGTTCTCGAATAGCACCGCGGCCAGCCATGCTTCTCAGGCAGCGGACCAAAAGACGGCGGACGTGACTGTTGATGACAAGTCTTTCAACCACACTGCTGTCGACAAGACGAAAGGGCCTGAGCAAATCGGCAGCACGCCCGTGCAGGAAAGCGAAGAAGCGGGAAACGTCACAGCCCCTCAAGACGCGGCCAGCCTCGCTCCGGAAAAGTCTGCCAATCACACCGCCGCGTCGGACAAGGTCGTCGGCACTCCTGGCCAGCAGCAGCCGGCGAATCTCACCGGGACCGAAGACTCGGGGACAAAGGTCGCCAACACCACGGCGGATAACGTCGCCAGCACGCCTAATCAGCAGCCGGTGAATCTCACCGAGACTGGAGACGCCGGGGAAAAGGCCTCCAACACCGCGGCGGATACAGTCGCCAGCACGCCTAACCAGCAGCCGGCAAATCTTACCGAGGCCGAAGGTCCCGGGAAGGAAACCTCCAACACCGCGGCGGATACAGTCGCCAACACGCCTAATCAGCAGCAGCCGCCGAATCTCACCGGGACCGAAGACGCCGGGGAAAAGGCCGCTGGCACCGTAGCCGATGACAAGTCCTTGAGCAGCGCACCTGAGCCGGGTACAAACCCCGCTCCAGACGCCGGCAATCCAAACGGAAGAGTCAAGGTCATCACTGTCGTCCCTATCCCCGCCCAGTTGGGCGGCGCGTCGCCTGCCGCGGCTACTGCCGCCGGGAGCCCAGACATGGCGAGGAAGGCCGAGCCGGCCGTCAGTGCTGCAGTCGGGGCCAACGAGGCTGTGCGCCGAGCGGAGACGGGCTTCATGACGGTGCGGGTGCCCGGGTCCAAGTAAGTGATGGGTGTGTGAGACGCAGGGCAAGGAGGAGGGAGGAGGGAGGAGGGGAGAATCAGGTTTTCAAGTTGGCGACACGGCATGAGGTCTACGCCGTGATTCGCACGCCTTCGTTTACTATTTTCCTTTGTCGGACTTTTCTTGGGCTTCGGCAGGTACACGTGCTGTCGTGCCTTGTTTCTTTGGCTGGGATGATCGTGTTGGGCATGTATGATGATAATGGTGGAGAAGTTGGGACGGGCAGGGACTCTGGGCTCGGGCTTCGGCTTCAGATAGTAGTAGTACAACGACTCACGCAGATGGCGATAGTTGCTCATTCACCCTTTTTTTTGTCTTGGCTGCTTGACCACCTCTACACACGTGGCCAAGGTGGATGTTGTTGCGTAATGAGAACATTGAATGCAGCGCAGCTCGAGCAGAGACGTGCAAGCCCTAACCCATGTAAGACGTCCGGCAGATGCGCTTTTGCCTGACCGGCGCACAAAAAGTCCACCAGACCCAACATGACAACAAGGTGGCAGCAAGAGCCCCGGGTCCGATCTCGTCGTCTGTGGCCGGAACGATTCCGGCCAATGGGCCAACGAGAAGCCAGGCACGGCGCAGATTGGGGCAGATTGGCGCCGGGCAGAGTCGGCATCATGTGGGGCAAAGCGCCTCGTACGGGCAAAGCGCCTTATCTCGCCCATTGTTTGGGGCCCCGAGTCTCCCCACAAATCCCATGGACGACGTACATGTATGGAGAAGCTGACTCCGTCGCGTCGCAGACAACGGCCAGTGCCATGGAGAGCATTGTAAAGCATGACCATTTACCCCGGATTTCGCAGCCTCGAATACACGCTGGACAGAGACGTCCGCCGCCGCCGCGCCTGGCACCCGGCCGACAGGCGGCAGCAATTAGGGCCAAAGCCGCCGACTCTGTTGTCCAATGTCGACCATGCGTGGCCGTCGAGGCCCCGAGCCGCCGAGCTGTCTCGTCCGCATATCGGGCGTGCTCGCGCCGCGGCGGCAGCGTCCCGGCTTTGCTTGTGCATTTCTCTTACGTGGCGAATGCAAAGAGGACGATAGCCATCCTTCCAATGACGGGCCAGGCTGAGGGTCTCGCCCTCCGATGTTGCTGCGCATCGTGACCCTATCCCCGCTTGTGAGGCCGGAATGCATTCCGGCCACGGGGTACTTAGGCGGCGCCGCGAGCCCGGACGTCGAGTTGCGATTCTGATTCTTTTCAATTCATCGCCCAGACGGCCTTGTATCGAGCTCGGCGTGCCCGCCATCAATTTTGTCCTATTTTTGCCATTTTACTTGGTCCCCGGCTTGCACACGCTGCCCTAGGCACCACTTACACCACTTACACGCCTTGAGCACTTATACACACACACATACACACTACATCATCACACACACATAACACACTACACTATCACACACACACAACACACTACACTATCACACACACATATCACACACACAACACACAACACGCGCACAATGGGTTCTATTGGCACCGCTCCCCCCTTCCGGGTCCTGGAAGACCCTCGTCCCCACGACAAGTCCCTCCCTGCCTTCATGGTGTCTACCACGCGAGGTTTCCTCCCTCGCCTGGACCCTGTTGTCACGCTGCCCAAGGAGTTTGAGCCCCTCGAGTCGCTGCTGCAGCGCATGCCCGTCAAGACGCTCTCCGGGGAGCCGGGTCTTCTCGCGTCCGGCAAGCTGGGCCCCGTTGTGGACAATGAGTTCCCCGACCTGACCGACGAGATGGACAAGTACAAGGACGACTTGCCCATGATGAATGCCCTGTACCGCGACTACTCCTTCCTGGCCTCTGCGTATCTGCTCGAGCCCTGCCACGAGCGCTTCGTCAGGGGCGAGGAGTACGGCCTCGGCAGACAGACTCTGCCCAAGAACATTGCACGGCCCATTGCCCGCTGTGCCGAAATGTAAGCCTCTGCCGCTTTTATACATGTATGTAGTTACATGGTACTGACACGTGTCGCAGCGCCGGCTTCATGCCCTTTATGGAATACGCCGGCTCCTACGCCCTGTACAACTACCGCCTGGAAGACCCCGAGCAGGGCCTCGAGTACTCCAACCTCCGCCTCATCCGCGCCTTCGAGCACGGCCTGGACCCTACCTCGTCCGAGGCCGGCTTCGTCCTCGTCCACGTCGACATGGTCAAGAACTCGGGCCCCCTGGTCGCCGGCACCGTCAAGTGCCTCGACGTCGGGTCCAGCATCACGACGCCCCTGGGCACCGCCCCCCAGCGCGCCGCCTTCAACTCGGGCCTGGCCGAGATCCTCGGGGCCCTGCAAAAGATCAACTCGGTCATGGAGACCATGTGGGGGAAGTCCCGCCCGACCGAGTACACCAGCTTCCGCACCTTCATCTTCGGCATCACGTCGCAGTCCATGTTCCCCCACGGCGTCGTCTACGAGGGCCTCAACGACGGCAAGCCCATGTCGTTCCGCGGCGAGAGCGGCGCCAACGACTCCATGGTGCCCCTGATGGACAACCTGCTGCAGGTGCCCATGCCCAACACGCCGCTGACCGACATCCTGAAGGACTTCCGCAAGTACAGGCCCAGCAACCACAAGGACTTTCTGCTGCACGTCAAGGAGGTCTCGGAGAGCCACGACCTGCGCGGCTTCGCGCTCGCCCTCAAGGCCAAGCCCACTACGGACGAGGAGAAGGACCTGGTGAGGGAGTCGCGCAGCTTGTGGCTGCAGATTCTCGACCAGGTGCGCGATTTCCGCTGGCGCCACTGGTGCTTCGCTAGGGAGTACATCCTGAAGAGGACGTCGCATCCTACGGCTACTGGGGGGAGCCCGATTGTGACGTGGCTGCCGAACCAGCTGGAGGCTGTGCTGGCGGAGATGGCGAACATTAATGAGATTGCGGGCAAGGATGATGCGAGGGGACTGGGCAAGACGTGCGAGGACGTCATGGACGCGGCGCTGCGGCAGAAGGAGACGCTGCGCAAGGAGGTGGACAAGTACTGCGCTGAGCGTGGCGTGTCGCGGAGCTGAGTCTGGTACGGTGTGTGTGAAAAGAGAATGTTTGATAGTGCGAAAAGTATGTTGTAGTTGATTTGATTGAGGTATTGCCTTGACTCTGGCGTCTGCTGTGATTATCGTGTATCTACATGCCGAGTGTGTAGAAGGCATTCTTGCGTCAGTTTTCTAACTCGTTTATTTGTGACCTTTTTTTCTATCATGACTCGAGCTTTAATAACTGTCTTTATTGCTTTACATGGTCCGCGTTTGTTTTAAATGGTTTGTGAAATTCCTCAAAACGTGGCGGCGCTGTGCTCTCGCGGCTGACCAGATTCCCTTGCTCGCCGTGACCTTTGTTTTTCATGATCAAGTTGTTTATCGTTTCCCTCTCAGGCAAATGATAATACAAGCATGATACAAGTATCATATAAGCACAACATGTGGTAACACATTATTAGGCTGTACTAAGCCGAGAACAGCAAGAGACGAAAAAATAGACCGTCTGCGCATCATGACGCATCAGATTGAGTCAACTAGCAAAAATGACGCAATGCAGGATACAAGGTTGACGCTAGACATGGTTCTAAGCTTAATTCGTCTTCACGTGGAAGCACAGTCTCGAAAAATATAAGACGGCGCGAAGCCAAGCTTGACGACATGGAAAGGCAAACCAGTGTTCCTCAGATGATACCTGGCCACGCGCTCTATGCCACAGTCAATGCATTACTGTATACTTGTCAATGGATCTGCTACATGCAGACAGCAGCTTTCGCATCTATCCAGCTACAATAAAGAACTCGGCCATCAGTCTGCAGGTGCGCATCCCAACTCTGGCAAGCCACAGACCTGAAATTCTAAACATGTCAGTATATCAAGATTTCTCTAGCCACCCTATCCCAATACCAATACTCGGGCAAGCGAGGCATCAAGCAGGGCCCAATTGTACAAACACTGTGTGCCTAAACCAGAGAGTCGTCACATACCGGGCGAGAGTTGAGTGTATACGCGTCGCGATGCGTACATGTACGACTGGAAGCTGACGGATGATGATTCATGATTCATGAAACGCCAAAAATGAACTCTACACATGTGTCCGCCAGTCTTCGCTCACCCCCGAGGACCTAAATATACAGACGGAGGGCACACAAAAGCGAAGCCGCCACGTTTGTGCCCAAAACACAGACGTCCAAGCCAACATGATCAAGTTCACGCTGCCCACGGCCCTCGGCCTCCTCAGCGCCCTCGCACCATGGCCCTCCACGGCCATCAACGGCGGCCAAATCGTCCCCTTCGGCACGTTCCCCTACATCGTCAGCATGCACCGGCAACACACGCAGATCGGGCAGGCAACCCCGGTCGCCCCCGGCAAGACCCGCGACCGAGACCGCTGCACCGGCGTGCTCATCACCAAAAACCTCGTCCTCACCGCCGCCATCTGCATCCCGAACCAGAGGATCGGCCAGACCATGGTGACGCTCAACGCCACGGTGCAGAGGCGCCCGAAGAAGTACGGCAACGTGGTGCAGCTCAAGGACTACTTCTTCCCGCACGAGTACCTCAAGGGCGACGGCGAGTACGACATCGCCATCTTCGAGGTCCAGGACACGCACAACGTGACGCAGTTCGCCAAGCTACCCTCGAGGGGCCAGGTCCCGAGGGAGGGCGAGCTGGCCATGATCCTGGGCGCCGGCATGGTGCTGTGGTTTCCCATCCCGGACGTGCCCGTCAAGAACCTGACCGTGCCCGTCATCAGCCTCGAGAGCTGCAGGGCGCGCATGGCCGACGTCCAGATCGTCGGCACCGACAAGTTCTGCACCCGGCAGTGCTACGACTCGGACTACTACGGCCTGTGCGAGGGCGATTGGGGCGGCCCGGTCCTGATCAACGACACCGTCGTCGGCGTCATCGCCGAGTCGCCCACGTGTACCAAGAGGTATCGGCCGTGTTTTCCCGGCGTCATGACCCTCGTCGCCGAGCATCTCACCTTTATCGAGCAAATGATGTCCATCTATGCTGATTCCTTCATAAACGACGGCCACCTGTGGACCAAGAGGCCCTTTTCCAAGACGGAAGGCGATCTCCGTTGGTGACTGGGTCATACGACTGCCTGGCTATGTCTATGTCTCTCTTCTCTATTCTGATGGCGGCGACGAGTATCACGACGCTTCCATGTTTGTTCCAGCTGAAAATACATGTCTCTCCGAATTGAGTCATTTGCATGCAAACAGACCAAGGGCCCGACCTCATTGGCCCAGCCGCCACCGACATCAAGCAGCAGCAGCAGTCATACGGAGTACTGGATAATGTTACACAATAGCAGACAATAGCAGAGGGCGGCGTGCACAGACGGGAGCTTGGGCTCCCCGGCTCGCATCGTTGCTACATGTACCAACAGACTTGAGGGCAGTATCACGACGCGGTCCGGCAGCACGCATCTCGCGGGCCGCACGCCGAATTCGACGAGAAAAGAAGAGGAGGAGAAAGAAGAGGAAAAGAAGAAGGAAGGCAGCCAGTTGACCCTCCCGGCCACTGCGCCATGCCAAAATCCGTTCCCAGAGCGATCCGACGAACACGACAGCTACCAGCCGGGAAACATCACTGACCAGACCTCCATCCATCGCCTCGGCCATGTCTCGAGACTCTCCGTCCCGCACGCTCTCTGCACCGACGACGCTCCCTCAACAACCGCCCGCGTCCGCGTTGGCCGCCGCATCGCCTCCCTCGCTCGCCAAGCGAGACGGCACCTGCGGCAACGGCCATCACAACTGTATGTAGCTTGACGCCCCGAGCCCATCCCCCCATCTCCTCTCCTCCCCCTTCCTCCTCGTCACCGCGCCGGTGCTCATTCATCCCATCCAGGTCTCGACATCAACCAGCCCGACGCCTGCTGCGACAACCAGAGCTACTGCTTCGTCAACAAGTCCAACGAGGCCGGGTGCTGCGCCATCGGCTCCAACTGCCCCGACGACTCGCTCTGCAAAAGCGACTTCTACTACTGCACCACCACCCTGGCCCTCGGCGGCGTCACGGCCGGCGGCAATTCCACCACCAAGGGCTGCTGCGGCAGGCAGTGCCCCCAGACGAGCTACTACCTCTGCCCGTCGAGCCTCGGCGGGAAATGCTGCCCCTTCGACGCCGACTGCCAGGCCGGCGGGAACTGCGTCATGACGCGGACGGCTTCCCCAACCAAGCCGACCACCACGGCCACGACCACGCCCGCAGACGCCTGCCCGACGTGCTCGCCGGCCGTCTCGGTGATTGAATTCGACGGCCTGTCGTCGGGCGCCAAGGCAGGCATCGGCGTGGGCGTCGCGCTGGGCACGTCGCTGCTCATCGCGCTGCTGGTCTCCCTCTTCGTCCTGCACAGGCGCCGCGCAGCCGCCCGCCGGGACAAGTTTGCAGCCGAAATGGACGCCGCGAACCGCGCAGAGCTCACGGGCACAGAGGTACAGGTTGCCCAGGGGCCCGACGCGGATGCCACGCTCGTCGAAATGGCAGAGAACCAGGCCTCGCCTGACCCCCAGCCGGAGCGGCCAGTCTCGCCGTGGGAAGGCGCCAATGTCGAAACCATCGACGGCCTGTTCGAACTCGACGGGTCGCAGCAGGTCGTGCATACATGTGATGCTCCAGAGCCTGCGCCGCCGCCGCCGCCGGAACCAAACGTCTGTTTCCCAAGTCACTTGGGAAAGGGGTAGCAGATTGTGCAATCTAGTGCCGGAGGACGTTATAAGAGCCCAGGGCATGGTGCAGATGGAATAACGGTGCAGAACAAATAGCAAACAAACATGCAAGGACAGACCATTAATCATAATCTTGTTTCGGGGCAGGACGACGCAGGGTCAGAGTAATAAGGCAGCCCTCTTATCTATTTATGCAACGCCAGACCTATTCGTACACGATATTCGTAAATTCCATAAACCACAGCGCAGAATCCAATGCTTTTGCAGTCTTTTAAAAAAACGCCTCGCATATTAAACCATCCAACGCCTCCACAGTACAAAAAAAGAGCAAAGAAAACACGGGGGAAAAAAAAAGATTAGCTGCGCTCGTAGTTATGACAAGTAACAAATGAAAAAAGACACAAGATGATAAAAAGTAATGAAAATAGCCCTGAAAAAGGAAAAGAGGAAAGAAAAAAAATCTTACAACGCTGGCAGTCAACCGCCAAGATCCAATTCAACTTCCTAGTCAACACACCACTCCTCCAAAGGGGGCGCAATTCTTAAGATCCTTGACCAGGTCCTCGACGCTGCTCAGGTGCCGACTGAGAAGTTCCTGCTTCTCCTCCGTAGTAAGCGTCACCAGGCCAGAGCTGTCGGCACGCCTGCGACGCGACTCGGCGTTGAACGCACCAGCGAGCTTGCTAGGGCTGCGCTGCAGCATGGCAGGCACAGAGTCGCGCTGGTCGGCGCGCGGGATCGACGGCGTCTCGGGCATGAGGTAGCAGTACAGGAACTCGACGAGCTTGAGCTTGACCTCGCGCGAGGTGCTGCGGGACTTGAAGAGCGATGTCACGGTGAGCAGGCCGTCGAGGCCTTCAAACGTGCGCGTGTTGCCGGGGGCATCGATGAGGGCGACCACGAGCGTCAGCAGCGTGGCCGACTGGATGGCAGGGCAGTTGAAGGGCTCGAGCAGGTCGAGGAGGAGCTGTGCCGCGCGTTAGTTAGTCGTTGGGCGTCTCGACCGCGTTGTCTCGTTGAGTGTTTCCTACATTCATGTTCTGCTCCCGCGAGAAGAGCGTCTTGCTGGGCGGGTGCAGCAGCAGCACGCCCTGGATGAGGTCGAGCGCGCTCAGGATCAGCAGGTCGTTCTGCCCGTCGCTCCCCTTGGCCATCAGCCGGTCCAGCGTGCCGATGAGCCGCATCGCCACGTTCCACTCGAATCCTTCCTGCAGCTTGAAGAATTCGCGAAACGCCGGGTCCTGCGACAGCTCGCCGAGGTCCTTGCGAGGCGGGCTCGTGGGCGTGTCTCCCTCGTCGTCTGCGCAGCTCTGGCGCCGCGCGGCGGCTGCTCGACCGTCGGAGAGGCATATCTGCGCCAGGAGACCTTCCACTTGGCGCAGGCCCTTGCGCACTTTGGGCCCGTCGTAGGAGGAGAGGTTGTCGAAGGCGAGGGACAGCAGGGCTTCCATTTTGGTGTGCAGAGCGTCGTGGTCGCGTCTGCGATGTGTCGGGGGGGCGGATACGAAGGGCAGATGGCCAGACGCGAATTCTGCGGCAGGAAGCGAGTATAAAAGTTCCAAAATCAGGTGCGGATAGATCGAGGCCAAACGTGATGCTGAGGACCGGAGCCGCCCCGATGGGAGCGCAAAGCGCAAAACGTCAATACAAATAGTAGAGGTAGAAATGCATCTGGGCAAACATTCCACAATATGCTCCGCCCAACGATAAGCCAGATACCGGTGTTTTTAACCACGAGCAAACAAAAAAATCAAGGGATACGGCGTTGTGGATAAGAGTGCTGGGCCTTGTCGCAAACACGGCCGTGGACGGTGGCAGCTAGTGCATGCACAACGGTTTCCAGGGCAACGGCGCTGCCCAACCGCTTTGTACAACATACTTAGGTACTTAGCTTTTGGGTTTCGGGGGTCAAATGACCCTGACCCTGACCCTGCGTCATGATGGGTCCAGACTCCAGAGGGGGATGCATGCATGTAATTAAACCATGCCCAGAAGGGTATGTTGGACGAATTTGATGATGATTTATGCTTCGTATGATATCGTGGTGATATTGTCAAGCTGCACAGAGAGAGGAGTGCCATGCTGTCAACTTTGCCGCCCCGACACACTGCCAACATTAAACATCACTTTGAATGTGCGCAGGTCTATTTTTGTAACGGACCAGGTTCTAGCGAATAATAAGTAACTAAAATTTTAAAGACATAGAAGTATATAAAAATATACTAGTATATTATCCTTAATAAGGGAGTATCCGTAAGTATCTTTAAATATCAGAAAAGAAGTGGGTTGAATACATCAATTGGACCTGCGCACATTCAAAGAGATTGGAAGCCACGGCTGGCAACACGACGATGTCATTGACCCAACAGATTACTTTTCACTGGAGCCAATGGTGCACATGGACCGTGAAGGGCTTCAGCTCAGCCTACGCCTGTCCGCCACGGCGAGAGGCTAGCGGCCTAGACGTCGGCGCTTTGATGCCTTTAAGGAGATTGGTACTTTGAGTAGCATTTGAACTTATGTATTGGTTTGCTTTCCAACTGCGGTGTGGCTGCATCGTCCAGTCGGCGCCATTCCGCCATGCATGCCCTCCCCCCTCTCGCGTGCCGAGTAGATTTGCAGATGGCTTTAAAGATGATGGTTACTCCGCCTTTGACTGTTTCTCCTCCTGTTTCTTCCCTCCAAGAAAGAGGACACCGCGCATTGCTGTTCCTCGGGCGTGCTCTGTACAGGTATGTGACCGGGTTATTCCCCCTTCAAATTGGTCCTTGTCCGCAACACTGGCCTTGGGCGTCGAGGAAGACTGAGGGACAAGAGACTCGCACAGCAGATGCTACACGCGCGCATCTCTCCCTGCCTCTCTGCTTGACCCAGCCATACTTGGCACCAAAGCCGCCGCCCTTGAAGATGGGGGAGGGCTCGATGTGTTGCCATTGATGCCATGCGGCGTCTTCAGCGGCAGAGGCCACACGGAGCTCTGCCCGAAACGAAACGCCGCCAGCGGGGCCCATCCAGGCTGTTGGGCTGCGCTTTAGACCAGTTTGAGACCACCAGACATGCAGACTGGACCTGGAGTCAGAGACTGTCACATGTCACTACAGAATAACATTGAACCATCGAGCGCTGACCCTTGTTTTTCCCATCATCTCAAGGTAGCACGACCAGGCTTCTTCGGCTTCTTCTGCCTGGCGGTTCCGCGACTCCGATTACGCAGCCCGTCGGCCTGATCTAGGCATCCCATCGCCCGTGCCGTCACGGATTCCTCTCCTCCGCGTCGAGACGGTTGGGACGGAACACTGATTCTGAGACCCCGCCCACGCTGCCGTCCGCCCCACGGCTCGACATCTGGGGACGACTCAACCACAACGACCTCGTGTCCGGTCTGATGTTCCTTGCCTCATCCCGTCCCGCCGCCCCAGCTCTCCAGGCTCCCGTCCGGAGCCCTCTGGAGCCATCTGGAGCCGTCCACTCGAGAGTCCTTGATTACGTGCCACGTCCGGGGACTTGCACAAGATGACCACGTCGACAAGCACCAATTCCACCTCGATCCCCTTCCTCTCCTCCTCACCGCCCAACAAGTCCAATCCCACCATCCCCCCGCGAACCTCCAGCACAGGCACGAGTCATAGAAATAGCCTCGCAGCCGCATCACCGCCGTCCGCCGCCGCCAACCATTACCAGAGCTTCACGCAGCCCGCTCCGCTGCCAAACATCCTCAGCCCCGTCGTGGAAACCGACCTCTTTGGCGGCAACGGGCAGCGCTCACGAACTCGCTCCCGCTCCCAGTCGCAGAGGGCGCCTGCCACCAGCCCCATCTCCAGCTTCATCATGCACCACAACCACCAGCCCTCGCCGCCGCCCGACCCGCGCCGCTACGAGCACGAGGACCTCAACTTCACCCCCAAGCGCTCCTGGACCGACGACAAGGAAAAGGTCGTCCGCGCCCCCTTCGAGTACGTCGCCTCCCACCCGGGCAAAGACTTCCGCTCCCAGCTCATCAACGCCTTCAACGCCCTCCTCCAAGTGCCCCCCCACCGCCTCGACATCATCACAAAGGCCGTCGGCATGCTCCACGAGTCCTCCCTCCTCGTCGACGACGTGCAGGACTCGTCCGAGCTCCGCCGCGGCTTCCCCGTCGCCCACAACATCTTTGGCGTGCCCCAGACCATCAACTCGGCAAACTACATCTACTTCGTCGCCCTCCAGGAGCTCCAGAAGCTCGGCAACCCCTCCATCATCTCCGTCTTCGCCGACGAGCTCGTCAGCCTGCACCGCGGCCAGGGCATGGACCTCTTCTGGCGCGACACCCTCACCTGCCCCACCGAGGACGACTACCTCGAGATGGTGGGCAACAAGACGGGCGGCCTGTTCCGCCTCGGCATCAAGCTCATGCAGGCCGAGTCCCCGTCCTCCAGCCTCGACTGCGTGCCCCTCGTCAACCTCATCGGGCTCATCTTCCAGATCCGCGACGACTACATGAACCTCTCCAGCCGCGAGTACAGCGACAACAAGGGGCTCTGCGAGGACCTGACCGAGGGCAAGTTCTCCTTCCCCGTCATCCACAGCATCCGCGCCAACCCGGCCAACATGCAGCTCATCAACATCCTCAAGCAGAAGACGACCGACGTCCAGGTGAAGCGCTACGCCGTCTCCTACATGGAGAGCACGGGCAGCTTCGAGTACACCAGGGACGTGATTGGGATACTGATTGCGCGGGCGAGGAAGATGGCCAGCCAGATGGACGGCGGGGACGGAAAGGCAGAAGGCATCCAGAAGATTTTGGACAGGATGGTTGTCGAGAATAAATAGCGTCGGGCGAGACGTTTGGATAATACCTGCGTGCTGTTTATCATGTGGAAGGGATGTCGCGGTTTTTGAATTTTGATTTTTTTTTTCAACCTTTTTCTTTGGAAGCTTTGCGCAAACAGGGCGGGCTGCTGTAAAGCGAAAGGCGTCTTGGGGTTCTGGGATTTCATTCACATTCATGCATGGAATGCCACTAGCATAATTTGAGCGGTTACACGGCAAGAACCACTTTTGGAATGACGATAGATTCATATACCCCCGAGGAAGGGGGAGAGGCTAGAATGTACTACAATTTTCCCATAAACTCCACTCCATGGCTTTCAAAAAGAAAAATCAAATCCCAAGACGTGCGCCATCAAGACTCTGGAGTAGCCTTCCTCTTCACCAGGCGCACCCATCTCCTCCGTCTCCAGTCGCCTCTCCTTTCTATCGCATCCTCGCCTTCCTCCCAGCTCGTCTGCCGCATCGCCATGTCCTTGCTCTGGACCGGTTCCGGCGTGTCAATGACGCCCGTCCGGTCGCCCTTTTCGCTCCAGATGTCATACACCCACCGCTCGCCCTCCGTCTCGACCTCGACGCCCGTGATGATGCGCTCCTCCACCCACTCGCGGCTCCACAGGTCCAGCGCCCATTTCTTCTCGCTCCATTCCCACGCACTGGGCGGCATGACGTCCTCGAAGAACCGCGTCCCCTTGGGCCGGTCACCCGTGATGCGAGCCTGGGACAGCGGGTCGTACGGGTTCGGCGAGAAGACCCACGGCTCCCACTCGCCGGCGGCCGACTTGCGCTGGAGCTCAAAGATCTCGACCTCGCGCGTCTCGGGGGCCGAGTCGAGAATCACGTCGTCGGCGATCCAGCCGTCCAGCCACGTCCTGGCGAGCGTTTCCTGGGCCTTGCCCTGGTTCTGGCGCGCCTGGTGGAGGAGCCTCGTGACGGCCGGGTGGCAGAGGACGACGGGCGTCCAGGCGGCGACGAGGAAGATGAGGCGCCACGGGAGCATGTGCGCGGCGAGCATCATGGCGATGCCGCCGACAAAGGCGAACAGGAAGACGGTCGACGACAGCGCCTCGTTGCTGAAGTTGGCAATGGGCACCAGCAGCTCCACCACCTTGTCGTAGCCGTTGCTGAAGTCGCCCATCTGGTTCTGCAGGTCGCGCGCGTTGCGGACAAAGTCCATGCTGAGCTCCTTGGCCGGCTTGGGCGTCGCGGCCGGCGCCAGGGGCGGCCCGGCAGGCGAGTACCCGATGCTCTGCTCGCTCGACAGCGTCCCCTTGGGGGGTGCCGGGTGCCGCGCCACGAATCCGGGGACGAGGATGCCGAAGACGAGGAACGCTATGGGCAGCGCCGCCAGCAGGTACGGGTCGAGGCAGACAAATGTCAGAATGGCCAGGTACGAAACCGTGTGCGACGTCGTCTGCCACGACAGCAGCGCCTCGACCTTCTCCTGGAACCGGAAGACGACGCCGATGCGCGAGTTGAACCGTCGGAAATTGTTGGACATGATTGTCAGGTTGAAGTTGGGCCGCTCAAAGGGATTCGGCACCGCTTCGTTGTTGTCCTGCACCGAACCATCGATGGGCATGACCTGCTGGAGCAGCCTGGCAAGCAAGCGTCAAGTGTTAGCAAAACGCCCGTCTTCTCTCTCTCAAGTATAGGAATCCCTCCATACCGGTCCACCAATCGGTCCTGGATCGAGGTTCGGTCTCGCAAAGCTGTCAATCCTCCCCATCCTTTCTTCTGCCCTTCTTGCTGCTGGTGGTACTTGTCGTCCTGTCGCTGGCTCGGCTGCAAACTATCCTTGGTGCCAGTTGCACCTTCTGCAGAGGCGATAATCTCGGTCGTAAAGTCGTCCATCGGCGAAACAAGGGAGCTGTGCAGGTGCTCCTATTCTCGTCATGACACGGGGATGCTTTGTGAAAGAGCTTTGTTGCGGCCGTGTGTGGCGGCTCCGCGGGCGGTGGAGGTTGCTCGGCTGCCATGTGATGAGGTCAAACTGGTGGGTTTGGGCTGCCCGATGATCTCAGAGGCGGCAATCTGCCAATCAGCCGGAGGGTCGGGGCCACTACCGGCTGTTGCCTCCGGCGGGATTAAGAATCTGGGGCATGAAAGTCAGGGTTCACTGGTGGGATTACGACTGCAACTGCACACGGAAAGGAATCTCTAGTTCAGTTCAGGAGCAAAGTCTTTTCATTTTGGATGAAATTGCACGAGTTCCTTTATTTAACATCCGCCAGCATCTCACTTTGTTGCACATGTGACATGTTCGCCCTGACTGCCTAGCTTCCCGTATCATGGTCACGTGCCTCTTGTAAGTCGCTACCCTAAATCCCGAGATGAAAGTCAGTGGTCCTTTTCTTCGCCATGCACGAAGCTCTATTTTGTTTGGCCGAGGTCGACGACGCCCAAGTGCGCATTTCCTCGTTATTAACATGGGGCGTAAGTCGTGGCGGACTGATTGTCGTAAAGAATGCTTCGTTTCACAATATTACGACGAGCAAAGACTCCCATGTCAGTACCTACCTACTAAGTAGGCACTCAAGCAAACGCACGCGATCAAGTGTACAGCCGGGCAACTATTCGTGGGCTGGATACAGCCAACCGCGATCTACTCAATCATCTCTAGCGAATAAGCGGTCCAGGGAAGGTCAGCCAGTGCAATTCTTCCCTGAACTCCATCTCACCACTCGCCTTGCTGGTTGAAAATCGGCGCAACATGCTGGGCCTGTCACCAGGGTTCGAAAACGTCGCAAGAACAGCACACAGTTACGGAGGCTAGATGCAGCTACTGATGTACGAATTCAGGCTAATTGATGCACACTGTCGTCTGTACTTCCTGAGAGAACAGCGAGCGACCATTACTTTGCCGTCGCGTACGGAGTACTCCATGGTACGCAACATGGTACGAATAAACATACCAAGTACTCGAGTACCTACCAAGTACCTAGGTAGGTACCTACTTTAGGTAGTAATAACCACCTTGGTACCTGCCTTAAGTACATGTTTGTTGCCCTGTCGACCAATGACCAGGGCAAGGCGACGTTTGGTGGCGCTCATTTCTTTGTCAGGTATCAGGGGTTTTACAGAATTCCAGATCAAGACCGCAATTGGAAAAAAGGCTCCATATCAAATTGATACTAGAACCCAAGACTTGATTTGGTTGGCGCTGCCCATGTGGATTCATAGTCCAACGTCTCAGGCAATGGATTCTGCAGAACCACCGTACAGTACGGAGTAGTAGCACCTGAGGTCTTGGACGCTTTTAATGAGCACAGACACAATCTGTGGGAAAGGAGAAGCTTCAAGTGCACAATGCAGGGCGACGAAAATTTTGTCATCCTCTCTTGCCCTCGATGCCTTGCCCCGGTTCAGAGATGCGACTTGACTCGAAGTTTGCAGAGAAACGTAATAAAGAGATATGAAATAATTTATTTTCCATATCCATATGGGCCTTGGCCATCATTCTCTTCTCGGGCTGGCAATCTCGCTACCAAACAACGACTGAATGAGACCGGCACGTGTCGTCATTGAGCTTGGGAACAAGCAAGGGTATTCAGTAGTTGCTCCGTAATGATGCCAGGAGACATACATATGTAGGGCGCTGATAATGCGATTGCATCTTTAGACAGGGGTGCATCAGGGGAGGGCGACTGGTCGACGTGACATGGCCATTAGTTTCGGCAAAGATGCTAACAACAACTCGTTTCTGATATGCATGCTCGTCAATGCTGGTAGTATCGACTCGTGTTCCAATTGGACCCAACCGGTACGCATGCCAGTACTTCACGACTCCGTGCTTCGTGAAACCAGCGGGCAGTCCTTGTCGTCCTCGTTGCCCAGTGAGCAGCACCACTTGGGATCATCTGCCGCCTTGGATATGCGAGCCGCCTGCACGCCGCCCAAAACGTATCAAATGTCCTGGCGGCTGGACATCGATTGCGGTGTCACTGTTCGAGGAGCAAGATCCGAATTTGGAATACTATTGCAAAGCTGGTGCTGAAGCCCCTGTGGACTCTGACGGGTGCATGCAGTGTTCGGCGTCAATCAGACCGTCTGGTGTCAAGTTTGTCCTCCGTGCCGAGGGACCTACCAGACTGCCTAGTACCAGCCTAGTCGGTCCTTACCTGAAAGTACTTTAGCTAGCGCCCGCCTCCTGCCCTACTGACCAGACTCTGTACCAGATAGATCAGACTTGACTTCAATGTCAGGGTCGGTACCTCGTAGGTGCCTCCGTAGGTACATACTCCTGTCCTGTCCCCATCCCACTTGCCAAAATGTACTCAAGTAGGTACTTAAGTAGTTGACCTCCAAAATCGACGGCCGCTTAAGTAGGCTTGAGCATGTCAAGAACCCTGAAGCAAAGGGAGAATGCAATCTTCATTCTTGTCCCACCGTGATGTGCAGATCACAGAGACAAGCGTCTGATGTTTTTGCCTCGTGCACCGAAATTGACAGCAAGCCTGCATGCATTTGGCCCGCGTATTGTGGACCTGCCATTCATGCTCATTTATGTTTCCATACCCCACCGCCCATTAACCACCATTCATCAGTGCTTTCAACCAAAGCTAAGTTGCTTGGTGCTTAACGTTGAAATTGATGCGACCACGGTGGGTGGCCCGACCGCAACCGCCTGGATGTCTGGGTGCTAAATAGGAGAAGCAACAGATTGCAAAATATTCACACACCAGAGTGTGTACTGGTCTTATTGACATGTGAATTGGAGTATTCGATGACTGATTCTTGAAAGCAGCACTTGAGATGCAACCACGTTAAGATTTGAAATTTTTAGATGAGTGGCACTTTCCTTGGCTCGAATTCGGTAATTGTGGCAGGTGCGAGCAAGAACCTCGCCGTCCCGGGTGAATTGCTCGGCGGGCTCACTCTTTTTGCTAGATGCGGTCACGCCCTACCGGATACCTGTCTATTATCAGGCTTTATATTATAATATGTTAGTGTATATTTTATAATAGGTAAATCTACAATTGTTTTATGATAGATTATTCAAGTATGCAAAGGGAGAGTTTAAACACAACAAATACCTAGGCAGTAAGGCGATAAGCACACCTGCAAAGAGTGAGTCCGCCGAGCAATTCTTGTCCCGGGAGACTGGCATTCGTACCTTCCCATCACTCATTGCTGCAGCCAAGGAAGGGACCATCCTTCAGGGCGCCGCCGTGTGGCCTGGCCTCTCAACGAGCTCCACTGGCCTCCGCAATCTGCCCGCACACCACCCAATGCAGTGGCTGCCGTCCCTCACTCAAGCAGGCACACTGTCGAAAACAACCGACGACAACTTCGTCTCCCATTCATCCGCCTACCTCCCTTTCGTGCTCTCTAGCCCCCGCACGATACTCATCCCAGGTCCTTTCGAGGCAGGATCAGGGTTTGTAATCTACCTGTGGCCGTTCGATTGAATTTTCACCTTGAACTGCCGTCACTCGGCCGCTGCCTCGATCTCGACTGCGGCTCTCCTGACAAACACCCATGTTCGGAATGAGGTAGCTGTCTCGAATGAACTCAGCTCCCACACCGGACTGAGGCTGCTGTCCCAGCGACGACGAGCCACGCCGCTTTGCCAAAGTCAACTGCGTTTTCTGTTCGCATCGTCGACTTGACCTTGACTGGCTCTCTATGACCGTGACGCAGAATCGACCGCCTGGGTCCAGACCGGCTCATTCTCCGACTCGATTGTATGTGATTCACTCTCAATGCGAAGGTTGATTCTGGCTTTCCAAAGTTTTCCCTCGCGGGGATGTGTTGGCTTTGATATCTACACGTTTGTCAAGGTACTAATGATTGCTCTTTAACAGACGGGGCACTGCCGGGTCCAATCTACCCTCCCTCCCGACCTCAAGGTCGAACAGCTTGATGTCCAACGCTCCAATGCTGTCGGCACCCTCTACAAATTATTCTCTACTCTCATTCGATCGAAATCGCGATAATGGCCATACCGCCGAACCAACTGGATCCTTTGATTTTCTCCCCTCCGTTAGTTTCGATGAACTGCACACTAGTATCGAATCTGCTTCAACCGATTTCAAACTTACCCAGTTCCCTTCACCCACCGGCGAAGGAAGCATTCTCGAGACGAAAGGTTTAATAGAAAGGAAGTTACCTGAAAGGCCAACCATGGCGCAGAACACTGGCACGACACGTGGAAGCATACCGCCTCCGCCGTCTCGACCCAGTCGTTCAGGGTCAATCTTGCGTCGACCGAGCACCTCGAGCAGGCAGACGAGTGTGTCCTCAGCCGTGTCTTCTTCTTCTGGAACACTGGATGCCCCTTCTGCGCCCGCAGCTATGCGAAATCGTCGCCAGAGCCAATTCCCCCCGGTTTCAAATGCCGCTGCTCCCAGACCACCTCGGAAATCCATGGGGCCTGGGGTCATCGCGGATTCGGACCTGGCCGCCCGAAATCCACCTGCCAGGCGCACCAGTCTCTTGGGAGACAAAAGTGCCCCCCGGGACTCTACAAGACGATCTATTGACGGTGGTTCTTTAACTGGTTCAGACTCAACACGCAATCTACCAACATCCCGGGCAATCAAGGCAAAGTCAGTTCAACCACCTCCGCGGACGAGTCAGACGAACTTGCTCGGCGCGTCTACTCTTACTCCAGAGCAAAACCGCTTGTCGACCTTGGCTCTTAGATCTCCACGTGTTGGCGGAAAGGCAGGTACCCCATCATCTGGCTCTAGCAAAAGGATGTCAATGATGCCGGGCAGCCACGCCGCCACTGGATTAGGAGCTCGCACAATCAGCCCAACTGACACGAGGAGAATGAAGCGCTTATCCATGATGCCACAATCACAAAGCTTAAACGTGCTTGCGAATGTTCCTCCACCTCCCCCACCAGTATCACTGGATGTGCGAGCGGAGTCTCGATCTCCATCCATAATCCCACGCAAGGCCTCCCTGACTCCTTCTTCCTCCAGAACGACGCCAGATATAAATAATCGAAAGTCGTACAGCTCTGGCCTCTCAGGAGGCTCTACAGCTAGTTATAATACTGTGAGGACGTCTACGGGATCTGTTCAAGCTCGTCTCCCTCTACCATCGTCTGCGAGTCGATTGCCGGCGCCCAAGCACGGCAGCACGCACAACAATTTACAAACAGACGACGACGAAGACGTCCCACCTGTTCCTGCCATACCCAAAGCCTATGAATCGCCAAAGGAATCCCATTCTGAGACGTACTTTGTGGAAAAGAAGAAATCGAGTTTCAACACTCTCGACTCGACGAGTATTCATAGCAATTCGACTAGTAGCATATCAATGCCGGTCCACCCCGAGCCCACCAAAGTTCAGCAAAAGGCGAATGTTAGAAAGAGCACCTATGCGGGGATAGCTGCTGTTGAAGAAGAGAATCAAGAAATCCAGTCCAGGAAACAGCTGCAACCACTGAGCCTTCCGCCTCTGAACATTGGACCTTTGAGCTTTCCTTCCACGTCAAAAGTCAATGGGCAAAATCCTTCTCATCGAGATCTCAGCCCACCACCTTCACGACAAGTTCCCAAGACACCTACAACACCTATGACGGCATCGAAGAGTTCTTTCTTCTCCAAGACTCGGTATGATGAAACGTTGGAACTTCCTTCTCTCAGGAGCAGTACCTCCACTCATCATATCCGCCGAGTTACGCCGACCCCTCCTGATGGCATCTCTTCAGATTCATCCCCTAGCTTGATTGAGCCGATTCACAAATCGAGTATCTCCCCCTTTCTATCGTCGTCTTTGCCTAAGGGAGGCTTTGAGGCTGGGCACCTGAAGAGGTCCAAGACAGGAGTGGATTGTGCCACCATCACAGGAGCTTTTTTCGAGCCCAGTGCCGAACAGAAGCCTTCTGGCCCTCGAGAACTGAGCAAGGATAAGCCTATCCCGAAGTCTCCACCACATCCTGCAGAGACCCAACGACCTCAAAGCCCCTCCTCCAAAACATCCCTTCGGAGAAAGCTTAGCTTGTCGTGGAAGCGAAGTAACTCCAAGTCCGGTTCTGTTGACACGGCTGATAAATCTAGCACGCAGCAGCCGTCAAAATCTGATGGCATGCCGCCCCCCCGGATTCCTGTGTCAGCATCTGCCGCGGTGGGCGGCTACTCCGGTCTCAAGCAGCCCAACCCTAATCCCATCGTAAAGACGAATCCTCATGGAGCTAATGCTGATATCAGAAGACGGAAGAGCTCGGCAGCAAGTTTAACGAACCATGGTGCTCCTAATCGTATTAAGAGCGATACGTGGCACGCTCATCAAGAAGGACTTGACTCTATCACGGTGCCTTCGACCAGAAGCGCTAGCGGTGTATCGAATAAGATGGTCAAGCCCAAGCCATCCGTTAATGCACTCCGGACTGTTGGTTCTTGGACTACGGATCCCGACAAAGACGACATTGCCGCTGAAGAAGAGATGCGCAAGCTAGGATCCCGACGAAAAGAAACCGAGATTGCTGGGAGAGCATTAGATGCTTTGAAGAAAAGGGCAACGCCAAAGGAGCGTGTGGGTTCCCAGGATGCCATACGAATCGCTATGCTCAATATATATGAACGAGGCGAAATCATTGACTACAACGACGTATACTTTTGTGGAACCCAAAATGCCCGGAAGGTTGTGGGGAACTTGCAGTCAGACACTCCAAATTTTGGCTATGATGACGAACGTGGTGATTATACCATTATCCCAGGTGATCATCTTGCGTACAGATATGAGATTGTGGATATTCTTGGAAAGGGAAGCTTTGGACAGGTTGTTCGGTGTATTGACCACAAACTTGGGGTTCTTGTTGCCATTAAAATCATTAGGAACAAGAAGAGATTCCATCAGCAAGCTCTTGTCGAGGTCAATATTCTTCAAAAGCTTCGCGAATGGGTAAGTCTTCAGCGTTTTTCAACCATTGCGCAATGCCATAATTCGCTAACAGGGCAGCAGGATCCCAAGAACAAACACAGCATGGTCAATTTCACGCAGAGTTTCTATTTCCGCGGCCACCTCTGTATCTCGACGGAACTCCTGGATATGAACCTTTACGAGTTTATCAAGGCACATTCTTTCCGTGGATTCTCTCTGAGAATTATTAGGCGATTCACGAAGCAGATCCTCAGCTCTCTAGTTCTGCTCAAGCAGCGCAAGGTCATTCATTGCGATTTGAAACCTGAAAATATTCTTCTGAGGCATCCTTTGCACTCGGAAATTAAGGTGATCGACTTTGGATCAAGTTGTTTCGAGCATGAGAAGGTATACACGTATATCCAGTCCAGATTTTATCGATCCCCAGAAGTCATTCTAGGTATGACATATGGCATGCCCATCGATATGTGGAGTGTAGGTTGTATTCTGGCCGAACTTTACACAGGGGTTCCCATTTTCCCTGGTGAAAATGAGCAAGAGCAGCTGGCATGTATTATGGAGGTGTTTGGACCTCCCGAGAAGCATTTGATCGAGAAGAGCACGAGAAAGAAACTCTTCTTCGACTCTATGGGCAAACCACGGTTAAATGTATCGTCGAAAGGCCGACGTCGTCGTCCGTCGTCAAAGACCCTGCAGCAGGTGTTGAAGTGCGACGATGAAGCTTTCTTGGACTTCATTGCTCGCTGCCTGCGATGGGATCCCGAGAGGCGACTGAGACCCGAGGACGCCGTTCGGCATGAATTTATCACGGGTCAGAAACTGCCAGTCATCATCCCAAGACCGTCAGCCAGGGAATCGTCACCGTCGAAACGAGCCAACCCCCTTTCAGCCCCTCGCCCCCTACCCGACCCTCCAATTTCTATCGCCAAGGGAGTTGGTGGTTCCATGCGGACTGGCATTAGCCCCCACAAGCCGGTATCTGGCACTTCAAGAAGAACCTCTGGAGCTACGGCTGCTACGGCTGCTAGCCTCAACAGACGAACTAGTGCGGGCGGTTCCATTAGCAGTATCAGCAGTTTACCTCGTGCCGCTGGTCGAACTGCTAGTGGCAAACAGGACCTTGCAGCAGCTGGTGCGTCGGCCGCAATGAGCCGACGCGTATAACGATTTGCAATGCTGCAGTATGACGGACTTATTTCCTCTCATAATACACAGTAATACTCTGGGGAGTCTTGCTACTGATCGTTTGCTTTGACCAAAGACATTTGACTTTCTAGTTCAGACTTTCCATGATTCAAGAACAAAACTTGGAGACTCGCTGCCAGATGACAATTCAGCATGCATTAATTGCTAGAGGCATATTTTCGAAGCGATTTTGGTTTTGTTTCATATTGTATTTGATTCCCTTTGTCGTTTATCATTTCATTTCAATATATACCACGGACGAACGAAGGCAGGCAGGCAGGATGGAATCATGATAATGTTGACATTCAAAATCCCCATCCAACGCTGGCACAAGGCACACGAGGAGAGCGACGATATATTATGAAAATGTGTGTTACTGGGACATGCCAGGAGAAGCCCATGTTTTACTTTTATTTCTTTATTACTTTCGACGACATGTATACTATTCATGAAGGGATTGAAATGGATGTCTTGGCGGTTGGGTGATGTCTCATTAATGACAAAAGGTCATGTTCGCTAATGGGCGGAGAGAGTGTTTTCTTGTTGCTCTTTTTTTTCTGGACTCTTGAGTCATTGGTGCCTCGCGGGAGCAGATGGGCGGGCAGGCCGGGGCATGAGGGCCAGAGACTGGGAACGATACACTCTGCACATAATGAAAAGGGAGAAAAAAAAAGAAACTCGCAAGAAAGAAGCATAGAGAAAGCAGGAAGGCCACCGCAGAACCAAAGAATAGTTGAGGCCTCCATACCTAGGTATCTGGCATATTGGGAGTGAAACTGTTGAGACGTCGTGCATGTAACTATTGGAGCCACGGTCAATGGTGGCTGGCGGGCAGATGCAGATGTCAAGTAGCGGGAGGTAGGAGGTAGGACGCAGCATTGAGGAGACTGTCGATGGGAGACATCTGGACCGTTCAGCCACAACGGCGCTTACGGCGTCCTACGATAATGGACCGCGTTGTACGGAGCATCATGGGTAGAACAGCTAAGCGAAGTTATAGGTGAGATAGACGCAGGTGAAAAGGGCCGAGGCAATTCAGTGGAGCGAACAACCGGGCATGCAGTCAGCCTTGCCAGTCTCACCACCGGTGCAATATGTGCTTGTACTATTGTTTCATGCCGTAGGGCTGTGGGAATCGATCGGAGGCCGCAGAATGGACCAGGCCGGGAAAAAAAAAAAAAAAAAAAAAAAAAGGCTTGGCAAGCGGCAGTGGAACAGGGGGAAATGCCAATTGAGAATTTGACGCGGCAACTTTAACCTGGGCAGTTGTGCGTCAGACTTCGGGCGCAACAAGGTCTAAGTCCCTAGCTAGGCAGCGATGCACAAAACACGATGAGATGAGCCATGCTGGACAATTCGGATGAAACTACGTTGGCACTAGTAGTATTCCGTACTCCGTACTCCGTATTATTTTCTCAAACCGTGACGTGCCGAGAGACGTGTCTCAGATTCAAGCTCGGCCGGACAACTCCGCTCGGATGAAGATGGGTGGGAGGAAGCGTGTGCTCTTGCGTAGTCTGGGGATTTGGTTGACCCGGGGCTTGACATGAACGAGCATGAACCAGATACAAGCCGGCCTCAGGGAGGAGGGGGTGTGTGTCCAGCGGGATGGGTCAGGGATATACACACATGTATTGTATGCGAGGAACGTTTAATAAAATAGAAACGATCGGGCATGTGCCCGAATTGGAAGACGGGCTTGCTTGATCGACGGGGTCATGGTGAGGCTGGTGAGGCTAGGCTGTTGAGAAGGGCAAATGCAATACGTCGCTTCTGGAGGCATCACATGGTTTCGGAACAGTGGTCCGTAGTCCGTGGTCCGTAGACGCTCGGCAAAGAGACGCAACGGCTCCCTTGGACGGTGAAATTGAGCTATTTGCAGAACAAGACCCTTGCTTGGGCCGGGGGCCGGCCTCAAACGGGGAGAAAACGAAAGGTCGACCGTACGCGCGCCCGAGGAGCAAGACATGCCAGAAGAAGAATGTGAGACCATGTGGTGACGACTTGGGACCGCCAGTGCAGCATTCATGACAAAGTGCCACGAACCATTTGACGCAACCGCACCGGCGACTCCGGCGCGGATGCGGCTGGCGGGCGGAGAGTGGGTCCCCCGGTTGATGCGGTCTGCGATTCTGGGAAGTCTTCGGGCCAGACAACTCGTTTCCAAATGCCAAAGCAGAAAGGGCAGCATCCCCAGCCAGCCACGGGGCGAGATGCCGCTCACCCGTTGATGGATGGCCACTTTCCGCAACGCTCTGGCTCTGTTCTCCCAGTTCTGAGAACATTGTGCATTGGAAACAGCCGTGGCTCGAATTGCCAATGGCCAGGGGTCCTATATGGCCCGCAGTGGGACACGACGAGGCTGAAGCTGTTGGCAGGGCCATGAGCCATGAGTGACCCATGAGGTCATGAGCCGGACCATGGGTCGCGGGTGGTTTGAAGGTCAGACTTGCAGATGCCGTTTCTTCGGGAGCTAGACGCCCGAGTCTTGCTATCGTTTATGATTATTCTGCTCTGGACAGGTACAGAAATGCTGGCTCTGGGATTTTGTATACCGTCCTCGCTAGCTCGAAGTTTAACTTGTCTGCTTGGGTTCCAATACGAGGGCGAATCAAGACCCCAAGTTGAACAAGGCGGAAATAAACGTCGACTGGGTTTTGCGGGCTCGGCGATTCATGCAGTTACCATTTGAGTCGTATTGCCGCGTATCTGTCACCGGATCGTGCATCATAGCCTCCTTCACTTTTTACCTGGCAGTCTGATAATATTGCAAGAGGCCTAAGGATTCACATTTCGACGAATTGAAAATGGCTCCAACATCGTGGTTTCGTTACAAGGATCCCATGACACCGGGTCCGAGCTCTTGGGTCTGCGCCAGACACCGTGCTGACCAGGATCAGCCTCGAAATATTCATCCAATGCGGTTTCGTCCTGTGAGTGGTAATGGCAGGAGTTGTGACTACCCGTCAGAAGCGGCCGAAGCAGTAATACGTCTGGGCAATGCTGGTAAGTTGCTTTCGATTCCGTGCTCAACGTCCACGACTCTTTCTCCGTAGCCAATACGCCGCACATATCGCTCAATTGCCTAGTTCGTAATACCCCGATCAGGAACTCTACCTTGGATGAAGACTTATCGCTCATACGTGAGCGACGAAAAGTATGAACAAGCTGGAGCCTTGTGCCAGCCACGGATGAGTCCGAAATGTCTCGGAAGACTTGACTCACTTCATCTTCTAGGCACCTCAGCCTACATGAACTTGCACAGCAAATCAGTGGGGAATTCTTAATGCAATGGCTGTTGAGAAGTGTGTTAATGTCCATTTTTGGTAAAGTAAGAAAAGAGAAAAGACTGGGCATCCGCCTCATCTTGAGATTTAGTTCCTTTCCCGAGTTTGCAAATAGGACTCTGACTGAGCTCATACCATGATGCTTTAAATGCAGGCAATTGTCAATGTAAGCTGTAAGTAAATCAATGCCTTGATCTGCGGGACAAATATCACGCCGAGACCATTCCCAAAGACACACACGACGTAATGACGACAATAGACATCACCGGACGAATGGTACAGGGGTGACGGTGTTGATGGTGCAAGGTTCGTCCACAGTCGCTGCGGCCACCAACTTAATTGGTAAGGTGATTCAATGGCATATGCAGGACGTGCAAAAAGATTATTTGCTTGACAGTGGACTAATGTTCGAGGTCGTATGGCTTTGGCCAGAACACCCGTCTGGTCTGTTTGTGATTTGCAAGTGCCCCATCGTAAAGTTTTTGACGCAGTCTGCCCTACCAGGTGGACATCTTTTTGACGCTTTAGCCGCATAATACCAGGTATCTCCAGTGAGTTGAGGATACTTGAGGATACCAGAGCTTGCGATAATGGACCGGGTTCCGCGGAGAGCAGGGATACTGACTATGCGTCAGAGTTGTAGGTGGCACCATGGCAGTCTTCCATGCAGTCTTGTATCAGTTGTATCGTCAGCAGTAAACAAAACCATGGGCATCAATCGCCGACGGATAGCCAAAATCGATTCCTTGCCAAATGATGACGATTATGTTTCTTACTTACTGGCGTGTTCAATTCTCCAAATGCTGGTTGGGAACAAGGTGGTAGAAAGGGTGTGGACCCATGCAGCGCATCGCCCAGGGATCGTCTATGGTGCAAGAAAGGCACTTGAGGTCTTGTTGCAGTCAACATTGAATAGTAGTATGGACTCGGGCGGGCGGTGGACTGAGGCTTTGTGCGGCTGGGCTGTGGCACTGACTGCGGCCCCGACGGGCACCGCATCACCGTTTGACTGCCTACGGGTCGTGACATCAAATTTGCTCTTTGCCATGGCCTGCGGTGACGGGAGTAATGGGTTTGCGAGATAGTGGTGTTGGTGCCTGCCTGCCTGCTCACCCACCTGCATCAACAGCCCACGTGTAGAGGTCGGAGTTGTGCGTTGCATCGCATTCATCGGGTCGCACAGGAACCGGCACGGCTGGACGAGAAGGGCGTACAAAGGATGGCTTACAAGTGAGTACGAGAGTCAGAGCAACCGATACGGATTGCTCAAAAGGACCAATCCGGCGGCTTCGAGTCGGACAGAACTGCATACAGTAGTAGACGAAGACAAGGACAAAGAACAATCATGAGCCGTGACATGCAGGAACATGATGGCGGCACAACAGGGCAACTGCGTACATGTCTGGTAGCTTCGGTTGCGCCTGCCCCTGCGCCCTCTGGGTCTGCGGGTGTACTAAGCTTATACGTAAGTACTAGGTTGGCAGGTTCAATGTTCCTAGGTACAGCGACTCTAGTACTAGTAATTGATCTAGTAGTAGGTGCCCTTGGTTAGTTCCCTCCGCTCCCAAATAGGCTGCCGAAGCCAGGTGGAGACGCAACGCCCTTAGCTTCAGAGACATTTGTCAGTTGGAAACGACATTGAACATGGCATCGAAGTACATCCAAGAGCCTTTCCGCTGTAGATGGCAATCA